CTTTCTTTCTCTTTTTTTTTTTCTTTTTTTTTTTTCCCCCACAAATCACAGAATCAGGCAACTCCAGTGAAGACTCTTCACTCCACACATGTCAATATTGCATCGAACTCCATCCTAACTCATTTGTGGTCACCTAACTGTTCTGTGGTATTCTTGCTTTTTCTTGTTATCATTGACCATAATTGCTCTACATTAAACATACAGTTCTGTTTTCTATGAGTAGAAGGATCCAAGTAGGAATTGTGGTCCTCTCTTTTTGAAGGTTAAAATTTTCAATTCTGTTGACCAGATACTGTGTCAAGTATCGTTTACTATCCTCCCGCTGAGGAGGACAAATGCACTGACAGGTGGCAAAAGGCATATTTTAGGAGTGAGAAAATGAAATAAAAAAATAAAACCACACAATGTTATCTTCTGTGGTCAATGAAACAGCACTTTTTATTATGGCTGTATGCAATGGGAATATTAAGTCTGATATGCAGAAATGCAAATTAAACTGCTGATTTAGATTATTATATTTCATGCATAGTAACTTTACAGGCTTTTTTTTTTCCTATTGTATGTAAAACCTTTATGAATTATTAGCCTTTTTTTTTCAACTCTATTTTATAAGTGAGAGGTTTATTCCTGCTGTTATATTAAAGGAGGCATTTTGCTGCCAGGAGAGTTTAGCATTTTATTCAGCTGAGGTAACTCTCTCTTATACTCTAGCATGAAGCACAATTAAGACAGATATGTTCAGTAGCTTTATTATGCCCTTGTGTGAGGAGCTAATCTTTTTTTCTCCCCACTTCATTTTTCAGGGATTCCCAAAGGATTTTGCAAACCCTACACATTTGTCTAGCACACTCTGTAGTAGCATAAACAGAGAATACATGGACCTCAATGGGGGCTTTGGCTTTTATAATTTTAGTAATTCCACTTTCTCTTATTGTAAGTTTCAAGAGCACTGAAATTTCTCAGTTAATATTCTGGGCTTGTGGGCAAATTTTGCTCACAATAATTTGGACATTTTCTTACTTTGGTGGGTAAGCAGGGGAAAAAAGGACTGGATTTTTTTAAAGAAATGTATTTATTATTTCAAGGAAAATTTTCTTTACACAGAACAACACACAGGTTGACCTCCTGAATTAGCAGTGGAAGACAATCTCTGAAGAATACCATTCAATAAAAATTAAATAAAGCTTGTTTTCCCCCCTGTAGGAAATCAGCAAACATTCCTAAAGAAGTAATTTCATTAGTAACTTTTCAAACACTAGGTATTTTGCTTTAGCCTGGCTTCCTATGGAAACATATAATGTGTATTCGTTGCTTTGGGTTCTGCTGTCTGGTTGTTGCCTCTAATAACTTGTGTATCTATTTGTTCATTTTGACTGAATTTGATAGAGTAATTGGAGAGAGGTACAAGTAAACGAGGTGAGGACATCTGGCCCATTACTCTGCCTTGGATGGACAATGGCTATGGACCCAGGGAACAACTCCTGTTACTTTCCCAGGATTATCCTTCAGCATCTGGGGCTGGAGGCTCACAAGTGTCCCAAGCCACAGCTGATGCCTTTGTATCTTGTAATCTTTCCTACAGAAACAAGGAAAATCTCATCCTATTCTGCTTGTGTGATGAATATTTGAAGTAGAAAACGAGATCTTCTAAATAACCTGACTGAATGAAAGCTGCATCATGAGCACTTATCCTGTACTAGACTGTAATAAAGTTATTCTCCCCATAGGTTATCCAGTACAGTTTGCCTTTTGTCTCTCTATTCCTTAGGCCTTGATTACATTATGATAAATTATCCTGAGTAAGGAGAAGCATGAAGCAGACAGTCTAATATTTTCTCATTTTCTATCCTACCTCTTGGGCATTGCCAAGTAAACTGCCATGGAGTCTGACACATAAACGTCCCTTCCCCAAGACAGTCTTGTGGGAAGAAGTCATGGAACTGAAACATCCACAACAGCAGGCTTCACCTGGCTCTGTAATTTATTGTGATAGCCACACAAAGCATTGTCTCAGTGATGAATGTGAGAGGAAAGGACCTGGTCTCAACTTGTGTGTGTTGGTAGGCTAAAGTGTTTCAGAGCATCTGCCCTGCACTGAGCTCTGCAGCTTCCAGACCATTCCAGGGGACTTTGGACTGGGCACACAGTGACTTGCTGCACTGATAGCACTTGTAGTCCCAGAATCTTCCTAAAGATGCCTAAAATTTTCTTTCAGAAACAGCAGAATCAGGAAGTTTAATGGTAGTTTAAAGTGTCACTGTCAACACCGTCTGCACTTGCCACAGAAAATCTTTGTCCCTGTTATTTTTTGCCATGATCTTCTTGTAATGATTGAATGTTATAATTTCTGGGATCCCTACAGGCAGTCATTAAAATGCTGGTAAGTTAGTATTTATGATTGGTTTCTGCTGCACAAGCAGAGTATTTCTCAGCAGATAAGTACATATTTTTTGCCTTGAACAGTGGAAGAAATGAAATATACACTGAATTCCTTTCCCATGGGCTGTTTATATTTCAATATACAAGGATAATTTATACAAGAATATATAACATTCCTGATTACAGCATTTAAGAAAACAGTCAGGCTCTTCCAATTTGAAAAGAACAAAATAACGTAGAAAATGGGGGACTATTTTTATGTTGATTTTGACTTCTGAGTCATCGAGTTAGGAGAAGGCCCTGTGGCGAAAGTGCTCATCCTATATGGAGGGGGAAAAATAAGCTGAAAATAAACACAAATTGGAAAGACAGCATCTCTGCATAGCCCTTTCATTCTCCACACTAATGATTAAGTAGCCAGGAAAATCCATGGCAAGGTACAACAGCTTCCAAAAAGGTGCCCGGTGAAAGAATCCCAAATGCATGTTATGTGGGCATGTAAAAGTCCCTTTTGGTCTGAGAGGGGGCTGTGTTTGAGGAGAGCGTGTTCTGGCTTGTGCTTTTGGTGGCAGTGCTGCAGAGTCCCTTTGCTCAGCTCAGCCCAGGACTTCAGCAGTCACAAGGATATCAGCACACTAACTGGAAGGCCACGGCTTAGAATGTGTAACCCTGTGGCATCACTTCATCAGGCACAGGCAACCCAACACTTGCCTTAGAGTTTTGCTGAGGGTGAGAAAAAGCACACCAAAAGAGGGTAGTGATACTGGAGATAACTGAAATCCTTGTTGATGTCTCGTGCCAGGCACTGGCCTGGGAACACCCATGGGAAGAGTAGCTTTCTCTGCTGGAAGAAGGAGCTTTATTACACCGTAAGAAAGAAGAACTAGGAGTACAGAAAGCCAAGCTGTCCATTTTGGCCATTCAGTCAGCATGTCTCAGTCTGTTCCTGCTGTGTCTCTTCCAGCACCAGTGGAGAGCACCACAGTCTTCAGAAGTGTCTCCTTGCTATCTTCAGTGACTATGCAGAGGAGCTGGGGTCCCTCTTTAAGTGTTCAAATAAACCCCTCTTTCAGTGCAATGGAAAAAATCATACTCTCACCTTTTGCTGCACTGCCAAACTTTGTCAACCAAAATTTTCCAGGTTTTCAGCCTTGGAACTGAAGACACACCAGCAAAATTCATCTTTTTCTCTCTGAAATTATCTCGCTTTATAGCTGCAGATTCAGCTTTAGTTGGGATTGTACCTCATTCTGCTTTTGCTGCTACCACACATTCTGCATCTAACACTTCCTAGGAGTTGCTGCTACCTTTTCACATGGAGCTGACAGTTCATGAAAGTGCCAAGCTGTATGTTTGGGAGGCTGGACCTCTTTTTTGATCCACTGCTTTCAGTGTTGATACTTCTCACCATTTTATCAAAAAGATCTAAAAATATTTGGTGGTCTTTCCACAGTGCTATGACCTGCAGTGGGTCTCCTTGAGCCACACAGCTCTCTCCGAGGTTTCACAATGTATGTGAAAGATGTGACCTAAACAGCCAAACCGGAAAAACAAAGGTTTTGCTTGCACTACATTTTATATGTTAAAACCTTAATTCGGGCTGAGCAGGCATGGGGCAAGCAGTGCTGCAGGCACAGTAGAAGCTTCTCTGCCTCCTAGTCTTACCTGTGCTCAGAACAGGAGCATCCAGATAAAGCAATGGAGAAGAGCTGTGTTTCATCTCTGTCACTCTGTGAGGCTGTGGGAATCAGGCAGTCACATCACTATGTGATCAATGCTTTTCCCACCACATGTGACCATGCAGAAGGGACAAGCATGGAGAGTATAAGAACCAGTGTGTGCTTGTGTTTGTGCACATGCTGATCCAGCAGCAAGCACAGTTAGCCTTCAAATACCATCATTTTCCTTCTCTTGGCTGACCCCAGTGTGGATGCCCTTTTCTTAATGCAAAACACTTAACGCTGGGAGTTATACTGGTGATAAACTGTGCAAACCTGACAGCTGAAGGCAGAATTGTTCCTCTTGAGCCAGAGCAGGCACTTTGCTAGCTCCTTGCCAATGACTAATGCAGCAGGTAACCTTTTCTTTCTAGTGGAGCCTTTCCGAAAGGATTCAAAATACACATCAATCTTTATTAATGTCGTCACTCCTCCCACAGAGGTGCTCTCCCTCAAACCCAGTTTTTCTCATACAGAAATGACGGCTTTCCAGAAAATTATCAATACCTATAATTAGACCTGAGATATCAAATTGTCACTGGCTCATGGGAAGGCAACCTAGCAAGTAGCCACCTAAGGAACGAACCTCTGCTAGTGTGACACAAGACATATAAACAAGCCAACAGTAAGGTGATATGTGTTTGCCAAGAGCTCTATCGTTTGCATCAATAGGGAAGAACGAAGAATGAACTAAGTACTTACTGTTCAATACTGATTCGTGAATAAATGTAACATTTTTTCCCCCTAAAATAGAAGACTTAGTGAAAGACATTTTTTCTTTTTTTTTTTTTTTTTCTTCCAGCAGTACAGTCACAATTGTGTGGGGCCTTTTGCTTCCCCCTGCTGTCACCCTAAAAAGGCACAGGGTGGGCTGTGGCTCCAGCCAGCTGTGGGAGTGGGAAAACTAATGAGGATGGGCTCTGCCAGCAATCACTCCTGCATCCCACAGCTCCCACGGTGCTGCTGTGGAGAGCTGTGAGAGCGACAGCCAGGAGGAATAAAAGCCATTAAGTCCCCCCGTGCCTCCACAGGCAGGGACCCAGGGAGGTGAGCACAGCTTTGGGGTCCCACTGGAGAGGACTCCCCCAGCAGGCTTTCACTGAAGGATTTTGCTGTTCCTCTGCCTGGTCTCCTCATGCACAGGTGAACGGATTTGGCACCCACGGCACTCTCAGGTAAGAGGGGTTTGCTGGGAAGTGGATGTTGTGCTGGCATAAAAGCCAGTGTGGGGCTTTGTGGTTCATTAGGAAACTGGCTCTGGAGAAGGACTTTGCACTGAATATTTTAGACAAACAAAAAGAAACCATTACGTCTAGCAGTACTTAGAGAAGACACCTTGTTCTGGAGGGGTTTGCTGGCCCACGTGAACCTCCTGTGTCCCAGCAGGGATCCTGTGGCAGTCAGGAGCCATCGAGTAGGAAACGGGGTCTTAGGAAGTCCCAGAAACTCTGATTGATGTGTCCATCAGCACAGAGTGAGGCAGCTGAAGACAGGAGAGGGCAGGGTTCAGTTTTAGAAGTCTGAACACCATAGGACAAGTGTGGAGGTGGCTCTTGTTTGGGCTGACATATGGTGGGACCAGCATGAAGTTGCCTTTTGGCTTTGCTGTGGGTCGGGGATGCACCAGTCAGTCAGTGCTCATCTTCTTTTGAGTTGTATTACCTAAACACTTAGGATTACAGTAATGATCAGAAAAATAGTTAAAGCTAAAACTAATTGAAAGAACAAAGGAAACAGGATGGAGGGTCTGTGCTACAGAGATTTATCACAACTGCTTCTCAGGGACAAGGAAGTGAGTTACAGGAGGCACCAGTGTGGGACACAGCCTGTGTGCCATGTGGTCAAACCTGGCCAGTGACTACCAGCGGGGAGGGCACTCAGTGAGGAGGTACTGGAAAGCCTGGAGGAGGCATTGGGATGCTGTGGCTCTGCTGTGGCTCAGCTGCAACCTGTTACCCAGGAAAGCAGCTGTAAGGAGAGGTTCTAGCATCCTGCAAGGGGCTCAGAAGCTTGTCCCCATCACTTGCTGGTCTTTCTAAAACAAGAGCAGGTCCCTTTAGCTTAGGGAAATGAATCCAGAGAAGTCCAGGGAAGGACTGATGGGAGGAGATCCAGAAGGTGGCTTTGGTCTTTGAATTCTTCCTAGTTGTAGCTGAGGTTTCTGTTTTGTGACCTTCCCAAGTCACTACTAAACTGGGAGTACTCACAGTGGGGCAAGATACTCCCCTGCCTTTGCATGCCACCAGTCTTCATACTGTACCACCTGCAGTTTCCTGTGAGTTTCTGTGATGGTTTCCCTGTTTCAGCTAGGAAATAAAATTGTACTGCAGCTGCCTGGATGTTGAATCGCACTTTAGCACCCGCATGCACTGGCATGCAGAAAAATATTTGTCTATAACACCCAGAGCAGCTTCTGCAGAATCACCAAAGCTCTGGTGTAGAGGGCAACACCTATTAATCCAGCATATATAATGACTTCTCTGAGGGATTTTTCAGTCCTGTAGGAGACAAAGCCAACGTCTGAGGAAGGACTGAAATCATCACCTGGTAGTTATGTGTGTTGTGTCCTTGTGTGAACACGTTTTGTGTGCAGCCTTGCACTTGCTTTCTTTATCTTGTGTGCACTTGCTTTCTTTATCTCACCTGTTAAAACTGCACACACAGAGCTCTGATTCACAGTCACTTCTCGGCTCCATCGCTAGGTGGTGATATGCTTCCAGATACCAAATCCTCCTTCAGTTTGTCTTTTTCATTCTGGTGTAAAATAGCAGTAAATAAAGACAAAACACGCGTTTTAGGCTTTGCCTATGGAAATACAGCATTCCCAGCCACACACAGTTCTGGTCAAGATAATTTCATATTTAACTGATTTTTAATACACCATTGGTTTGGTTAACATGATTTCTGTAAGAATTACTGCAATAAAAGTAATTCTAATCATGAACATTTATAAAAAGACTAATATTCCTGATCTCTGCATAATTTAGAACATCTTTGTCGGCAGCCATTGGCATACTCAAAATAAATGCCCATTTTATGCACTTTCTAGGAACAAAATCTGCCCCAAAGATTTTGAAGTTTAAAATTAATGTGTCATTTTATTGAGGAAACTACCAGTTTCCCTTCCTCCTTCCTGCTTTCCCTGAGCATGCAACAGTGTTTATTTCCTTCCTTGAAATACTCATCAATAGTTGCAGTCCAAAGGTACAGTATTTGCTCTACTGAAGAAGGTTTGGTGGCCAGTATGAGAAGTATGTTGCCCCAGCAGGTCAGGCACTCATGTAATTTCCATTCCAGTCCACCGTTCAGTACTGATTGAGATGTCCTCTGGGATTTGCAAGGCTTATTACAGCAGTAACAGCTATCAAATGAGGCTTGTGGCATAGTACAAAGATGAGGGCTGGAGAAGGAGAGCTAAAATTCATGAGACACCTGATGAGATAATGCACACTAGAAACATGGATATAACTATTTTGGTGGCTGGTTGCAATGTGTAAGGGTTATTGACCCAGTGGGATGTCTGTGAACGCCTCAGCCTCTACTACTTGCTTGGTTGCCAACAGGTAAAGACAGCCCTGCCTTTATTACTGCCAGGAAATACAAACTGCAATGCCATTGTGCAAGGAGCAAACCCCATCCCATTCCCCATGGCAGCAGAGAGTCCTGTGCTGCTATCTGGGCTTGCAGGAGAAAGCAGGTTCCCAGGAGACAGCCAGTTTTGCTGAGTCATGACCAGGAGGGCTTGGACAGACTTTGGAGAGGGGTATGGCCACATATCAGCTGGTAAGACAAGCCTGTCTTTATCTTCAACACATGCCTGGGGCCCTGTGGTCTCTAGTAGGCTCTGGGCCAGACTGTGCCCAGCATTACATGAGAAATCCCCAGGGTGGGTTTCATGTCTGCTCAGAATAGAACGGTGCTAAGCTTCAAATATTGGTCCTTAACCATTAGAAAATCTGAAGAGGCTATTTTGAGGTATGTGCAGAAATGCAGCTTCTCCCTCCCAGCCTCCTCCACACACACCTTCTTCTATCACACAGTTGCTGTTGGTGGCAGACTTGTGGTGATCCTGGCCAGAGGCTGAGGCTTGGAGTGTGTGTGTGTGTGTGTGTGTGTGAGCTTTCCACAGTCCCATTGACACTGGATGCTATTTAACTGTCTGGTGCTCTTTGACGGCCAGCCTCAGATGCCTAGCTGCTTGCTCATAGCTCACCTCACCTTGTAAAAATTCCTCTCTTCAAGGAGCTACTTTCTAGTTCAGCTACTTTTCTATCAAAGGCATCTTGTTCTCGGCTCCATGTGGCTTGAAGTTTTTATTCTGTATTCCTCTTCAGAATCTTCCTTGATCTTAAAACTATTTTCATCCTCTCTCCTCCTTGTTTCTTCAATTCATTTTTTGCTCACTAATTAATTTTTGTTGAGGTTTATGTAGTGAACTGTACCCATTTCACTGGGTTTTCTCATAGCAGTTAAATAGACTTTGTTCTGCCCCAACTCCAATCAAAGTCGAGACAGAACCTTTCATACTTTTCAGGAAGATGTCATCAACACTTACTTCTCCCCCAGTCTCCCTGTGACCCCAGAGCTCTGCCATCATCACGAGCAGGCAAGCCCAGAGCTACTGGAAGGCATACCTACCTCTGGGTATGCCACACTGATGGCTGCTGTCTGCATTTGTGGATGCTTTGAGTTTTTGAGAGTAGTGAAAGCCTGCCAAGGTGTGTGAGTACTCTGAGTCAAGATACTTAGTAAGGTAAAGACACTTCTCATAACCATATTAATTTCTCTGTCTCCACAGACACCCCGAAAGGTTCATCACGATGACTGCTGGCCTGGAGAAAGCCTGCCACCGGTGCATATCCAAAATTGCCAGCAATGGTAAGGCAGTTCTGGTAGTAAGCACCTTCTGTATTTAATCAGCCCTGTTGCTAAGCCATGTATATAAAGGAACTAATATGGTACCAAGTTTCACCTGAATCTTCCAATCTCCTTTCTGAGATATTTCCTTTCCTAGGCAATTTTGGGTGCTGGTGGAATGAGCAATAGTAACTCTATCCCAACAGCAGCTGCCTGCTACAGAATTTGAAGTATAGCAGGCCAGCATAAAATTTCAAACAAACATAAACACCACCATGTACTTTAATATGGGCTGCAGCAGAAAACTTAAGCAATATAATGTGTTCGCCTTCTGTTTCAAGTGTTACCTTACACATAGTCCAGCAGAAGTATCTGCAGAGAAAATCATCTGGTAAAGAGTAGCACAGCCAGCCTGGGGACAAACTCTCCCAGGAGCAATTCCTCAAAGCAAAACTGCTGCCAGCGTCTGGCTGACACAGGGACACGAGGCTGGGGACAGAGTATGGTCAGGAATAGCCAGCCCTCCTTTCACCCAGTGACATTTGGGAGAGGGTCATCTTCCCTCTGCTTGTCTGGTCCCTGGCACAACGGCCATTGTAGGGATGGGTAACCCCCATAAGCAGCCACACTGTGGGCTGTAAGCATGTTGTGGGTTGTAAGCATCAGTATAGGGGTCTTTCACATGACAGGCTGGGCTCACTCAGGTTTTAAAGCAACTGGTTCCGCCTTCCCAGGGTGGAGGATGCAGAGGGTTGTAATGACACAACAGCTCCCAGGCTGGGGTGAACAGGCTGGTTCTTGCTCTCTGAGAAGAAACACAGCAGAAAGTTGACCTGGGCTGGGGCTGGGCAAGCTACAGAGTCACAGGAGAAATGCACTCCTGGCGTGGGTTTTTGTAGGACCAGGGAAGAAGTGTTGTTGGCAGGAGGTTAAAATTCAAGGGTTTTAAAGTAGCTTACTCCTGCTGACTGCATCTCTTTTTCACTCTGAGTTGCAAGTGCCTTTTGCTTTCACTTCTAGGCAGTAGCAATTTCTAATTCCACTCAAATATGAGAAGCAAACCCCTTGACCGCTCATGATAATTGATACTTTGCCCACACTAAGTACTGCATTTCCCAGTCTGGGTATTACCTTGGAGTTTTCTACATTCCTGCTTTTTGCTTTGCTTGAAAGGTTCTCAAAGTTCAGAATGAACTTTTATTAATGATTAAGGCCCTTAACTCCTTGCTGCCTTACAACCCTGCAGAGAAAATCAGGCCAGGTGGACAGACAGCTCAAACCAGGCTCCCCTGCAGAAACCTGGTACAGGTAGGGGAGGACATTTTCTGGCCCACTTGTTCATGCTGATCATTGATCCATGGGACAGGAGGACTGGAGAGTGATGAACAAGGGGTGTGGAGCACATGGTGCTCTCATTACACCCTGACAAGCCCCTGGAAGCAGAACTGGGACCCAGTTGGTGTGGGATCCCTTGCAGCCAGCAGAAGGGACAAGCAGGGGGGATCTGGAACCATTGGTGAATATCATAGTTAAAAAAGTCAAAAGTAGTATTTTCTCTGATTTTTGTTCCTAGAGATTACAAGCAAAATGCCGCTATTCCCTGTGGGTATTAAATTACCACTGAGACTTTAATCATGATAGAGAAAATAATCCTTCTGATTATTTTTTTGAAAGATAGGGATTAGTCCTGATCTCACCTATGCTCTTCTACGCCAGAGGAACCCTCTCAGGTACCCAAAAAGCTACCCACGAGTATGGCAACTCATAAATACCATTCCAGAAAATTATCTTCAGGTTTTCATCACATTTAAGTTCGAAATCAGCTCATCTATAGCTATGGATCAGCTAGTGCATCCACAATTGATTTTCTGTTCATTAAAATACAAAACCTCATGAAGTGCAGTGACATTTAATTTCACTTTTTCTCATCATCCATCATATATTTTTCAAAGAGTGTCTCACCACAACCCCACATTTGTACCTATGGTCTCCTGATATTTAAATAACTCTGAAGAGTAAACCCACCTATAGAGCATCTTTTCATTCTCGGTGTAGCAATTTCAGTTTAGAACATTAGGGTGGTCTTTAATTAACTGGCCAAAAAAGAAGGCTAATCCACTACCCTAGGTCTACTGTAAAGCAAACTGGTGGCTCTATATGTAAAGCCAAATACCTTCTACATCTGGAAATTAATCAGAAGGGAACAAATTAATCAGAAGGGGACAAATCTAGAACCTAGACCATGGCATAACTGTAGTTTAGTAGCTAGAGGCATAATATAAAATTCAGACAAGACACTCTGCAATATTGCCCAACCCCCAAAGCACCACACCTACATCTAGATGTATATCTACACCTACATCTACATTTACCTCTGCATTTACATCTATATCCTCCCCCTCTTGAAGGTTCCCATATTTTGGGCATCTTGTTATTCAACACCATTTCTGATGGGAGTAGCATTGCTGTTGTCAGTGCTGGAATCTAGAACATAAATTTTAGGTGATGTTATGGTGGCACAGATTATCTGGGTAACAAAGTTTATCGTTTCATAGTAAGACAACCTTGTCTACGCAAACAGTGATAGGACACAGCAAACAGTAGAGGGCCCTGAGCTTGGTTTTGGTCTGCAAGTTAGGTTTTTCACACTTCCCCTGCCTCATATGGTGGCTTTGCACTGGGACTAGAGACCTTCATGGGAATGGCTGCTCCTTACACTGAATCCTCCAGCTGCTGAGTATCTAGTTTGGTCAAGTGATTAAATCACCCCAGGGATGGGATTCCCACCGTTCTTCCCAAGAGACTATTCCATCAATATATCTCCTTGCTACGGCATCTAGACTCATAAACAAAGCAATCTTTGTTTCTGCTCAAGTTCATCTCATGTCTCTATACTTCAGATCACTTATAGGTCTGGTTTTGAGTGCTCAGACTCTGATGTTATTTTCTCCCTTTTGGCTGTTGGTTGGCCAAGTTGAAAAGATTTAATTATTTTCCTTCACATTATTTTGCTCAAGTCTTTTCTGCATATCCCATCTGCGATAGTGACATTTTCCTGTCACTCAAAAGCACAGAAAGACAGCCAGTATCCACAGCTACCAAAACCATGGGCAGACATATTCCTGTTTTGTAAAACATATGACCTTGTTGGAGCTGGTTCCCCAGAAAGATCCATCAAGACTTTCTTTCCCACCCCAGCACCCCAACATGCTGCATTCTTTCTTTCCTCCAAGTCCCTATCAATACTGCAGGCGATGCCTGTAGATACTGTGAAGGACTAAAACATGGATGAAAATACTTGCTACCCATCTGCACTCCAGCCTGTTACACCATCCATGCTGCAGTACAGCACCCTGTGACACTGCTTGCTAAGCTAGTGCACTACCATCTGCATCTACCTCAGGGCATCATCAGGCCAGGGGCCCTGGCAACTGACCCGAATTTGCTAACATCCAGACTGCTGAGAGTCAGCCCCCTTCAGAGCATTGTTTCCACAGCATGTCCGAAGTGTGTACTGTGAATTTACACCCAGAGTTTTGCTCATGCAGATAAATCCCAGGGTAGCCACAGAATTTGTTTGGAAGCTGGTAACACATCATTAAAAAAAGAAGTCCTTTTTTATTAGGAACCTGACAGGCTACAGAACAAATGGCATCTGGAAGTGATGGTAGCGTAACCAACACTTCATTTATTGCTGTATTTATTATCAGAGAGCTTGCCACATGCTCTACTGAGCAGCTTGCACTACAGCTGTATTAGCATACTACCTAAGAAGAGTAGGTAGATAGAGATTTACACTCATAATTTACTTCTGAAAATCGTGTGAAGACTATACTTACCCCCCAAAAAAAGAAACTTTTCTCTTTCTTCAAAGTAAATAGGAACAGCTTGAGCTGATCTGAAACTTCCAAGTTCTTGGAAAACTCATGGCAGCAAAATAAAGTTTGAGGAGCCCACAGGTGAGTTGGTGTCACATGCAATAGTGCCTCCAGATCCAAACCACCTGACAGAAGACAACAGGCTGTGTAGCCTGAGGCCAGGCACATAGTAACTGGGGACAGAAAACAAGGGACTAACAGAGGGTGGGGAGGAGAGCTGCAGTGCAGGGGCATGGCTATGGAAGATGCAAGAGCTCAGGCATCAGACAGAAGAGAGACCATGAAGTACAGCCATAATGTTAACAGTAATTTCAAGTGCCTTTACTTCTGTGGGAAGACCCTGGCAGGAGTAACTCAGTTAAACAGTAGATTTATATAAGCTGACAATCCTGCTGGGCAGGAACCAAAATCTGCACCCACTAGTCTGATTTTTGTGACCACAGGTTTCAAGGAATGTGCAAGATACACAGCCACTTGTTCTTCTCTTCCTCTGTTGTGATCCCAGACATGAGCTCTTCCCCTCACCCATTTCCCAGTGTGTTAGGACTTCCTCACTAATGGCTTCCACAGCAGGACTTCACCAGAGCCCCAGCTGCCTGGTAGTACAGAGCAGTGGGTCCTCCTGCCTGAGGCCATGACACCAGCTTCACAGAGCAGATACCCTTCTGAGACATGCCTGGAAACACTTCCCTCACACCTTGTTGTGTTTTAAGAGACCACCAGCACTTTCTTGCTACTTTTTCCAGAAATGGGCCCAGGGGCGCCTCTGACCAGCCTGTGAGGCAATGTCACCGACATAAAAATATCATGTGGGACTGCCTAGACAGCAGCATCCTCTTTGCTGAGCTATGCTACCCTGCAGCAAGTACCATTTTCTTGAGCAATTTGTCTTCGAACCAGAACGGGGCAGCACAGCCCAGACAAATCCAGGCAGAGAGTGTATGTCCCAGCTGAGCAGCATTTCTGTGAAAACCCCACACGTTTAGGGGAAAACAGTCTTTAGTGCTGCTAGCGGCACTGAGAGCGGCTGCGGAGCCCTGCCAGTTGTGTAGGCAATTGTTGAAGAGTCTCACTTTGTTAAACATGGATCTGGAAGCCTTCCCAGGCTATGCATCTGCCCCTCCAATTCGAGACCTAAAAGACTGTAGCTGAATGGGGAGATAATGAGTAAATACATTCCCAACGACTCCTTTGGGACGGGAATTAATGAACCATTATCTTTTTCTCTTGAGCTCTGAGTGGTCCCTACCCCCATTTCTCCCCTCCAAAACCAAGCTATCGGGTAGATGCTAGACACAAACAAACACCGACACCTGTGTGCCAGATGCGCAGCCTCACATATACACGGCCCCCCGAGCCTTTTACACAGCTTACAGCAGCGTCCCTCCCCGGGGATCACTCAGACCTGCACAACTGACAAATTACATGATGCCTCCTCCTCCCAGGCTCCTGCCCCTGCAGCAAGGGCAGAAACAGGAGGCAGCTAAGAAACTGCAGGAAGAGAAGTGACGTCGCTCCGAGAGCTGCGCTGCAGTGACAGGACCTCTGACAACGCCAGGCAGTCGATGCAACGCCTGCAGAGCTGAAGTGCACTCCTTTGGGTGCCAGACAGATGAGCTGCCCAGGCTTTGGGCACAATTTGCAGATGTTGTTGGAAGCCCAACTCAGCTACAGTATCATCGCTTCTGAATATGAAAGATTAGTCTAGATAATGCAACAGTAAAAGGAGCTAGCACAAAATGTGACGGGGTGAAAAGGGAGGCTCTAGGCTGAGTTGTTCTAATGAGAGGCTGTCAGTAGTTGAAAGAGCTTAGTCAAGTGTGGGACACTATTCAAGCAGAAGAAGAATTTCTGTACTGTGCAGTATTCAAGAGATAGGAGAGTCTGGGTAAAAATGCGTGTGTGTGTGAGAGAGAGAGAGGCAGACTGGCTGACAGGGAAAGGAGGAGGGGGTTGCACAAAGGAACGGCAGTGCTTTCTTCAGCTCAAAGTACCTTCAGTCTCTACCAATTCACAGAGATAACAAGCTTCTGAGAAAGATGTCTCTCAAGCACTGAAGTGTAAGATCTTCATTCTCTGCAGAGAAAACATGAGCAGTGTGTGGGGTATGGTTTGTTCCCATGAAAAGTGTCTGCGAGTCAGAAAGCTTGGTGGATCTGCCCTGAATTTTGATACTGCTCTTATGTCCTCTGTCTCAGTTTCTCCTTCTGTAAAATGGAGGCTATGATGCTTCCCTTTTTCTCTAAGGCAGCCTGAGGGTGATGTTTTGGCAGTGCTGCAGTTTCCAAGAGTGGCACTGTCTGCAGGGTGCTGGCAGTGTCCCCACTCCTGCACAGTGAGGAAGATGCCATTCGCCTTGCAGAGGCTGCAGTTCTCTGGCATGGGGAAGCACATGACAGTTTGCCCGGGGAAGGGCTAGTCCCAAACCAACCCTGAATGCTTGCTTCAAGACTTTTTTCCACAAGCCTCTGAGGAGACATCCTACTCCTTTTCTTGTACATTCTCTTCTCAACCCCTCTGCAATCCATGCCCAGCTGCCCTTCTGCGTCCTTAGGCATCCTCTTGCAGACTGAGCCACTTGTAAAAGCTCTCTGCAGGGACACTTGCCACAGAATGTCCTCATTATGTTTTACTCTCATTTTGCAGGGCAGCATTTCACTTTAATATTGCCAAGTGTTCATGATTAGGCACAGAGGTGACAACTCTTGTAAGACAGGTTGTGTGCAAGTGCTCATACTGTTCCTGATGCTATTGTCTCTCACTTTCTGCAAAGGTGAGCATTGTTCCTCTGCAGCATCAGGCTGTGCTGGGAAAATATCAGGGCTCAGATACACCTGCAGCTCTCTGGGGATTAACTAAGCACCTCAGATCCATTCGTCTGCAGGAATAGTGTATGTGCACGCCTAGGAGCATCTTTCCACACAGCTTAAGCTGATCTATCCCAATGACAAGTCCCACTCCTTGCAGTGGGGCTGCTGCCTTTGTGTTCATGAGCCAAGCTGGGTCAGGGAGTTAGACCAGACAGAAACTATTCACATCTGCAATAAAGACAGTTTATTTAGCTATCAGTGAAAACTGAGTGGAATGGTATTAAAGCTGATATTTACTTAGCAAACAGATATAGCTCATCAATTGCCATGGATTAGCTGATGCAAAGTTACTTATTACTGCACAATCACCCGGCAGTGCCCCTGAAGCAGATGCAAGCTAAGGCATCAGTGCCCAAGTCCCTGCCCTTGCAATAAGACAGCTACGAGTAATAGCTGCAAAAGCAGTTTGTAACTCTCACTGCACTCTGGAAATAACAAACCATGTCCTGGTCCCATCATCTCAAATGCTGCACCACAGAGACAATATTCTCACCCCATCAAGTGCATTGCATTTCTTGCTACACAACTGTATGGATAAAGAGTATTTATAAAGAACTGGATGGAAATGCTGGCCTCTAAACTTGAACCAGCTCAAATAACACTGTCTTTCTTTTCTCATTCACAGCATTCTTTATATTTGGGCTCCTCGCTTTCCTTGCCTTACCTCTGTCCATGACTTTTGTAGGTAAGTTGACTACTAAATTTGAAAGTAGAAACTACACAATTTGAAAACAGAAACTTCCTGGCACCGTATGGCAGGTTAACACATCTGGTGGAAGAAGGGGGTTGGAAAACCTAGAGTTTCCAACTGTTAAACCTGTGTGTTGGTACTTTAGCTTCAGATAGAATCCCAGCCTACACTGCATGTTGGGGAGTAAACAGTACTTGAATTCTGAGCCTGTTTATCTTAAATAGCCCTCCAGTGTGTCTTACCTCAAAGCAGGGTTCTGTCTGTGGGAGAAAGTTCAGAATCTGACACACGAGAAGATTTCATTAATCAGGATCCCTCTGTATTAACTGCCTTGTAAAAATCTTAGAAGCGTAATGCTGAAAGGGAAAAAGAGGTGCTCTAGGCTCCTATTTCTGAACCTTTTTGAAAGTCAGACCTGGTTTTTGGCTGATCTGTCTCTGTATAACCCCTCAAAGGCTGGATTTGTGAGTAGCATTTCAAGATCAAATATTTAAGAAAGGAAAATCCTTTAAGCTGCAGAATTTTATATATTTTTAAACTGCATAAGGCCCTTCCTTTCTTAAGCATCACCTTTTCCTTACCATTAACATAGATATTTATGTTTTGTTGATAGAGTATTTTCTTACACGTCTTTACTCTTTTTGGGCCTTTCACATCCTCTACAATGGATTGCAAGCCCCACTGGAGAAATATCAGTAGAGACACCAGTCCACCTCCACTTTCAGACAGGCTCACATGCTCACGGCATCCCTGACAGATGTTTGACTTGCCCTTGCTCAAGGAAATTCCACAGCTTCCCAAGGAGCCTATTTCAACATTTTATTGCTCTCACAGACAAAATATTTTCCCCCCTATCCAACCTAAATCTTCCCTATGGCAAATTAAACAGATTACAGCCTGCCCTACCCACTGCAGTCACAAAGACAGATTGGTTACTGTCCTACTCAAGAGATCCTTTGAACTGTTTGAAGGCTGCTATTATAACCCTTCTCCATCTTCTCTTTTTTTCCCCAAGAGATCTCAAAACCCTATTTCTTTCATCCTGACCTCACAAGTCACTGTTTCTACAGGTTTTTTGTTTGGTTTTTTTTTGTTTTATTTTGGGTTTGTTTGTTTGTTTGTTTGTATTTTTGCCTCCTTCCTTTGGCCTCTGGCCAATGTAACTATTTTTTTCCATTAAAAAAAGAATGAAAGATGGAACACAGGACTCCAGCTGAGACCTGAGAAATGAGCAGTGCAGAATAATTAGCTCCTCTGTTTAGCATGCAGGATTTCTGTAAACACACCTCAAAATGAAAGATGCTCTCCCTGCACCAACTCACTGGTGCCAATTTAGTTTATGGTGCATTGTAAGCCCAGATGGTTTTTGGCAGTGCTGTTCTCTATCAGACATTTCTCATTTTTTATTTGCATTGAAGTTTTCTGTCCTATAAGCAGTGTTCAGCTTTGTGGACTGTCATCGTGTAGATTTTGAATGTCTTTTTCCAGTGTATCCAGATCACTTCGAATTCTAAGTTCCATCCTCAAGAGCACTTACAATCCTTCCAGATGGGTGTCCTTGAGAAGTTGTTCACCTTCTGCTTCATTATTCATGAAAGATGGTGCAAGTAAACTCTACATGCAGATGCTGTGGGCAAGATGCATCCCACCTAGATTTGGACTGTATGCATGTGTAACCAAGCTGAGTGCCATGTGCTGTCCTTGCAGGCCACTAAAAGAAATGGGTGCTCCTGACAGTGAGAGTCCCACACCCTTTTAGATGTCTGCATAGAGACAAGGTGACTTTTAAGGCAGTCAGGAGACCTAAACTGTTGGTATGTATAGTTGGCCAAACCCACAAAAAATGTTCAGCTTAAGGTTAGTTTTGTTCCCTTTATCTGGGGCCTTCCAGGTATCAGTGATGACTATGATGGGATTCTGATTAGGATGTCCTAATTAGGAATTAGGGAGTTCTAATGAGGGATTAAGGAGCAATTAGGAAGTAGGGAAATGGACAGAACTGTTACATCTCAACACTTTGGCTCTTATACTTATCCATGACTTAAGATTGCTATTTATCCCTTAAGAGGATTTTAGCTTTAGCTTTTCCCCAGGCTGAATATGTCTGAGCTGTGAAATAGGGGTGGGAAGATATAATTCAAAATGTGGCACAACTTCCATGCATATTGACATCCAGACTTCTGGAAATGAATTCAGGGCTGGAATCTGACCACTTATAACTATAATTTCTCAGGAATATTTCATAATATCTTTAAGATCACTGAGATGTGGAAAGTGTATCGTAAGATATTAGCCTGGAGCTCTGGCTATCTCCTGAATCAGATAGAGAGCCTTTTTCTTTTTCACAACTTACTGAAATTAAGAGATAATGTCACTGTAATAATGTTGTCAGAGGATATTGGTTTCCTGCAGCTACATATCTGCAAAGTATTTTTAGGAAAATGAAATATCAAGGAAAATGCAGATATTTATTATTTAGGCAAAATTAATCTGATTTTCTGATAATATTCTGTTACTATGATATCAGAGAATAACTTGCTGATGTGCATCCACTCCTTTTGGCTCCTGCTTTCTACAGAGGAAAACTGAGATATAATATTTGCTAAAACTCAGAGAGTAATGACTGGCAGCTCTGGTAATAATTACACGTTAACATTATACACTCTTAAAATTTGATAATACTGTAAATCACAGTATAATTCAAGTACATATAAAGGAACTCAGCAAATTTTCCAGACTTATGACATCATTTAAGCCACATATTGTTTAGGAGCTTTCTAACTCTCTTACTGTCAGAGATGATTCCTTTTTTTCACTAAACACTCCAAAAATACAGAGAGTTTGAGGTTTTTTTTGTTTGGTTGTTTTTTTTAGTTTCTGGGACAGTAAAGTATTGCTCCCAATAACACATTCTTGTATGTTGTCTGGAATACCCTCATACACAGTATTCCCCTATGGTAGCTAAATCACATTTGAAAGCTGATGACATCATTTTCTCAATAAGCAGTCTATATTTCCCCCTGTACAATTTTAACCTACTAATATTCCTCACACTCATATCTACACCAAATAATTCCTCAACTCGCAAATGCTCCCAGTAGTTGTCTGAAGCCTATTCTCATACTCTGTACCTTCACGTGGGAACGTTCCAGTCCTGTGCTTTAGCAGTTGTTAACACAATCTCTCCTTGCATTTCAGTCCTTCAGCCACTCACCAGTTCTGTTTCTTCTGATTGGCTGATATGCTTTCTGATAAAACAGTACCCAAAAGCAATTCCTTCAAGATAAAACCCATGCAGCACCAGCATCCCAGTGTAAAGCTCACAGTCAGGGCTTGACTGAGGTCTGTGCTAAATGATGACAGCTGCAGTCACCCACCAGAAACAACTGAAAATGGCCTGGCATGTTGTGTCCTCTGCCTCCTATTGGAAGAAAAGGTGGGGAGCAGGCACCAAACACCAGATTAGCCTTGCTATACAGAAGCCCTCCTTTACTGTGGGGTGCACTTCAGCCATTTTCAGCTGAGAAGAGCAAAGCAGGTAAAATGGGGCTAGTGCTGCATTGACTTTCATTCATTGTGACCCCTCATCTCATGGATAATGGTGAATCACAGGTACACTTGGTTAGTAGTGATCCATTGTGGGCCACACCGCAACACTGCCCAAAATAGTGTCCTTAAAGAGCTCATATCCTGTTTGCTCACAAGTGCTCTTTCCACTTGCTGAACTTTGTGTCCTGGATCCTGCTGAAGTGTTGTTCTGTGATGGTCCTGGAAAAGAAGCTGCTTTCCTACTAGTTTTGGTGTTTCCAGATAAATCAAACACATGCTGGGTGAGAACTGAATGGCACAAATACCAGTGCCCATCTGTCAACTGTAGGTCCATATTTCCTCTTCACACCTTGGAGTTTATTTTTAAAGTTACTACTGTATTACCCACTTTGACCTATCTTTTGCCTGTCATATCTGTCTGCAGTATTCTCCCAAAACCTACAGTGTACCACTGCCTGTCATTCAAATCCTTCCCAAGACTGACTGCCATCATGTTACATATATGAAAGGACTCCATAATAGATTTATCTGGGAAAGAAAATCATAGAACTATGAGGGAAAAAAACAAAAACAAAAAAACAAACAAACAAAAAAAAACAAACAAAAAAAGAGGCTTTTTTTCTTGATTTTTTTTTTTGCCTCCAATCAAAATCTCAGTAACACACTAGAAACAGAAATTGCCTAGGTTCTTAAGCTGAAATATATTCCCAGTTATCCCTGGCCAGCTGCTTTTGTGGCAGGCTATTACAGGTCCAAGGACTCTGAAAACCCTGACAGCAGCTTTCTGAAAATGATATATTTGTGACAATTTCCCTGCTGCCTACCCCTGTAAAGCTGGGAGTCTGAGCAGGTCTTAGCAGTACATAGTGGCAAAATGGACAAAAAATTACAGCCTTGCAGTAGGGACAAAAAGGGAAAGAGTCCAAATCCATCTAAGTCCAGCCATTTTCAATTATGAGAAGGCTGCTAACAAATACTTAGTACAGAAGAGTTGACTGGACTCCACAGCCCTCACACACAGCAGATCACAAAACACTGTGTCCTATGACTAATATAGACTTACAGCAAGCAACCACAATCCAGAACACAGGAGAGATTCAGGACATCAGCAATGTTCTGGACCAGCAATACCAGTGGATTTGGTAGGTAAATTGACAAGCTGAAGAGGATTACAGCTGTAGAAAAGGGCAAAAACCTCCCACAAACGAACGAACAAACAAACAAAACCAAAACACCCTGGTACTTCTTTCCTGATTTTTCCTATTCAGTGTGGTTTTGAAAATGCAGACAAGACCTCCTGCATGAGAGATGTTTTGCACTAAGACCAGAACATTGCTTTCAGTATCCTGCATTGAGATAACCCCAATTATTCAGAGAAAAGTCAAAATATCTCCTTGAAAATTACTTATACAGCAAGAAGAAAACAGAAAATCCTTCCTGCCCTCTGCACCTGATCAGTCAAAGCCCCAAAACATGGGAACAATAACAGTAAAATTACAGTGTAATGAACAGTTTAAAATTTCTAAGGATGCCACCGGGTAAGAGACTTGGGCAGGGGGACTCATCCCAGCTAACTTTAGATACCTACAGCTGGCTGTCTAGATTCCTTGTATAGCCATGGAGAGACACAGGCTCTTTCAGGGCCCAGCTCACCTGACCCATTTCAAATGCCTATCTCAGGATAAATTAATTGAATTTTACAAGTATCTATTTCTCCCTATTAACTACAGAGTCTAGGAAACTAGTTCACACATGGATGCCCGCATTGCAGACATCTATATTTGGATAGATGAGTTTCACTGCCACAGACCTGTATCACAAGCTTCAGTCTCTACTGCCAGCAACATCCTTACACAGCCATACACTCCTTTAAAACTTATCCAGCTTTCTCTTTCTAGCAGCAGATCTGAGGGTTGCCAGGATCCCCACCTCCATAACAACCAATGCTTTTATCCTCCAGCAACCCAAACAGCCTGAAAACTTGAGCTTCTGCAGTTGCCTATCAGCTGCCTGGGAAACTAAAATGGTTCCAGGTGCTCCTACAGGCACTGGCTCCCAAGCTCCGAGGCCTCTCACTCAGGAACATGCCACACTCCCATGAGCTATTGAGCAGGAAAATCCTGGGAGAAGCTTATCAGAATTCCTTATATTCATAGTTTTCAATTCAGTGAATTTTCTACTGCTGATGAAAATTTCCTGTCCAGCTCAGTCAATGGTTCATTTAACAAATAGCAGAGGCTAAATGACCTCAATACTGGCTCCAATCAGTAATGCCAGAATAACAGTAATGCTGTTGTTACCTTTGCTCTCTTTCCTCCTTCTACTGCCTTTTGCTTGTTCATGGCCCTCACTCCTGTAGTGGGAGATGCAAACCCCCTTTAATTCAGACCCCATTTCAACAGATGCTGGATACAAGTCTTGGGTGTAAGCTCTATGCTTCACTAACAGCATCTATAGTTTGCACTGTACATCTTGTTGCACTATTTGATCACTTCAGATAACAAACATTCATTTTTGCTCTTTAGGAATGAAGTTTTTGGAAGATTGCCCAGTTCAGCCACTAATTCCATTATATCTGTTGGTGGGTGGCGTGATTGGCAGCTTAAAGGTAATGTGCCTTCTTTGTGCAAAAAATATTTTGTGTGACTAGACTTTGACTTGCTAGTTAAGACATAATGATGGCTCCAGACAGCCACATGCATGCAGTATCGGGATTGAATTGTGCTTTTTCCAGCACCCAAAGCACCCCTCAATCAAGTGAGATGCTAATGAGTTCAGCATTGTCCCACACATTGTGGTGTGACTTTCTCCTACATCACAGTATCTGTGCTATCATCCCTACTGAGGGAAATGACTACTTAACCATGGATGCCTGTAGTAAATGGAGTCCTTTTTCCACAAGCAGTCCTCCAAGCATGCCAAACCTTTCGCCTTCATTTTCACACACAGACTGGACAAAAAGTTAAGTTACTCTCCTAGCTTTGGGAATACTATAAAGCTACAAGTGTTTGTACATAATCCTTCACAAGTTCAATTTACTCCCACTCTGATCTGGCCAGAAGTAATGACTATGCAGCAGAGTAAATATGTCCCTACATCACAGCAGGGCTTATCAATCTAGGAGCAGCAATTTCTAACCACAATTACCTGTCTTCTAGTGGGCTGTGCTCACTTATATCTTTGCTGAGCCAGAGCCTAGCTGCTTGACCAGTAGAGACACTCTCATATCCATGTTGCACCCCGGTCGCTATAAAGCTATAACTCTGCATTGACTCTAGGGTAAAGGATCACCCTGTTCTGACAGTCGCTTTGCAGACAGTGTTTACTGGCTGCTAGGAAGCATGAAGAGCCTTGTCACAACAAGCTGAAGAGCTACTTTAAGGCTTCTCAACTGGTTTTTGCTGTCCCATTGATGTTTGTACAAAAGGAAGGAAGAGGGGCAGAGCTGAAAGAGAAGCTTTGAAACCGCAATGCTGGGGCATGAAGGGCTAAGAGCAGCAAGCAGTGCTGCTGGAGGACCATCTGTACTGGTAGCATTGGCTGTTCTGCAGTGCTGACCAGGGCAGCAGCAACCTGGCACCCAGCCAACATTCCCAGGAGCCTGTCACCGGCAGAGCAGACAGGGTAGACCTGATGAGTTGTGGCCTAATGTTTCAGTACACACAGCCTGTCCCTTGTAAGGGAACCTACTAGTCTTTGACGTGACAGCACTGCATCTTGCAGCCAGCAGACAATGCAGACAAGAGCTATCTACATTACCCTTTGATAACATTTCTAGCCTCTTTTCTATGTCAGGATTGAAAGAAATGGGGAAAGAATATTCCTCTGCAGGTCTCTGCATTCCGTGCACTCTTTCACAGTGGTAACCAAACCACAGTACCTCACTGGGATATGAATCATCCCCACAAGGACCTTTGGTCAGTAAATAAGTAAATGGACAAAGAAAGGAAGTGCTTAATCTTGTTACAAGGAATGTAACAAGTGACTTCTACTTACAAATGCTTAGTCCTTCGATCACACCAGTGGACTTATCTATATAATCAAGGTTCATTTAATAATGGTTCAGAAAAGATTACAGCAGAACTTAAAAGGAAATTTTGATGCTAATGGATTGAACTCTCCACAAAAAATGTTGACTATTTCTTAGCTATTTCTTGTTTAAAGACAGTTTTTCTCACTCCAAGTAAGGTGGTAAATGGGTCAGTTAGTATTCATTATGTGAGAAATATCTCTCAAATTTCGGAGACGGTCAAATAAAGTAAAACAAAGAACTTTATTTAACAGCACGCTGGGTGCACTGAACTCGTGGCCTCATTCCAGCACACCTGACTGAGAGGGGACAAGCCTTTTTAAGGTCTCTTGATTTACATAACCACTCCCTCACACCTCCCACGCCAGGCCTCACTCTTTTCTCCCTTAAAAGGCAGTCTTTGCTTTCTGGTGCAGTCCATTGGTTGCACCAGATCCACCTATCAGGTTGTTTCCCTGCCCCCGGCCGCATGGTCCCTTAGCAGCAAGCCCAAATTGGTCTTACTGCCTTACATGCTTTCTGATTCGCCTAACAGTGATCAAAACAACAAGAACAGCAAGCAAAGCAGTGGCCAGAACAATATGAACAGTAAGGAAAGCAGCAAGCAGCAGTAAGTAACAGTGATCAGTACAACCAGAACAATAAGAACAGCAAACAAAGCAGTCAGTAACAGTGACCAGAACAACACACAACCCACCAGGCTCCTGACCACAAAATGGTTCTTCAATCTCTCCAAACAAAATGACCTCCAGGTATCTCAACATGAGGTAACCATGGAAATCCCTGCTTATAATAAAACCGTCTTATTAATTTCTCACAATTATGACTTCAAATAATGGCTTGAATTTTGCTTCAGTTGACAACAGGACTTCTTATTTTGCATTCTGGCAATAAATTTGGTCAGAACTTGATTGGCCTAACTCATGTGTCATCTCATAGTACTTGGTCTGTAGCCGAATTCCCGTCTCAACCCTGCCCTCTGTTATGTCCATTGGACTGCACCAAGTTCACTGAGCAATACATCTGCTTGACCTCTGAAGGTTAAAAGGTCAGAGAATGGGTGTAGGATGAAGTCTGAATGAATGCTGTCCTGTGTTGGACATCATTTAATAGCAAGTCATTCTGGTCCAGATCTGTGCAGTTTTATAAGCTCCTCATCTATTTCTTTACCACCTCCAATCTTTCAAAAGGCAATGGCAACCTACAACTGCTCACCGAGGCAACTGAACCATTCTATGGCATCCAGAGAGGCCTGTTGAATTCAGATCATGCTGCTCCATAAGTGTATATTCAGCAGTTAGTAACAATGTGAGCAACTGACAGAAATTGCTTCAATCACAGCTTAGCAAGGCAATATCCATAAGAATTAAATGTGCTTTCCGTGAACTGGTTAGATGCAGTTGAGATCCATAAATCTACATGGGATGTTTCTCTGACTTCCTCAAAGTGAATACTCATCTGCCATTTAATCCCATTCCCATTGCTGAGCTTCGTGCTTGAGTACAGGCAGCTATCTATGTGCTGAGCTCATCTCAAAGCTAATGAACTGCATGGGGCTTCAGGTTGACCTACAGGTCCCCCCATGCAGAAACCGTGGACCTACTGGCCAAGTAGGTTTTTCCCTCCTGTGTGTCGTGAGCTAAATGTTCACCTGAGAGGAAGATGCTCTGCTGGTTTGAACAAGTCTATCAGTTTGAGGGCTCAGCTGGAAGTGAAACAACCGGTGGAAACACCTTTTTTATTTTCCTGTCTTGGTGCTGGGACTTTAATCTGTGTTTCTCACATGGTAGCAACATCCGGGCTAGAAAAACAGTCAGTTTTGTGACAAATATTTAATCATTTATAAATAATCAAACAGTTTTACAGGGAAGAGTAAGAGAAAACTCTTCCCAGGATGTCCTGGATTCTCTTGCTAAGCCTTGCCTCTTGAAAATGGGGCACATGGACTAAAATCCGAACCAGACAGAACATATACCCAAACAGGTTTCTCTTGGCCAGTGTTCTGGAGAAGGGAGAGTGTAAAATGAGGGATGCTTTTCTCTTTCATTTCAATCAGAAAAATGAGCACAGATCATAATTCTGTAAAAGAGAGCATGGCTGAGAACCCCTGTTTGGACAGTACATTTCTCCCCATAACCACATCTTTTATCTTTACCTCTACATTTCGTTCTTGGTTGCCCAAGGCAGCTTCCTGCTCAGCTAGTTTCTTGGAGTCCCTTTCCCAAAGACACAGCTCACTGCAAGGAGACTTGCACAGGAACCTGAGTACCTAAAAAGGGGAGTTGCAATTACAACAGCTAGTACCTTGAGGACTGGGCCAAGCATGTCAGGTATAGGAAATAACACAAGTTTCACAACATTTGGCCAAAATCCTTGTTGGGCTCTGTATATACGTCTCCTATAAATCTATGGAAATTAAGAAGGTCATTGAGGGGACAGAAATATGAAAGCTTCTCTACACTGCAATCTACCTATGTTCTTCGTATTGCCAAGACTAAACTAGAAATTTAAGCATCACTGATGAGTCCTACTGCATTTCTCTGTATACCAGACCTTCCTAACCACACGGTATTGTGGTATTCCACCTACTTCTCTGTTAGTTCTGACTGAAGGCAGAAATGGAGCAATCTGAGAAAATGACACTTAATTGAAGAAAACTTGACAACAGTATCTGAAGCAATTTATTTGAGGTTTAGGTCACAGTCTAGATGCTTCATAATTTACCTATATAGACATGGAAAACAGAGTTGGGAGAGACAAATCCACCCACTACAAGGCAGGAACTACACTACTTAAGTCATTTAGCAGTTACTCTAATCTGTTCTCAAAAGTCTCCAGCGTGGGAGCTGCTGCCATCTCCCTACACAATCTGTTCTCATATGCCTTTCCATCCTTACCATTGGCAAGTTTTTTCCGATGTCTCACCTAAATCTCACTGGTGAATAAACTGTAGGGAAAAAATGCATTATTGTCCAGCAGGATCTGCCTCATTTGTGGCTCCTTAGCTTTCTCTTACATGATTTTCCCCCATGGAATTTTATTTGGCCCAAAGACTGGCAGTGGCCAGAAGGCATTCAGACTTTCTGCAGCCAATTTACCTATTCCCTTTTCTCCCCCAATGCCTCCAGGTGACTCTCCTGCTGTATGACTCAACCAGGATGAGGCAGCTGCTTTCCAAGTCTGTTGTGATTGATGATGATGATGACGACGAATATCCCTGGAGGCAGAATGCTCACAAGTACTACATCCATCTAACCCTCAGCCTTTTCCTCTTTCTCTGGTTCATTCTTGGGAACTTCTGGGTTTTTTCTGTGTACCTGCCAAATTTCATCCCGCCTTTTCATCAGCCTCAGGATTACTGTGACAAAACCCTGTACATTTTTGCTGTTGGTGTTCTCATTATTAGCCATACTGTTCTGTTTCTCCTTATCTTTTGTAGCTGCTGCATATATTGTTTTTCCAGGCAAAGATTCTCTTCTGAGGAAGACTAAATGTCACATAAATAAAGCCCTAGATGTTTGGGCAAGAGTGTACAACAAAGAATAGGCAATAATACACCCTTATGTACATCTTTGTTGTACTATATGTATGTGTGATAGCAGTCAACTGCAAGAGGAAAATGTAAAATATAGTGCCATCTGGAAATAGCTATGCTGGAACACAGCATAGTCTATATAAAATTGCTGCTACAAATGCCAGGGTGCACTCTTGCTAACTTTTGCATCCCTTTTTTAACTCTTGGATGTTCTATCTGGAGCAAGCTCCTGCAGATGGCAAACTCCTCTAAAACCAGGTCTCCTTATGTTGTATATACGGCACAGTACAGCATAGTACATTTTTGCCTGTAAAAGTAGCCATATTGTCCTCTTCATTGGAATCTGAGCATCTCCATAACCTTGCTGAGATTTGTTCTGTCCCTGCATTACATACAGATGAGGGAGTGAGACAAGGAGACAAAGGGCTGTATTCAGGCCACTTTGCATGGTTCATGGACTTTGACAGTAAGTTAGCTGCTTGCTAGAGAGCAATTCAGGCCACAGTCAGACCAGCCAGGAAGTAGCCATGATAGCAGTACAAACATGTATAAAAGGCAGCCTGAATACGGCCCTCAGGTCTCTTCTAAACTTGGCCTAGAAAGCATCTATATCTAACTTGTGGCAAAAACAGGCAGTATGAATATATCCATATACATCCAATACATCCAAACTGAGGCCAAGGCTGCTTTGCAAGTCTTTGGTAGAATATGGTACTGAGCTACTGAATATCAGATTGGTGCTTCAACCAGGGCTCAGCATTTCCCAATATGGGGAGACTCTTCCTCCTACTTTTTCTATAGCAGTAATTTGTCAGTACCACACTAACACAAAGATGACTGTCACACCCTTGTGATCAAGTCCATAGAAAAACTCATGATGGTATGTTGGTATTTTAAATATTAAAAAAACCAGTAAGACATTGGCAGAGATGTGTTCACTACAGCATTTCTCTGGTTGTGGCAGGAGCATACATTTGATTTGTTCACCTTGGTGCTGTACATGTGGAAATCTATACTTCAGTGGACAGATATAATGCAAGCAGCTTTTGAGTCAACAACAGTGTCAGCTTTAAAAGTACCAGCATGCACAGACACAACTGCTTTGTGTCTGTGTATGCAATGGAACAAGCCCAGAACTGGTTCTGCTAGACTGTTTTTTCATGTGTTGATGAATGCAGTGTAAAAGTGCTCTTTCTGCTTTCGCTTTTATGCATTTCTGTTAATATGGTCAAAATGGAATGGCTCCCCTCTAGATGAGCACAAGGGTGGCCCCAGGCACAGGAAGTGGATGTGTGTTTTATGTATTTTTTCTGTTAAAACATAGCTGAAGCCTATGTTTTAGAGAAACCTGAGAGGGTTATACAACGCCTGTGGAAGGGTGAGATCTGTAAAAGAGCTCAGCAATATGCCACAGATGAATAGGGTCTGTTCAACCATCCTTCCTGGGATTGAGACTGAACACAGTGGGAACCACCTGTCTTCAACCATGACTATTTATCTCACGGGTTGTTGTATAGGTAACTAGAGCTGCATTTGGTCCCTAAGGATTTTAATTCAGGCCCTGGCTTTAAGAAATGTTTATTTCCAGAAAACTAATCTTAGAAATAAGGTAGAATAAAGGGTGAAACAATCTGTCACGAGGGCAGCATCAGTGTAGCATTCCCCTGCTCTGCTTCCCCCTCAGGAGAGGTCACAGTCAGGCTGCCCCTGTTCTGAAACCAACGGAATAGGAATTACTAACTCTGCTGGCTGACTTAGGCCATGCACAGTTGTATGTAGGGAGATATGACCAATGGAAAACTTTCCTTTTATTTGTGAGCCTCAGATTGGACCTGGGAGAAATCACTGGCTCTGTTTCCCAAAGAGCTGCTCTACTACATGCTCTCCACTGGCTCTCTAGTGGTACCTTACCTTTCTAAAACATAACTGCTGCCAATGGTGAAATGCTAGAACTCTTTTCCACCCCAAAAACTTCACTGGCTCAGCACTGAGCTCCTGGATTTCAGTCTTCAGTTCTGATCTAAGGGATTTTACCTTCAGTAGAGAGCATCTTTCATTCATTAAGATACCAAAGTGATTAAGAGATTACCTATCAGCAGGCATAACTCCATCCATCACTCAAACACAGCAAAGCAGCTGTTCATCATTACACATAAATTTTACCCAGAAGCTTGGAACAGGCATAAAACTAGAAAATTATACTCAGTTGATAATGCAAAAGAAATTTAAAAAGAAAGTAACTCCACCCACAGGACTCCAGTACATACTTCCTCGTTCTTGCAAAATGCTGCTAGAATTATTCTTAATCACAAGGAATTAAAAGCTAATACTCTTGATTTAAGTCTGAATTGATTCCTGTGTCTCTGTTCATCTAGTGATCCCACAGAAAATGATGATGTGCTCCTAGCTGAGCAAATATGAGATCATTTTAGTTCAGCTCGGAGAAGAAGAGACATAAGCTAAGTCACATTCCCTTGTGTTTGCTGTGTGCCTGTGTGAGCATAGTTACAGCAGCTCAGCACATGTGCAATGATTTACCAAACTTCAGCCACGCGATTGTAAGGCTGAGGCCTATGTTTAATTCATGGAAGGCTAAGACTGACTGATTCTCTACAGTCTGACATGGAGGATTAATTCTATAGATAAGAGAACCCAGTGCATCCATTGACATCTAGGAAAAGTGCTGCCAAATCCCAGTGCTAGCGTTCAGTACCTGGTCAGTACAAATGCAAAATTATAGAGGAGGCAAAAGGTATTTGTGAAATACATTGAAGTTATACAACCGTGCAGATGTGGAGCAGGGACACCTGGTTTTGGGCATGTGATTACATACAACTGAGTTACAGTGACTTACTAAGTTAGCACTCCTGACACACCATTGGCAGCATAGTTTCTCTTGAGTTGCCACAATGGCAACCTAGACTTATTAGTTTAGCTGGAGGCACTTGATCTCACTTTGGGGTAAGCCAGGAACATGTGCATGGGCCACAGCACCTTAACTTGCAAGCACCAGCTTTTTAAATTGCTACTGATGGTGTTACAGACACATTCTCAGTCCCTGGAGAAGTAGGCAGGTGTGGGGGAATTAAGTCATTACAGCCCAAAGGTCAAGTGGCTGAAAATACAGTCTACACCTTAAAATATTTAGTGTTTTGCCACTAGACTAAAATTACAAACTGAAAACATTCTTTTTTTTTTTCACAGTAATATAAATTTCTTAGGAAAACTGAACAAAATATATCCTTAAGCTAATTATTATGAACTCAAACCAGCTGTAACTGTTTCAGTTAAAGCATCTGCCCTTCTTGAGAAAGAAAGGTCCATTTCCAGCATTTAAAGGAAAAAATGTACATTATTTCAATGAATTATATGGCTTGCTCACCGCTAGTTGTGAGTACTACAGAAATCTAATAATATAAAGATACAAAGACAATTCTGTATGCACATACTGACTCTATACATATCATAAATGCAATCATAGTACTCATGAAATAAGTTGCACTTATTACAGTTTATTGCCCACAGTATATTTGTTCTCCCACTACTCTACCTTCTTTAGCAATGAGCATAATATTCCAAAGCTCTAAGAGAGCAGCTTCCCACAGCTATTTTAGAAGCTGCAGACAGACTGGCAATGTTTTGTTTTGTTCCCTCGTTCCAAATGTTGAACACAGACAGCTTCTACCTGCTGACCCAAAGAAGAGAGAAAAGAAGAGCATCAGACATATCAAGACCTCATCTCTTCAGGAGTGGAAATAGGAATGTTGTGCTGTCAGAGAAGATGATACCTCTCACACAGCACTTGCTCTGAGCTTCATGAGATCCCAAGACATCAGACTCTAAACTACAAGGTGACTGCACAGAAAAAAAATAAAGAAGCAGAAGCTATTCTGAGTTGTGCCAAGAGCTGTTTTGAATGTCTCAGATCCTGAAATGTGAATAGTTGGTGTAAAAGACCCTAAATGCTTTGACTTTAGAGGCAAAGGGCTATGAAGGTTAAAACGGTGATAAACCAGTATATATTGTACAAAATTCTAAACCAGATCAGTTTCTGTAAGTTATCTTGAATCTTATCTCTGAGTACTCATCTTCTCCATATTTTAGTTGATAGGGATCTTGCATCACAATGGGGAGCCATGTATGTTCTATATATAATATAGAAAGGATTGTTATATCAGGACTGCAGTTTTAAACTGTTGCTTCTTGGTGTAAGTTTCTTCGGGTTCCTGTTTACTACTGGAGTAGATGAAAGTCCCACAGGTGTTAGCCATGGGAGGAAATAGAAGACATTTTTAGAAAGTACAATATTGAGGGAAAATAAAAAAGGCTGACAAGTGCCGTCTAATATTGCATAGTACAAGAAAACAAAGTAGAAGGAAACTGCTAAAAAGTACAATGTCATATTGCAAGGTTTCTGAACAAATTGTATAAAACTCAGAAATCATGTATATGTGTTTGTAATACTGAATTTCTACCAAATGTCTTATTTGAATAAAAATAAGTGTAAGTGCATGAGCCTATGTGACTGCAGTCTAAAAATTAAGGTACTTTACATTTACCAGTCATGCTAATTATAATCAACCCTGCTGCAATTTCACTGAGATGAATAGTTATATCAGAGACTGATTTCGCCCACAGATTTGAATCTAAGCCATAGTGACTCTTCTGTACGATTATTAGCACTCAAGCAAAGGAAGAACCTGTGATACCTTTCCACATCCTGCAGTACAGCAGCTCAAATGTGAGAGGGCCTCTGAGATGCAAACTGTGGGCATGTAGGCCAACATACATAAAAGATTTCTTTTAACAAGGTCCTCTTGATGTCCAGATGAGTTAGGTAACTGCATATTGAAGGGAGTACAAAAAAGATGAAGAGGGACTTTTTACAAGAGCATGTAGTGACAGGACAAGGGGGAATGGACTTACACTGAAAGAGAGTAGGTTTAGATTAGCTATTAGGAAGAAATTCTTTACTGTGAGGATGGTGAGGCACGGAACAGGTTGCCCAGAGAAGTTGTGGATGCCCCCATCCCTGGAAGTGTTTAAGGACAAGTTGGATGGAGCTCTGAGCAACCTGGTCTAATGAAAGGTGACCCTGTCCACGACAAGGGGGTTGGAACTATATTATCTCTAAAGTCTCCTCCAACCCAGGGCATTCTACAATTCTATGATATCCTGTGGATTTGATTCTCAGTCCTTTGGAAAAAAACCAAAACCAAACCTTTCAGTACCAATATAAAATGAATACACAGGGTGCAAACAGTGGAGGAAAAAACCCCACTATGCACACTTATTCACAAGTTGTTGTAGAAAATACCTTTTTATTATCATTGCTTACTTTTGCTTTTTGTATCACTATTCTACTTCTGTATGGATTTCACAATACTAGTTCATCAATATGATTTATCAGAATATATCAGAAAAAGAGTTGCTTCAGTATTTTTACTGGACTTATAAAAAAAAAATTGTCCTGAACAACAGGTGAAATAAGACTTTTACTAAACAAGTGTGGTGCTTTTTTACATGTGAGGGTTTCCACAGCTTTGCACGGGTAAGTTTCACACATCATTGTGGGTTCTGTTGTAACAGTATATGGACTGCTTGGAGACACAAAACTTCAGTCTATTCCTTTTGTATTGGAACACAACATACAACAACCATGTCAGCTGAGGTATGATTGTTGCCCTGCTTTTCAATACCTCTCGGTGGATACATACTATTAGATAACATCTGCAATTTGGTAACAGTTGCTATAGAATAATCAATACATTAGCACTGGTTATTAAAGCAGCAAGATTTGCAGAAGAATAACAAATAAAAGAATGGAGTGTAGCAGAAGTCACCTGAGTCAATAAGCCCATGAACATTCCTGTCCAACAGCTGGTAGTAAGAGCAGTAAGTTCTAGTAGAAGAGCAGTAAGGAAAAAAACAGGTAGCTGAAGAAAATCACTTTCACAGCCTAGCAACAAACACATGCATTCAAGTATGTTGCCTACTGTAACGGCAAAGAATTTTTCAGTCATGGGAATAATAGAATTATATTTTACTGACTAAAAAAATTATTTTCTAGGATGCATTTCAACTATAAAGCTCGTATTATTTTTAGAAAAATTACATATTTAAGCACACATAAGCTATTTGATACATTGGAGATTAATTAGGTTGGCAGCAGGTTTAGCTGTTTTTCCCAGCCAACTCTTTTTCACTTTGGGAGGACACTCAGCAGCCCTTCTTGCCAGGACATTTCTGACCCTGGGAAGCCCTACAGGCTCTCAGAGACCAGGGCATTAAGCAAACCTAGACTTCTGATAAGACACAGTATGAGATTCCTTTTACTGGCCCCTGAGCTAAAAGGAGTGATTAAGCTGATGACATACTGCCACATTTGTTTCTCAGTAACAAAAGGCTATTTGGTCTGGGGAAAGTCCAGCTCTTCACTGGAAACAACACTTGATGACAGCAGCTGGCAATCTTGGTGGTGACTGGGGTACATAACAAAGCAAGCACCCTACTGTACACAAAAACACCACACAGGCCAGAACTTAACCCCTCCCTGCGTTCGGGACGAGCAGCTTTTGCTTCTCTCATCCTGCTACTACCATAAGCACTTCAGACATGCCCCTGAGACCTCAGGGCATGAATGTTCCTCTTCAAGCACTCACCAAACTCTGCTTCATCCAAGTAACAGGATAAGTGTCGACTGCCTCTCCACAAATTGCCAACTGCTCTTAATTGGTGGTGGGGCAGTGCTAGTTTCTAAAGCAGGAGTTTTCAAGTGTTCTGCCTCCAGAGCTGAGGCCAGCATGGCAAAAGCACGCTTGGGAGTGGCTCCCACAGCAACAGTGGCTTGCACACAGTTGCCACTTCTTTGGAAATCTGGCCCCAATTCTAGATGCTGAGCTTTTCTGCAAATCTGGGCCTTAAAGCCTGTGCCTGTTCCCACTGCAGTCAGTGGCGACTGAATCAGTTCTGATTGATTTAATGGGGGCAGGCAGAGAGACTTAATTAGAAAATTAGTAGCTGCAAGGAAAGGAGAGAATGCACAACAGCCTGCCAGATCTCTGGCATGAAGCAAGCAAAGGAGCCAGTTGTTCTTCAGACTGAGATTGTAGCCTCTCAACAAAAACCCTCAGAAAAAAAAAAAAAGGAGGATAATAAAAGAGATTGGCTAAATAGTCTTGAAGCTGCTTTAAACATCTTCTAGAATATATAATTGTTTTTCAGCTCTCGAGTACTCTGTCTACTTTTTAGATCTGTCCCCAGGAAGAAAATATGAAACATTCTGAAACACACAGCCTTCGAAAGCAATCGGCATTTTCAACTTTTCTTTTGTGTTGGAGATAATTAACACTTTGCTTAAAACTCCTTGCTCTTTGACAGGTACAAAGATTAATCAAGTCCAAAGTGTATTCTTCATATTAGTCCAGCTGGATGCCAGAGACCTATTTTTCACCAGCTCTTGTTTTAAGAAAATACTGAGATTCTCAATTCATTACTGCATGAAAAGTCCTCACATCGGGAAGCTCACAGCCACAATATTCCAGAATTTTTGCTTTGAGGATTACCTGAATTCATGTAGGGCCTGCATAACCTGCTTTGGGGCTGTTTCTGCACTGGTAAATGCATCTAACAGAATGCAGGATCACCAGTGCCAAGCTGTGTAGTGTGAATCCTGGTGCAGCCTCATCCATAGATCTTGGGAACAAATTATCCCTTGAGCAAACTATTATCCTGATGATATCTGAGCTTGTTTTAGACAGAAGTATTTGCTTAATAGCTATTGGGAGCCTCAGCATCAACAATAATTTGCCTAGTATGGGCAATAAGAGGATCAGGACCTGGGAAGTATTTGATAGTGTAGATATACCTGAAGTGTTGCAGTCCTTAAGGGAAGGAGTTAACTTAATATGTTTTATCAAGGCTAAGCACTGCATTGTGTTCATTGTCCAGGGTGAAGCCATTTTGTTCTTTGCTCAAATGAGGGAAATGTCAGGAGCTCCAGAGACTCATGGCTCTCTTGATTCTCCCACTTCTAGTGGGAGAGCCAGATTACACATATATATCACTAGCTGGCTGTGACAGCTATCTGAGATGTTGTCTGCCAATCTATGAGAAAAATTCTTTGTTTAAAAAAATCCCTCATGTTCAGAGCAGTGTCCTATCAGAAGTTATTGCTAAGCTAGTAGCACTCAAGAAACCAAAAGATGTAACTTTCTCACTTTTCAAAGCTCCAAGATGTATTCTAATTCAGCTAATTAGATGCATCAACCTAGAATTAAGTGCCAAAAGCAACATATGCAGCCAAACTTTTGATGTGGGCAGAAATTTCCCTGTGAGAATACTGTGATGCAGGCCCTTCATTAGCACCATTAGCACCACCCAACTCTTGGCAAAGGTACATCTTGCCTTTCTCCTGCACATGACCCCATATTGCCTCATCATCATGATAGCTGGGTTAGGAGAGAGCACTTACATGATCTGTACAGTTCCTGCCTCTGGAACAACAATACAAAAGCACAACACCACAGGGGGTGAAGTGAGGTAGCAGACACATCTAGGTGTTAGGACAGCGTGCAACAGGTCCCTTCTGATGTGAAAGCTGGAAAATCTTGGAGGTCTTTTCCAACCTTAATGATGGATTCTATGAAGCTGTTCAGATAGATAGAGTGTTGTGACAATTCCTTTCTGGGTGCAAGCTTAGGCCCTCTGTAAAGAAAAAGCAAGTGTTTCTAAGCAGAAATCTCTAAGTTGAATGTGCTCAGGGATTGTTGCATGCTGGCAAGGGCATAGTTTCTGAGCATTTACAAAATCTCCTTAAAATGGCATTTGTTAGAAGGGCATGGGTAGCATTACAGTATTTATAGAATATCCTCTGAGAAAATTCTGTGTGTACCAGGATGACTCCGCTACTCAACTCTACATTAAAACATCTTCTCTAATGTTAATACAAGAAATATGCTGTAATTGCCCATTACTACTTAACCCCAAAATATTATGAGGTGCTCCCATTGTCTGGCTGCCATAATCTATTTTTTGACTCATGGACAGCTTCTGTCATGCATACTCACATTAGTTAGTACCTCAGGGCTGCATCATCCAGCATCTTGCTGATCACAGTCCAAATGGTTTAGCGTGCAAGGAATTGGCTGTATCTGCATACACTTCATTTACTTTCAGAGATCAGCAGACTGCGGGGATGCACTCCTTAATTTATGAGAATAGAGGCTGAGACTACAAACAACACATCAGAGTCATCATCCCATTCTGCTTGTACTAGCCACAGTCTCAGTACTTAAGAAATAAATACAGAAACACAGAAATGACAAGGGAATAAAACACAACCTGGTTTATTGCATTTATTCACAGGAGCTTCCATTGTTTTGTTTGGGCTTTGCTAATGTTTTTCAAAATGAAACCATATTTCCTGTAAAGAATGCAGCTAATTCTGTGGCATAAGTAGCTGTGGAACATTATTGTTCTCCTAACAGCACACTGAGATGCAGAGAGGGTTATGAAGCCCAAGGTAAGACAGTCTCTAACTAGCATGAAAATGTGGAGCAGCACTGCAGTTTTCTGCCTGGATATTCATAACAGCAGGCATGCCCATATAATTCTCTGGATTTCCCCTGCTGAGCCAGGGTTTGAGGAAAGTAACCATGCAGACTTCTCTGGGCTGTGAGGGAAAGGGAGAAGCTGAAAGGCTTCCTGGGCATGGGACAGAAAGAAGGAAGAGGGGACATTACCTCAGCCTGCATGCAGGACTTGCACAAGCCTAACATCTGCTCTGTTCACAGCGAGTGTGATTATCAGACATCATCATAGCAGTTTAGGCTGTACAGTTTTGGTTGCCAATTGCATGTTGTCGGTGATGATCACAAAACTATTTCCATATACTCACAGACATCACAGCACATGTCCATAGTTTAGGCTGCCACTCAATTTCCACTACATGAAATAACGTTCTGCCACTCACACTACTGCCAAGCTGTTCCTTTCTGCGCCCAAAGTCTCCATTTCAAGCAACAGAATCAGGATGAATTGTTTAGGAATACTTTAGTCACAAACTCCCAGGCATTTCCAAGAACAAGATCAGTTAAACCTGACTCAGGCTATTGTTTTTTTCATAGAGTCTTTCAGCTGTTTTAATAAGAACAAGCATTTTTAGATTTCATGCAAAAGCACAACATGTAGCTAGATGGTCTCTGCATGGAAGAAAACATCACTGTGAAAATGTGTCTCTTTGCCCTCTGAAAACTCTTACTTCACACACAGTACACAGTACAAGCGGACAGTGCGGAGTTCAGTGAGTTCAAAAGTGTAACTTGATAGTGGGAAGTGCCTTTTGTATGAGCCTAATACTCACACAATGTGCTGAGAAAGTGGAAGACTTTAGGATGAGGCCTTTGCCAGAGTGAAGAGATTTAGAAAAAGAAGTATCAGACTATCATACAGGATCAAAAAAGAATATTCCCATTTCTCCCCTATCTCTGCTATTGAAACCAGGCAACTTAAGCTCTTGAAAACTTAGATAGGGTTCTCTGCATATGACCTTCCCACACCACGTAAAATACCTGAATTTATCTAACTTGCACACTGAACTTTCTAAGTGCATAGTCCTTTCATGTACTTAAAAGCATAATTATACCTATAATGACAATTTCCTTATGGTTAACATGGGCTGTCCAGATGTACAACTCCAAGTGATTCTCTTGGGCTTCATAGCTGCAAAGCACCTACCAGAGGAACTGAAAACACATTTTGAGTTTCACTTCCCCTACTGCAACAGCCATACGTGTACCCTTTCCTTACTCCTATACTTTGCTCCATTAGTAGGAGCTGGATATTTAATGGATTTGTTATGCAAAACACTCCTTGGTGTAGCACAACACGGTTATGTTTCTGTGAGAGCATCCCTTTGACAGCTTTCCAGGGCAGAGGGTGCAGGCATAGATCCTGGAACTCTGCTCCCCATTCCCAAAACACAACACCCCGTTTGCAGTCCTGGATTAGCTGGCAGCAGCATCTGTCCCGACCAGGTGCCATGGGAAACTCTCCATCCTTCCTCTGCCACCACCATCACCAGGCACAGCCATCTCCGTCGCGGCAGGGGCTCGCTGCGGCTGTCCTTGATGGCTAAAGAAGAGGAAAAAACAGAAAAGCAGAAACAACTCACAAACTGCTGCTGAGGGGGCACGTGGCACAGCTCCCCCCTACTGACAAGCTCATTGCCCGCCCTCGCACCCTCCATCAGCGCTGCCGGTCCCTGGCTGCGGGGACGACCGGGCGGTGCCGCCCCTCGGCCCTTACCTAACGCGGGCAGGGCTGACCTTATGTAAGGGCAGAGGCGGGGCCGGCACCGCTGTGGTGGAGGCAGCAGCGCCATGTCCTGGTACCGCAACACCGTGTGGTTCGTGAAGGGGCTGCGGGAATACACGAGGTACGGGCGGCGGCCCCCGCGGGCGGGGAGCGCGGCGTGGGGCGGGCGCAGCGCCCGGGCCGGGCCGGGGCGTTCCTGCCTGCCCGCGGGAGTTCAACTGGCTCGAGTTTATTATTTTATTTTCAATCGACCGCTCCCCACCCCGCCAAGCCAAGCAGATTCCCGCCCCTCTCTGTGAGAGCTGCACGACCCGCCCCGCCCCGGGGCTGCGGCCGGACCCCTTCCTCTCTGTCGAAGTCCGGGCTGGGTGGTTGTGGCGAGCGAACGCCACAAGGAGGTGCTGTCGTGGATGGGGTTGTAAAGCACTGGCACAGGCTGTCCAGGGAAGTGGTGGAGGCACCGCCCCTGGAAGTGTTCAAAGATCATGTGGCTACGGCACTTGAGGACATGTGTTGGAGGTGAACGGGGTGGTGGTGCTGGAGTTGATGGTTGGACTTGATGATCTTAATGGTCTTTTCCAACCTTGATGCTTCTGTGGTACATCACTGGTTGCAGTGTCACTGGCACTGTTTGTGGCCTGTCCCACGAGTACAGACAGTAACAGGGCAAGGGAGGGCATTCAGCTGAGCTGTGAGGGAAAAGTGCTTTTCAACTCTCTCCCCTATGTTGTTTTTTTTTTCAGAAGGGCTCTCTTCTGGTTTCTTATGGGTGTGTCTTGCTTTATTCAGGGGCGGCTACGAATCTGCTTCCAAGCACTTCAATCCAGCTGATATGGAGGTGGATGTGTCTGGGAGATCCTTCCTGGTCACCGGTGCAAACAGTGGCATTGGCAAGGCCACAGCCAAGGAGATAGCGAGGAGAGGTGAGCTGGAATATCGTGGAGCTCTGAGAAGTTGATACAGATAACATGGAAGGAAGCAGGTTTAGCCTTCCAGCATAAACACACACAAATGCATGGGATGAGGGGTCATTTTACTGGGCTCTTAGTGTGGGTTACACGTTAAAGCGCAATTGGTGCTGTGAAAACTGGCATAATGAAACCAAATAAATGGAGAGGATCTGCACAGTGTTTTTGAAGTGCATGTTTACCAAAACTATTTGTGTTATTGTGGCATCTAAGGATGTTGGTGATGGATCATGGTCTTTTTAAAGCTGATTCAGTACAAGTAGCAGCCTGGCTGAATTTGAACTATTTTGAAGAACTTGTGAATTTATCATATGATGAAAGAAAACAATTGGCTTTGCAAAGCTGAGATGGGAGAGTATAGAAGAAGCGAAGTAGTTGTGCTTGATCTTAATGATAATACCTTGGAGTTTGTGCCTTTTGGCTGATTACATGTAATTATTTTTTTATCTGGCTCTCTGTACGCAAGGAGATGGTATGAACTGGACCTAACTGCTGTTAAAGGATAAACGTAATCCCTTACAGAGTTGACAAAATAATTCCTGTTGTGCAAGAGTGATAGGAGTTTTGGCATGTAGAATAAAAAGGAGGAGCTTGTGCCTCTTTGCTCTCTCCTTGCGTGCTTAGTTTTCATAACTATCTTAGGAAGGAAAGTGCGACTCAGTTAAATTAAACTAATTCAGCACAATTAGCATCAAAGAGTCTTTGGATTAAAGACCTTCATCAGTACCAGCATGTGATTGATATCGAGTTCCCACTACTGCTATTATACAGAAAAGCTTTATGTAAGTATTGCTTTGTCTGGTGACTGTTTTGCTCACAAATGGATATGCCTGCCAGGTTCTGCAAGCTGGAAGGCTGGCTGGATCTGCATGGGATTTGGTCACCATGTTTAGCAGAACGACCTTGGGCTCAGACTGTGTGTCTGATGCGTTGTATGGGCATTGCTGTTTCATATGAAATTAAAATGCCTTCCTGATCCTGTTCTCGAACATGTCACTTTGAAACTCAATGTCAGCTGTTGCGGCCCTGGCTTCTAGCTGAATCTCTTAAAGTACACCACGACAAGATAATAAGGATTCAGACTCAGCAGAAGAATAATCAAGCTATGTTGGCTTTACTTTCAAGCACTCAGACCTTTCTAAGTAATAATGATCTTGATGACAATTTCTGTAGTCTGAGTTCAGCTTTTCTCTGAGTTGGTGTCTTATGGGTATGCAGATTTGGGCTTTCCTCTGTGTCTTGTGAACTGCACTTCCAGCTTGATACAGTCTTCTCCCAATTACTCTGACAATTCCCATGTGTTAAGTTCAAATAATTTCATCTTTACTGTGGAAAATGTATTCAAATTCCTTTCCTAACGCATAGGTCACACCAAAACTTCCCCTGTGTCCTCAAAGGCAACAAAAAAATTTATATTCAAAGTCCTTAAAAATGCATCTCTTTTTGTGGACTGTTTTTCTACTGTAGACTCTGAGAATGTTCCTGGTCAGCTTGAAGGCCAGCTGCTTCTTCCATGTGTTTAATTTGTACCTGCCCACATTAGTTGTGCTGTCCTTTGTGTTTTGGGAAGAGCTTCTTAGACATCTGCAAATGCACATTCTTAACTGCCTTAAGGTCTGTAATTGGAGCCCTCCTTTGCAGTGAACTCTGCAGTCACTGTGAGAATGGCCAAAGAAATGAGCCTTGGACACTGCCCCTTCTGATTGGCTTTTCTTTCACTCATGAGATCTGTTTCCCTGCGGCAAAGACTGTCTTTCATTCTGGTCCGTTCATATTCAATGCCTGTCTGTGCACAGTCCCTTCCATGGATGGTGTTTGTGTTACACAAAACGAAGATTAACTGTGTTAAACATCAGTTAATGTAATTTGTATTGTTTTTCCAGATTCAGGAGTTTCCTATGGCTGCCTGTGATTGTGCACTTGGTAAAAGTAACCCAGACAGCTCTAGAAGTGATGTGGAGGAATCAGATGCTGTTAGGAAACTTCAGAAGAACCTTGAGGCTTGTTGGCCCCATCAGCTGCATGCCAAGGATACTTGCTATTGTGGTACTCAGGGGAAAAACCTCTCTCGTAAACAGAAAATTTCATTATCAGCCCCCAGACCGGGCTGTGCAGTGTGTGACTGCACTATCCCTAGGGTAGTCTTGGTATTTTGCATTTGGGTTCTGGGCACTAGAAGAGTCACCTGGCACTGTTGTTACTATTATGCATCCTTTGGGATTACATTCCTTGAGCTTTCTAGTGGTGAACAATCCCTAAGACTCCTTTAAAAATAGGTAAAAGTAAAGAGTACAGGTATTCCTGTGACTGAGAGTAAAGCATGACTTGTAATGATCAGAGAATACAAGGCATAAAACTAAAAAAAAAAATATGCCTACTTTAGTCCTCTTTTTGAAGGCTTTCTTTAATGTGGCTAAGTGATGACATCATGGCAGGTATCTAGGTCTCTGAGAAAAACCGTGCCCTGGGTGTTCCTTTCAATGAAAAGTTGGTTGGAAGAGACCTGTAGAGGTCACCTTGTTCAGCATCTCACTTGAAGCAACTGTTGGCAACGCTACATCAAGCCAGTCATTGCTTTGTCTCGCTGCCTGAAACCTGCAAGGATGCAAGTTATGCATCCTCTTGGGACAGCCTGATCTCTTTAGAAGAAAACTAATGAAAATTATTTTCCTTAATAGATGACCTGAGCCTCCTAAACTGCAATTTGAGGCCATGGTCCTTGTCATATCTCCACTGCTGAGAAGAATTCTTATACCTGGCATTTTTATTTCCTTTTCACAGAGCAATTCTAGTCACTTGTGTTGTTTAGGCCCTTTACTGAACTTTCTAAGGCGTGTATCAAAAGAAGCATTTATAATACAGATGCCTTAGCTTCAATCTCCAGTTTGGCTCCGGTATTTCATCCACTAAATATGATGTACAGACCTGACAGAAAAAGGTTTGAGCAGACAGTACTTGGAGTGCAGTGGTCTTTTCCATACATGCAGCCTTGTGTGAGGACCCTATTACAGCATGATGCTTTCTTCACCTTGCCTGCCTTCATAGGGACCAGAACCAAGCAGAAATCTTCCACCTCTCTTCTGATATCCAAAGTCTCCCCCAATTAAAGTGCTGATGCAGTTAGTAATTAATTATCAAATGTGTTTCTTGTCTCAATCCACCAGGTGGCACAGTTCATCTGGTTTGCCGAAATAAGGAACGGGCCGAGGTTGCCCAAGAAGAAATAGTGACAGAAACGGGCAATCAGGTGAGTTACCTTTCAGTCTCTTGTTTACTCTTAGAAAAATTGTTAGTATTAAAGACCTTGGAGGCCTTGAGATACTGTTTTGACATTTTACTCTTGTGTTTTTAATAGTGTTTTCATACGGATGTGGAAACATCTTGTAGTTTATCATTCATATGATTTGAAGTGATTTCATTTCATTAGATTATGTTTTCTGTGATAAGTAATATCATTAGCAGCATGCTGTTTTACTTAATGTTTGTCGTTGATATGTTTTGTGGTGTCCTACTTACTATTCCTAACTACGTGGCTGAGGCTTTTAAAAGTTAATGTGTTGCAACACTTGCAACAACGTTTATGAGTCTACTGCATTGGAGCTGAAGGTTTTTTGTGTCTGAATAACATGCCCTTGGTTTGCTAAGGTTGGCTGCTCTGTTAAGTCCTGTGTGTGGTCCTAGTTCCATGCTCTACATGCCTTTCCATCTCATTTTCTTATAATACCTCTTCCTTACCTCCTTCCTTTTGTTACATATTCTTTTTTCTGTACGCATCATTCTGCAGTACACCCCTGTAGCTGTCACTGTTGTTTTTACTAATTATTCAGGAGAGTGTGATTATGGAGAAGTGCACAGGTCATTAGCTTTTGGTTTTGGCTGGGATAGAGTTAATTTTCTTTATAGCAGCTCCTATGGTGCTGTGTTTTGGATTTGTGACCAAAGCAGTGTTGACAACCCATGTTTTAGTTATTGCTGAGAGCTCACACAGCATCAAAGCCTTTTCTAGTTCTCACACTGCTCCACTATGAGCAGGCTGAGGGTGCATGAGAAGATGGGAGGAGGATCACTAGGACAGCTGACTCCAATCAACCAAAGGGATCATCAGTAAAAGCTGGGGGGAAGAAGGAGTAAAGGGGGACAGTCACAGTTATGGTGTTTCCCAAATCACTGATGCATGGGAAGAAGTCCTGCTTTCCTGAGGATTGCTAAATGCCTGCCTGACAGTGGGGAGTAGTGAATGAATTCCTTATTTTGCATTGTTTACACACAAAGTTGTGCTTCACTTATTAATCTGTCTTTATCTCAGCCCACAAGTTTTATCTATTTTGCCTTTATGATTGTCTACCCCTTTCCATTGGGAGAGGAGTGAGCGAGTAAGTGCTGGTATGGGGCTGAACTACCTACCAGGGTTAATCCACAGCACTTGGATGGAGACCTATCTTCATTTTAAATAATGACTTGGCTCTTGTACACAGTATTTTGATTCCAGTAATAGTTTTTAATGTGGATCAAAAATTCTGAAGACATTTTATGGCTAGAGATGTCTTATTGACTAAATTTCTGCTTTTAGGTTTCAGCTCCCTAGTATGACACAACCAGCATTACACTTCAGTTCCTTAATGGAGGTAAATTAGATCAGTTGTTATGTAGAAATAAATACTTCCCAGCTGTCTATAGCTGTGTAATCCCATGACTATAGTAAGACTGGTGATTATCTGTACTACCTCCCTTGCTAACTGCAGTCAGACAGTCTGGGAAAAGAGGTGAGCTTGACCTCTGAAGGTTCCTTCGTGTTCTGTTTTCTGTCATCTGGTGAAACAAAACTTGAGGCAAATAATGTTCTTCCCTTAAAGATAGATGAATTACTGCATTCCCACTCTTTGATAGGCTGCAAACCTGTAGCTTCTGTAGTCATGAAAGAGTACAAGGGCACTGCAGGACTTGTTTGTGACCCTGGGGATGGGGCACTTGTATAGAGAGCAGCTTTTGGTGAAGTGTTAGATGAGCTGTACAAGAGGCCCTGTGGGACATGTTGCAGTGGGAAGAGCATTTTAATAAGAAGTCCCCAAGAACATCCTTCTTTATAAGTACTCATTCAGAAGCAATCCATTGAGATAATATAATGCTTTATCTCCAACTTGACAAGCTGTATCCAGACTGAACTTGCTCTTCCTGATAGTTTGGATGGAGATCCTGTTATAGTATATAACAAAGCTTCATTTATAATGAAGTGTATAACCAAAGATTTTTTCCATTTTCTACAACACATGCCTGAGTTCAGTGCTGAAATGGAGTTACTTGGCAGGCACCTGCACCTAGGTTCCTGGGAACTGGAAAGTTCTCCTAATCTGTTAAAGTAGATCCAGTCGCGAAGATTAGGTTTCACTTTGAAAATGGCTTTTCTACCACTGAGGACTTTTATAGGGAACAGACGTGTGTGTCCTTTTCCTGGCTCACTGTGGCAGTCTTCAGCAGATAAGTGTTGAGTTAGATCTTTTTCAATCTCTGAAATTCCTTGTAATATTGAACATCTGCCTAAAAAACCTTAGCTGTTCTCTACCAGTTGATAACAGTAGTAGCTTTAAAAGTAGAAAGCTTTTAGAGAGGTATCCAGCTCGAAACAGTAGAGCAGTGTCAAGTTTGTGGTCCAGAATGATTCACAGAATGAGTAAGGTTGGAAGGGACCACAGTGGGTCATCTGGTCCAATCTCCCTCATCAAGCAAGGTCATCCTAGAGTACCTTATTACAAGGAGAAAATTCTGACCCTAATTCAACTAAAGAGCTGAAATCCAATGGCTAGAGAGGGTCATGTGCTTTTTATCTTCAGGAAAGCAGAATTATAGGCAGGGAATAATGCCATATAATTTTTTCAGCTTCTTCACTTATCTCATTTGCTTGTATAATGAGTATTTAAAGAAACAGCTTGGAAAGAGAGGAGGCCCTTTAATGATTATTTGTTGTTTTGCATGAGAACACATCCTCTGCATAATTATTTTAAAACAGCCTTTTCCTGGGATATGTCATAAGACTATCTGTGATGTGTCTTTGAGACTAAGTGCTATCTAGGAGAAGAGTAGGAGTTGACATGCCTTTGTATGCAGATAAATGCCACTGTGCTTGTACTATGTAGAACACAACCCTGTAAAAAGGAAAATGAATTGCCTGTAACAAACAGCAAAAGGTTTTTGGTGTTTTTGAGACAGGCATTATTTCTAGCTTTAGTGGTTTAGAAGATTATAACTTTGCTCTAGGTCAGTATGTCAAGCTTTTTTTCTTTTTTTTAAATTCTATTGCATATTGCATCCCCATTCCTGGCCTTAGTATTGCAAAACTTGCAAGAGTGTTGTGACGTAGGATGACTAACAAGAACTTAGCATTTAATGCAGCAGTTAGCGTGGAAGGGGGTACAGAAGGCACCTGATACTCTGAGACAGCTGGAGTGGGTGCAGTGGTGCACCTGAAAGCATGCTCTCCGATTCTGGTTGGAGCAGATGTGCCTGGCACATGGGAGACTGGCCCAGACAGAGCTCCAGAGGAATAATCTGGCAGATGTTGGACTGCAGGGAGTGACTGGTACTTTTCCCTGAGCCTGGGGCAGTGCATGATGGTGGCTTCATTTACTGGGCTCTGCTGTCATCAGGGTGCTGGGCTGCCAGGTGAAGCGAGAGCAGGAGGTGAGCAGGCTGCATAGCCATAGGGAATAGAAAGAGGAGATTGGCAGGGTCTTTACAGAGAGCCAAAGAGCACATGGTATGAAAGGAAGGAAGGCTAGAAGCAGAGGATAGAGACTCCTAAGATGAGGAGGAATGGAAGCTTGTGAGTGCTGGCAACAGAAGGCAGGCTCGTTCTCTGCCTGCAGATGTGCATTTGTAAGACAGGTATAGTGCCATGGTAACAGATGAGGAAGAACAGGCTCTGTCAGGGGAGGTGTTAGAGACACATGATCCTGAACAGTTGTTGACAGTGGGAGGAAGTGGTGGGTGATAATGGCTGAAGGCTCCTTCCTATGGGGGATGGAGGCACCCATCTGCAGTCTTGGCTTGATGTCTTGAGGGGTTTGTCACTTGCTGGGGATTCAGATCTAAGGTATTGTGGAGAGTCTGCTGAGGCTGTTCTGGACCTAGGACCAATACCTCCTGTTGCCCAGCCACGTGGGCACCTGTGACATTGTGAGGGGTGACCTGGAGTTCAAGAGTGCTCACTGGGAGTCAAGGGCATGGGGGCCCAAGGAGTGGTCTTTTAAATCCTTACAGTGAAAGGGAAGGGCTTGAGTAGGAGCATACACACCCTGTAGGTCAACACGTGAATGTGCTTATGGTGTCACTTTGGCCTTTGTCACTTTGTCTATGGCTTTTATGACCTCTTTGACCTCTGAAAAGGGAGTATTACTGAGCAGCACTGACAAATTGGAGCAAGAGTGTCTTTGCCAGCAGGTTTGCTAAGCTAGTGAGGAGGACTTTAAACTGGTTTCATTAGGTAGTAGTCACAGGGACAGTGAATAAATGTCTAGGGGACTGCAAAATGGAGGAAGCTCTCACAGTTTTCATGTGAAAGCAGCATGACTGGGAGCCCATTTCAGATGCCTATACATGAATACACATGATGTAGGAAGCACAGGAATCCATGCATGATTGCAGAGCTGTGATGTCACTGGGATTAGAGAGAAATGGTTGGCATTACTAGAGTGGTGGAGTAGATGTATTCCCTTGCCCTTTGTGCTGCTTTTGGCTGGAATAGAGTTAATTTTCTTCACAATGGCTAGTATGGAGCTGTGTTTTGGATTTGTGCTGAAGACAGGGTTGCTAATACAGAGATGTTTTTGTTATTGCTGAGCAGTGCTTACACAGAGCCAAGGCCTTTTCTGCTTTTCATACTACCATGCTGGCAAGGCAGTTAGGTTGGGAGGAGGGACAGTTGGGACAGGTTGACAAACTGACCAAAGGGATATTCCAGACCATGTGACATCATGCTCAGTTTATGAAGTGGAGGGAAGAAGGAGGAAGGGGGGGATGTTTGGAGTGATAGCACTTTGTCTTCCCAAGTAACAGTTACGTGTGATGTGGCCCTGCACTCCTGGACACCTGCCTGGCCTTGGGAAGCAGGGGATTATTAGTTCCTTGTAAAAAGCCTACAGCACCTAGTATTCCCAGGCAGTCTCCCATCCAAGCACTAGGCCCAAACCTGCTTAGCTTGTAAGTTCAGATGAGATTGGGCATTCTCATGGTGGAATGGCCATGGGCTTGTTTTGCTTTGCTTGCGTGTGTTTCTTTTGCTTTCCCTATTAAACTGTCTTTACCTCAACCCATGAGTTTTCTAGCCTTTACCATTCCGATTCTCTCCCAGTCCTACTGGTGTGGGAGTGGCTGTGTGGTACTTAGCTGCTGGCTGGGGTTAAACCACAACACTGTTTTAGAAACACAACCTGGAAAGTCAAGGAAGAGGAGTGCTCTCTGCAAGGTAGTGGCTCGAATTCATGAAGTTTTGCTTTGAAATGGGTAATGACCCATTGAGAGCTTTTGGGTAAGGTGCAGAGGTCATAGCAGTGTGGGTGACATCATGGTGGATGTCTGCTATAGACTGCCTGATGAAGTAGAGGAAGTAGATGAAGTCTTCTTAGAGGTCTGAGGAAGCCCCATGGTCACAGATCCTGGTATTCATGGAGCACTTGAACCACCCTGAAACCTGCTGGCAGCATGTCAGGGCATAAACAACCCAGGAAATTTCTGGAGAACATCAAAGATGATTTTTTTGATATGACTGTTGGCCAAGCCAGCTAGAGGTGATCTCTGCTGGACTTGCTGTCAGTAGCAGTCTTGAACAGCTGCCTTGGTGGAAGAGGTCATGAGATTGCAGAATTTAAGATCAAGACAGACAAGAAGGATGAGCAGTAGAATGACAATATTTGGGTTTAGGAAAGAAGATATTTGTTTTGTTTTTTATGGAGCTGTTTGGTAGCACAAGGCCATGGAAAAGTTGGTTGATCTTCAAAGAAAAGTTCTTCAAAGTGGGAAGTTCTTACTGTTAACTGGAAAAAGACAAATCACTCATCTTCAAAAAAGGCAAGCAGGATTTGGGGATCAGCCTCACCTTGCTCCCCAGAAAACTACAGACCAAATCGTCATGAGAGCCATGAAAGGCAGGAAGGTGATTGAGAAAACACAGTGTGAATTTTTCAAGGGCCAACCTGGACTGACTGTCCTGATTGCTGCCTTTAATGAGATAACTCTGCCTATGGACAAGAAGGAAGCAGTGTGCTCCTGAGGTTTGACAAGCTTTTTATATGCTATCCTTGTAGCCATTTAGGAGAGATGCAGTTTTAACTGGTGGATGACAAAGTGGGTGGAAAACTGGAACATGTGGCTCAGAAAGTAACAATCAACAGAACAAAGCTGATCTGTTAATGATTTTTAGTGGCAACCCCCATGAGTCAATACAGGGGCAAAAATTGATGATATCTCTTTAACAGCTCAGGTGATGGCATGGAGTGCAGTCTTTGCCTAGCTGGCTGGAAAGCAGCTTTGCAGAAAGGGACATGGGGGTAACAAGTTGTTTCTGAGTGAGCAGCATGCCCTGCAGCAAGGAAGGACAACACACCCCAGGCTGTGTGAACATGAGTCTAGCCACTAGGCAGAGGGAGGTGTATCTTCCTCTCTGTTAAGTCTTTGTGAGATCACAGCAGGAGTCCTGTGCCTAGTTTTGGACTCCCCAGGTTGAGGAAGTCATCAGTGTCTTGCAAGTCCAGTGGAGGGCTGCCCAGGTGACGAGAGAAATGGTACATGTGATGTACAGTGTGAGTCTAGGAGGCTGATTTTGCTCAGTGTTGAGAAGGCCGAGGTGGGTCTTACTGTAGTCTACAGCCATGTGATGGGAGTGTGGAGGGAAGACAGTACTAGGCTTCTCCTGGAGGTCTGCAGTGAAAGGACCAGAGGCAGCCAACACAGATTAGAACAGGGTAAAAAATGCTGAGTAGATAGTAGGAAAAACTTTCACCATGGGGGTAATCAAACACTTGAGCAGGGGGATCAGGCAGGCTGTTGAATCTGCATGTTTGCCAAGCAGCCTCCAGAGGTCCCTTCCAAGCTAAATTATTCTCTAATGCTGTGACCTTGAACATTTCATTGGAACGTTCCTTACAGCCAAAGAGGAAGCTGCTGTATGAATTGTTTAAACTGAAGTTTTGCAAGCTTTGCAGTATTTTCCTAGTTCTCTGCTATGCCTGACTGTCTGTCACGTATTTATCTAAGTAGGACTCTCTCTTAATAACTTTGGCATTAAAAAGCTGTGTCTCAGAAGCAGCTGAATCAAGTGACTAAGCATGTTTTAAGGACTAGAATTATATTTCCCAGTTGTGCATGTTAACCTGTTTTAGTTGTGTTCTGGAGACAATATTTTTTTCATACTGCTCAAGTACTTTTTCACCTAGACAAGCCTAAGCTGTGAAAAGGGTCTCTTCACTGTCCCTGTTATTTATAAGTTAGTTTCTTTTCTTTTAGAATATCTTCTTGCATATTGTGGATATATCTAATCCCAAGGAAGTATGGAAGTTTGCTGAAAAATTCAGAAATGAACATAAATTAAATGTGTTGGTAAGTTTACATACTTAAACCTTGTGTCTGTCTTTGGAGTGCATAGCCTCTGAATTTGTCCAACAGGTCATGTAGATGTCACAATTTGTCTTCCAATTCTCTGCTTAATTTTTTCTAAATGTTTTTTCAGGCGTTCTCATGGTCTGTTTGCTCTTGTCCATTCTCAGTTCACAAAGATATACTACAAGAAGAAAGAAGAGCAGTACTTTTTTTTAGCTGCATCTTTTGAGACTCTTATCACACACTTTCTGTTTGACTTCCATTAGTAGTTACTTTGTCCCTCTTAAAACTAGACCTTCCTAAAGATTAAACTTTTATGAAAAGTCTAAAGACAAGTCTAAAACAGAGCCAGGGAGAGAGCAAACAGTTAAATATCAGGTTGGTAAGGCTCAGTACACTTTCCCCTTTATTTAGTAGTGGAAATTTGCTCAGGGGGCTGTTCTAAAGCTGAGGCACCCGGAGCCTTGCTTAGTAGATGAGGAATTTCTGATAAAAATGGGAAAACAGCTTTTGAGGAGTGGCAGTGAACAGGCAGGAAGGTATGTAGGGACAGATATTTTTTTGAGGTGAGAAAGAAAAGCTCGAGCTCCCTCGGGAAGGTAAAATAGGGAAAGAAGTGTGTCTGAGCTTATGCTGGTTGCACACAGCTTGTAGGCTTCTGACTGTTCATGAGGATGTGCCTTACAGTACATACCAACTGTGTGGTGCAGCACTATTCTTTGCAATGTGTGAGTCAAGTGAGGCATCTGGGCAGGATTGCCAGGTAGACAGAAAAGCTGGGATCCTACAACCAGGACACCAAGTCACTATGAAGCACCCCTGCTAGTTAGCTCTGCTCTTCTCAGGGCTAACTATGATGCAGCACCCTGCTGACCTGGATAACCTGCCAAATTTGGAGCTTGTTTGTTTTTTTTTTTTTGCTGAGGGTGGGAGTTCCTGTGGGTCATTCTACTGCATGTTCTACAGTTTACTTATGCATATTTAAGTTCCAGTATTTTTTCTACAAAAGAAAAAAAAAAATGCTTGCATATTACTTTCTGTGAAAAAAGAGTTTAAAGACTTGGGGTAAGGCACTGAGGACTGTTGGTTCTTAGTGTAATACATCTGTGGTGAGCCATTTCTCTGGGGATTCTTTCTTTTGTGAGAAACCCTATGATCAGCCATAGAGTGACTTGGAATAGCATGGTTTATTGAAACAGGTTGTAGCTTTGTGTTGCAGTGTCAAAATCCAGCAAACTAGCATTGACTGCTTGTACGTGTGGATTTCCTTGTAGATATTTGTGTAGATTATTTTGTTTAAAGGAGTTGTTTTACAGATCAACAATGCAGGATGTATGGTGAATAACAGAGAGTTAACTGAAGATGGACTTGAAAAAAACTTTGCAACAAACACTTTGGGTGAGTATGGATTGTTTAGTTCTGGAACATACTTATTTTGGTTACAGATGTGTGTTTGTATAGCTGGATTCATCAGGAATGTATTCCTGCTTAAAGAGGGATTGTACCATTGCTAAGCCAGGGAAGGAGCAGGGAAGGAAAAGAAGAAATATTACAGCTTGTTTGGAGTGTCATTGTTTTTAATTTCTCAATTTTTCAATTTTTCTGCTGTCAGCACCTTTATTTATCATAGCAGCAGTGGACAACTGCAGATAAGATTTAATTAAATAATTCAAAATTTGCTAGGAAATTTTGTTCCAAGCAGTGCTGCTAATGATGCTCATTGTAATAAGTGTGCTTCTGTGGCTTGGATAGAACTTGGACCATGTTCAGGTATTTAAAGAGACATTCAAATGTGTCAGTAGGCTTGCACAGCCCTGTTTGGTGAGACAGGCACTGTGTAGGAAGACTGTGCTATATACAGTGCCCTGCGCTCTCTCAAAGAGATGTAATCTCTAGTCAGGTGATAGAGCAGTAGTGGGCAAGTCTTGGGCACTCCACATATAAGGGGCCTAACCTATGAACTGTGTCGTGGTGGTATAAGAGGCACAAGTGAAGGGAAGCAAGTCAAGAGGAAAGGGGAGATGCGGATGAGCAGGGAAGATGGCAAGCAAAGTGGAATGTTCCCCCATAAAAGCCCTGGAAAAGATGTGAGCAAACAACGAGCCAGCGGAGAGAAGAGCTGCTGCTGCTGATACCTGTAGGGCTGAAAGCTGCACCTCTTGCAAAGAGAGATGTGGTGCTTGCATCAGCCAAGAGTCCTGACACTGTCTCTGTGCGATGTAGGTGCTTCTCTCAAGAAATTGCGTTTGATGTATTCGAAAGTGATGCATTAAGGAGGAACTGTGGTGCTTCGTGTTTTTCTCCTGTTCATCAGCATCTGAAATGAGGAAGGGGAAAGCTTAGGCTGTAAGGATAAGGCATTTATAGAACTAGCATAACCTGAAAACCACTGTTGGTTTTTATTCTTAGCCTTTTTCCTGTGTTGCATTGTAAACTAACATTTTAGGTATAAACGTCCTTTGCTGATATGGTGTATACAACTTATTTTTTCTGCTAGTCTGACTAAATTAAACTGACAAATCAAGAATAAAGGCACAGATTAATTTCCTTCAAACTAATCTTCTGCTAACATTCTTTTGTTTCCCATAGCCAAAAAATTCATAATTATTTTATTTTACCATCAAATTTCCCCTGGCTGCACAAGTACAGGAACTTCTGCACTGAGAAACGTGTTCACCTTAAATTTGTTTAACCCTCTTGTGGTTTTTCAAACAAAAATCCAGCAGTGTGCAAAGGTACAGTTCTTTCAGAGAGAAACAGAGTGAAACGAATACTGCAGTCTGAAGGCAAAAGCTTGTTTTGGTTTAGTTTTAAACATTGAGGAAGTTAATTGCTGATGAACTGTACTAGTGCATCACTTGAATTATATTTTATTGCAAAAGTAGAAGCAGCAAATTCTGCTTTCCCAGCCTCAAATCAGCCTCACTAGTGATATACAGCTGCACAGAGGAAGCTGAATTACAGTTGTAGCAAACTAGGAAAATGCCTGTATTATCTTTTGTGAATATTACTTATAGATCTCCTTTATTTATTTGTGTATCACTTGCTGCATGGTTGTATAAGAAGTTTAAGGAGGTGAGGCATCCTCTGTTGTCCATCTTCTTTAGAGTTCAAACAGGGACTGGGTTCTTTGCTTAGACCAGTTCTCTCTAGACAACAATAAGGATTGAATTTTGAATCTCTTAGAACAGAGTGGGACTTGGTTGAGCTGGAAGAGGCTGGCTGTACAAGAGGAAGCTTCTGTGCTTGCAGGTCAGACACACATGAAGGACCAATGCTACAAACTGCATGCTTTTTTGTTCAGAATTGCAGATGGGGTAATAAATCGTAACTTCTGGAGCCATAGTAGGAGAAAGCTGTTTGGAGAAACACCTCTTAGAGCAGATGCTGTGTTATTTTCCCAAGCATGAGATGCCTTTGGGTGTGCTTCACTTTGGAGAAATTATTTCTGTGTCAGTAACTACCTGTGGTTATAGGTTCCCAGAGAAAAACTTGGCTAAATTAGGTATGGCTGGTATATAGGTTGGCTGTAAACTAGCATGTGGTCTGAGAGGACAAATTAAATTCCCCTCTCTGTCCCAGTAGCACTAAAGCCTGAAGGGTGATGTGGGCTCAAGACCCCTGTTTAGAAAATCTGCAGTTGTTCCCCTTGGTAGCAGCATGGAAATGCTTGAATGATCTCTGCAGAAACAAGATAGAATAATATCAGTATCTTTTGCAGATCTTCACATTCAGGGTGTTCCTTCTATGTTTCTTTTGTTTACTTCTACCCTGGATCTTAGCTCTGGTCTAGTAAAGGAGCATGTAGGTTGTAACTGTCTAATAATGCAAGACTCTGAAATATCAAATGCTTTAAATACACAACAGAGTCTTTGAATTCTGTATCTGATATCTGATTAACGCTTCTATAAGTGGTAAATTTGCTCATTTAGGTGTCTGAAATGCTGTGGAGCTTTTAAATTCACTCTAGGAATATTTCCCTCGTAACTGATCTGTTAGTCCATTTCTGAGCATAATGGATGCTAAGAGTTCAGTTCTAATTGATCATGTGCCTTGTGAAACACATTTTATATCTTGATCTTTTCTTGGGCGTATATGGGACAAAAAGGACTGCATGTATACAAATTTAATACTGGTTGGAATAGGAAGTAAAATTCCTTTAATGTAAAACACTGCTGACTGGCTAGTTGAGGACAGCAACTGAAATAGGACATGTACAGTCCTCTCTGATGTTGTCAGAATATGCAGGTGGGTGAAGGTCAGGAATATGCAAAATGCAGGTTGATAGTTCTGGCTTTGTATGGTTTGTCTGATATTCAAGTTCAAACTGTAAGCTGCTTTGAGCAGGCAACGGCAGCTGCGTCTGTGCTGGTGCCTGTAGCATCCTTAGAATGGGGCTCAGGCTCAAACACTGTGTGGCTTGTCATGATTCTGTTGTTGATGTCAAATGTTCCTTTTTTCCCTGCTATGTTGACTGATTGTTGGAGCTCAGTGAAGATGTAGAGAGCAGAATAGCTGTGGAGTACTCAGACTCAAATGTGGGAGCACTAACCAGACATGAGTCTGAAATAGCACTTTGCTGATTGAAACACACCCTCAGTACGAAATGGAGTGATTGGCTTGGGGTGATGGGGGCAGGTTTCCTGAGGAGCTGCCAATCCTGACGGGCAGATTTTTATTTTTGTATTCTTTAGTTTGTGATGTTGCCCTTACATTTCTTCCTGTGGGCTGACCATGTACTCAGGGTTGTATCTGGGAGTTGGGCAGCAACAAGCAATCATTTCATCTGATGAGACTTGCAAACTTCTGAGTCAACATTTTTTTTATTTAATTTTATTTTACTTGTTTTAGTATAACTCCCAGCAAAGACTATTAAAAATGGCCCTATTTAGTAATTTTAGAAAAAAATGTCAGCATTGATAAGCATGTGCCGGCAAAAGCAGCATGTCCTTATTGAAGCACCAGACATTTAGCTGAAAGAATCTTTGTTCCTCTATTTTATGGCCTACCTCACTTTACTTTTACTCAACACATCTTCCTTCTTGACATGGAGAAATGGCATATATGTTACATTTTTATTGCTACTTACCAGCCAAGAGGATGCTAAAACACACTCAGAGATAAATAAATGATGCTCCCAGTATGCACCTTTTCTTCAGTCTAATGTGCTCTCATGTTTTAATAATATATAGACATATATACATTTACTCTCTGTGCAAGAAGCAGTAGAGCCAGAGGAAATAAGATGTTTATCTATCACAGTAGCAGTACAGCCCATCTATGGCAAACTCCCCAACCTGTATGGGTATTTGTCAGTCTCTTCCCTACACATTTACTGTATCTAACTGGTGTTTCACACAAGCCGGTGGAGTCTGATCAACTGTGTTCTGAATTACTTGGAGGTCAAACAACTTGGATATCAGCTGCCAGTCTGCCATAAGTTCAGTGCCTGATCTTTGGCAAGACAATCTCACCTGTGAAAAGGAGAGTGTGATACCAATTTTCTTTGTAAAGAGCTTTGAGACTTACAGATGAGAGATGCCACCTGAAAGGATAAGGTTTAATATAATTGCACATCCACTGTACTAAAGCCTAGGTTCCCAGGACACAGAGGAACCCTTATTGAGCTGAGCTTTGTAATTTGAGGGAAATGTAAACCTTTGTTTTGTCTTTCATGTTTATTGACTCTTCCTATATACTCTGTTATTGCTAGTGCATTGGAATTGACTCTCAGAGACAGCACACTAAAATCTTCATTCCTGAGCTTGTACTCAGGAAAGAGACTCAGGGATCTCTGACACTAAGAACTGCATAAATTGTAGGCTTGAAAAGATAACCAGGTCAAGGAAGAATGTCAATTTGTTTGTTGGGGGTTTTTTGTGTATTTTTACTTGTACTCAAGAAAAGCAAGCCAGTTTATCTGATTTTTGCCAGATGAATGAGCCATTGAAATCTGTACAATAGAAGTTTTTTGGTGGTTTGGTTTTTTTTTTTTTTGTTCCCACTTTTTTTCCACAGTCGAAATAACACTGTTCCTACTAATACTGCAAAGCTCAGGCAGATGAAAAACTTCACTGAGTATGGTGCTGGCTGCCTGCCCTTCTCTGAATGTTAACAGGCTAGAAACCTCACCAGCAATTTGCCACTGATTGCCAGATAGAACATCAAGCAAAAAACATTCTAGAATCCACTAAGACACTTGCGTCTAGAATAATTGCATCATCAATTAATTTGGTGTTATAAACAGGTAGTGGCTTTAGAATATTACTTCTGCTGAAACCATAATTTTCTTTAAAATTGATTTCTAAAGTACAGGTTTTAGGGTCACATTAAATCTGTAAAGCAGATCGGACTGTGTTGATGTACTGTTATTAAATGTGATATCCTGTTGATTTTTAAGTCTGAAATATGTGAATCCTAAGGAGGCTTTCAGGTTTTAGTAGACTAAAGCTCATTTACAACAACAGCAGTTTGCAAATCTACATTCACAGTGTTTGTTTGTATTTTCTGTTAGGGCTGTTCTTTATTTTGCTTGGTTTCATGTTCTAGATTTGTAGCCTTCTGAGGGAAAGACTAGTGTCTAATACACTGTAGACTGCTGTCCCTTGCACTAGGATAGCTTTCAGTTTGTTCGTGTTGTGAGATCCACAGTGAAATAACTGTTACAAGAACACGCAGAGCTACCTTTCCTCAAGACCTAAAAGTAGTGTTTTCCATAGAGTCCCTTCAGCTTCTACATCAGGTCATGGGAGAGGTAGCATAATTCTATTTAGGAGTTTATGAAGCAGACAGGCTGGTTTTTATAGTTTTTTGGGCTTTTTTTAAAACAACTGATGATATGAATTGAATGTTTATCTCCATAACAGTGCCTCGTTTTCTACACTTACATCATTAATGTTTCACTCTGTGATTGTGAAACCACTGAATTAGTACTTATCCAGCTTGACAGAATAGCTCACTCTGTGGAGTCAAAAATGGGAGTTATTAATTAGAGCACAATATTGGATTACTCAACTAAATTGAGAAGATCTCAGAGCAAGTGGAGCAATTACAAAACAGGCCACAAGGGAATGTATGGTGATTCAATATTTTTGGTGGTGTTTTGGGTTTTTTTTTTTATTTAGCAAGTAATATGAAACTTAAATAAACATGAATGTGATCAGCACTTGTGAGGGAGTGTGTATGAACAAAATGTGTTCCCATAAAATGCCATGCTCAATATTTTTATGTGGAATGACTATGTGTAATGCATAGATTGGCAACCCACGCTGTCTACTTTACCATATGATACAGTTGGTTTAATGATGTGTAATGGTGGAGTTGCTCTATAGGAAAGTTTTAATTACACTGTATTATACATGATTTCCTATTATGTGAGTTAAGCTTCAGGACATAGAGTTTACAGTAATTCTTCCAAAGCAAAGCTGATGTTGCAGAGGCTGTTAATCTTTAAAAGAAGTTGTACATCAAACCCAGGAGCCTTTTTAACTGGAGAGAACAGGGCAAGCAGGTACTGTGTCAAACTTCGTTATACAGAACCTTGTCCAGTAGGTTTTGCTAGTGAGCTCTTCACCTTGGCAGAGTTCATTGAGGGCAAGACAAAATCCTGTATGTGAGTGTGATAGACTGGACTCACCTTCTGCATTCCTGCTGCTTCTGAGCAAACTCCTAAATTCATCTTGCTGCACTCCTTTGTGTCACAGAAAATACTTCTTTTCAAAGGGAAATGCTATATACCCTGATTTTTCTCACCCGCCCCTTCCCCTGTTACACTAGCGAGCGGGAGACAATTTTTCGGGCCATGTAGACATTATACCTTCCAATGACAGGGAATAATGATGTCACACAGTCCTAGATGCAGGTATTGCAGCCATATGTCCAGCACTGCCTGTGGGTGCACTCATAGCTCCCTGCCTGCTGCTGGGCTGGAGATGTGTGTGAGCAAGAGGCTGCTGCTCGATTTTCTGCTGTAATTCAAAGTAGTCTGCTCTTTTCCACAGGCACTCAGACCTGTGCAAGAAATGGGCCGTAGTCCAGGAGAACTGTTCAGACAGAAACATTCTGCTCTCAGTTGCTATGTATCCCAGAGGGCTCTCAATTCCTCCTCTGTCATGGATACAACTGCTGCAGAACAGGCACTGGGAAATGTGGTGGCCTCAAGGTTGAGCATCTCCATTCACAGAGTATGTGCTCAAGATGGGGACGTGCTTTCTCCAGAATCCCCCAGGAGTACTGGCAGTCCTTTTTTTCTGGGGAAAAAAAGGTATTCCTTTGTTTCTGACAGAACCATGAAGGTTCTCTCAGTGAAGGAACAGGATCACCAAGATACCCAGTGCTTAATGCTTTTAGTGCAAGGCACATCTCCATTGATCGTCACCTTTCCTTTCATGTACTTTTGTGTTAAACTATTAAATAAAAAAGAAACCTCAAAAAATCTGTACAGTTTGAACACAGTGATAATTAAGCATTAGTTACATTTGATATGCTTTACCTTTATTAACTAAGCTCCATGGGAGGAGGTTTCTCCTTTAACAGACAAAAATTATTTTTATATCAAGGAAAGGTACTAGAATGCTCAAGTGTTCATTTTGGAAAGGCTGATATCCAGTACACTGGTATTAATAATCAACTATTGGCAAAAGGATATACAATTTGGATATTACCTTGATTTCCTTAAGTAGGGGCAGAGGTGAATATTAGTTTCTTCTACCAAATCAGTCTTGGTTTTGCTTGCAAAGTTGTTTGTTTGTTTGTTTGGTTTTTTTTTAATCAGAAAAATTTCCTTTTTTTTTTCCCCTAGTGTTAATACAATCCATGTTTTTATAAGGACTGTGGCAGGCAATGCATTCATTTGCAGCTTCCCCTTGTACTTAGAAATAAATTTCTGTGTTGCTGCATGCATAGCTGTGCTTGACAAAATACGTGCCGTGAGGTACATGGCTGTGCACTGCACAGGCTCTGCACTGGCTCTACTGAGTGTCCTTCCTATCTGCCTGAATAAAAATGTGGAAGTTTCAAGTGATCATGATGTATTCCAACCCACAATAAACCTTATTATAAGGTGTATCTATTCTGCTATTACTGTTCTAATTTCCTGTGCAGCCTGTTTTGCCTAACAGACCAGCCCAGGCAAATAAGAATGTATAACATCCAAGTATATTTGTTAAAGCAGTAAGGAGTTTGTGTTCAAATCCTTAAAACGGGGACAGTAGTTGGTGAAATATTTAGTAGTGGGTGAGATTAGATGCTTCAGCCTTAATGCCTGATGCATGACATCTGTGAGTGTTTTGAGATGCTGTTGCTTAGCATAGGAAGCTGGGATCAAAACTATTCTGTTTGTGCTCTGTCTCAAAGCAAATGAGCAAGTGGTTTTGTGGGGCAAAAAGATAGAATGCTCTGGCTTTGTGGGATTTACCAAATTCTTAATAAACTTGAGGAAGAGAGGAGACACTGGCATTGCAGTTAGTTTGTGGTTTTAAATAAGCACATAAACTTCTGACAAGCTGTAGTTGCTCTAAGCAGGATTTCTGGCATGAAACATTTCTCTCCTCCAGCTGGAAAACAAAACAAAACTCAGTTGTTAATGAGGCAACGTTAATGCATTCATCTTTGCAGCTTTTTGGAATTAACAAATCAACATGAAGACCCTTAAAAGTGTAAAGTAATCTGCAGGGCAGTAAAATCGAGCATCGTCATAGCTGGTGCATTGCAGCTCTGCCTTTAGGAGATGCAGCTTATTTAACCAAGACATAATGTTACTTTGCGTTTTGAAGAACCCATAGCAAAACAACATGTAATTCAGGCTCTCAGCTTGCACTGAAGTGATTTTTTTTCTTTTTTTCCTTTTTTTTTTTTTTTTTCCATCCCGGCAGCGCGGCAGTCTCCCATGACAGTCACTGGTAGTTCTTGTCCTAATGATGTCATCGCTCAGTCTCCCCGCCACCACCAGGGGAGACGTTCAGGCTCTCGTAATTCACTGGCAACTGCCTTTGCTTGCATTTTCTGCTGAAGACAGGCTGCATTTACTCATCTGCCGCGTATTTGCTTTGATTTGCCAGGGTTTTAAATATATTATGTGCCTATGGACGTGCCTCTGATTATATAGAGAAAATGAAGACTGCTGTAACTGACAGAGGAACTGAACAGTTTGTTCACCAAGCATGTAACATGCTTGATTTTGGTAGTTTTTCTTTTTTTCTTTTTTTTTTTTTCTGTATTTTATTTGGATGATCTCATTGTCTGTGAGGAAGAGAAGTTGTAAAGACATGCTCAAGTCTTCAGGCCTAATGAAAAACATGGCCTCAGTTGCTCATGGAAAAAAATGCATTTATCTCTGACATAGAATTATTGAACTAGAGCCATTTGTAAAGGCACGAGAGGGAAGTAGATGCAGAAACACTAGACTAAATGGGGCTACATTAACTTTTAATTAAACAGAATTTTTTAAAATATATTTTAAATGGAAAAAAAAATCTCCAAAGAGATAAAACCAAGCAAAATCTTTGCATTGCACTCGAGTGGGTGAAACATCACTAGGTGTGTCTATGTGCTAACAGTTGTACACTGTTGGGAATAACAAACTTTGCCGGTCATGGTAACAGCTGTAATGGAATATATTTGTGTGGTGTGTACAACATGTGTTTAATCATGCTAAACAAACATGATTAAAGCAGGCAAGGACACAGTTAAGTTTCCCCAAGTAATCTTAGCTTAGCCTTGGGCAAGCAGCATTAATATTTTCCCCCCAAGGATTCCTTATCTTCTATAATGGTCATGCTGGGGATTTAAGAGGTGGTTTTTGTGTGCAACACAAATCAAGTGTCAGTGTACTCTGAGTGATTTCACAGTGAGAGAGCAAAAATGGACGAGTCTTAAGTGCATATGCAGAGCCCTAAGAAATGCAAGTGTGAAGCACAATTTTCTTCTCTCATTTGTTACCTGGCCTAGATCTGTGTATATCTGCCACACTTGGTGGGGGGGAAATGCATTCGCTGTTTCTTCACTGGCATCACCTCCCCCCATCCAAGGAATTCCATATCTGAACCATTTTGCCTTCAGATTCGTGACTGAATGTAGTGAACAGTTTGGTCTATAGGTACAATAAACATACAAGTCTACAAAATAATGGATATGCTTTTTGCTAAGTAAACGGCAACGTGAACCTCTACAAGTTGAGTTGGCACATTGCAGGTAAAGCAGTAAAAAAAAAAATCATTGTCAAATTCAGATCAGGTTTCAGAGACTTTGGGTCTTGGGTTGTTATAGAAGGTGGGGGGAGAAGAAAGTATTTTTAAAAAGAAAAGTTAATGTTGGTGCCTATATGTCTTTTAGGTACATACATCCTGACAACTGCCCTGCTGCCCCTCCTGGGAAAAGAAGCTGATGCCAGAGTGGTGAGTCTGTAATACTGTTTAAACGGGGTGTTTTACAGTGCTTACCTTCTGGTTTGTGACAGCAGTTCTTTGTACTAGGAATGCAGAATTGGTTATAACGCTGTAAGCATCTCAGAATCCTCTTGGATTTTGCTAACAACCACCTCCTTCTTCAAGGCGAAGCTCCTGCTTGCTGCTCTCAACCCTTCATTGGAAATCAGAATAAAACACTTCTTTTAGAAACTTACCCTTTTACTTTCCTCAAGGCAAGTCACCTCCTGCAGCAGGGTGCAAAATACCTACAACAGGAGTATAGGCTTAAATAAACTTTACAGATCTTAGTGTAAAATAAGACAGCAAGTGCATTTTTTAAATTATATTTCCCAAATTTTGTATGGCCTCTTGTTTTCTAGTTAGCTTCTGTAAATGCTAAAGAAACAAAACACAAATAGTGCTGTTCTGCTACTTTCTTTCTCCCCATTACTTTTCAAAAGGAAGAAGCACAGAATCCCCCAAATGAATCAACACCACTTTGAATGAAAATCACTTCCTAAAAAAAAAAATTGTATTTCTTCCACCTCATCTTCAGGTATGCTCCACACATGAGCACAAGCATAGTGCAAAGAGTGTGCAGAGGAATCCTGCTCCCTATGGACTTCCAAATGTGGCCTGAAGACCACATTTCATGCATGAATGCAATTGTGGGGAGTGCCTGGTTTTGCTTTTCATTCATTTGCTTTTCATTCATTTCATTACAGATAACTGTCTCTTCTGGGGGCATGCTAGTTCAAAAATTAAATATATCTGACTTGCAGTCGGAAAATGGGACATTTGATGGAACTATGGTGTATGCACAGAACAAGGTACAGTCCATGGTATTGAAAGCAAAGCCCAGCACGTGTTTGCTAAGCAGCTCAGACCATCAGCTTTGCAAAAAGCCTGTTGCTTTCCCATTGCATCCAACCCATACAGAGGCACATGGGCAATAATCTTCAGGAGTGTGCTGGCATACCCTTGTGAGTGCATACATCTTGCATGAAGAGCATGGCTGAATTTTCATTTGATGTGCTAAAAGTCTCAAGGGGGAAAACTGTCTTTAGCTGATGAACCCTGTCTGCCTGCTTAGTTCTTGCCTACAGTCTGCAGCAAGTAGATGTGGTCAATAAAAAGCAGTGCTACTGCTTCATAAATAAGCTTGTGGCCAGGATATGGATGGCAATGGCTGTGGTGGTCTCTGATGAAATTAACCAGTAAATCTAGTCAGGATGAGCAAGGTGTATTTCTGCTATACATAAATGCTCTGGTATTTACAGCACATTTGATGTAGTTTATTTCCCTGGGAACCACTTAGGTGGACAGGCTGTTGAACTCAATGCTAGTCTGGCTCTTGTTGCTCTATCCTAGAGACAGCAAGTTGTCTTGACGGAACGGTGGGCAAAAGCTCACAGAAACATCCATTTCTCCGTAATGCACCCCGGCTGGGCAGACACTCCAGGTAACACCTGCTTCACATTCTGACTATATTTTTTTTCTTTTCAGGATTAGTCTAAAAGCAAGAGACGTGAAACTTCCTGATAGATTTTTCCAACAGATGCAGTAATTCTTCTCTCCAAACTGGTGCTAGAGGTAGTTTTGTATCCCCTTGGAAGCTCTATTCTGCACAGTGTGTGCTATCTGTGTACATCCAGAGAATAATAATGGGCAATGAATGTTTCCAGCCCTACACAAATGCACAACAGAGCCATAGTTCTTTAAGGTAATCTTTAAGTTACATTTGTAGTGGAACTGTTAAAAGCACAGATGTTAAATGCACTCTCTAAGTACCAACATGCAGACATTGGGAATTCATGAGGGCATGTAGGAAAATGGAGAATGCACCCCTGTGCAAGCCCTGTTCCTCTACGCTTCCTCTAAACATTTACTGTCAAGAAGCAGTTTGTCCAGACAGCTCTTTGTCTGAGCTGCAGCTGTTCTTCAGTGACTGTGCCTCAGCAGGTAGGCCAGCATCAGTTATCCAGTATGAATGTTGCATTCCCCAATATGTTACCACCCCCAGCGCCCAAGCTTGGGATGCAGAATAGCAGTCCCATCTCTAGGTCTTTTAGAGGGATGCAGTTTCCCAAATTTGCTTTTGATGATGAAAGCATTTACCCTGTCTACTTTATGCTTGAAAATTGCCTGTTCCAACTAAATATCCTGGTATTTGTTTTTCTTTAAAATACATTTATTTTTGCACTGCCTTTGGGAATTTCAAACCTAATGAACCATAAAGTTATCCCACCTTAAAGTTAAAAAACTCTCCAATCCCCAAAAATAAACAACTGCAAGATTGTTGGACACAATGAAATGAAACCAGAGTTTAGACAGGAATTATGCAGTTGGTCTAGGTAGTGTTCACCATGCAGTTTTTTAATGCAATGCTGCAGCTGGTTTCCTAAAACTGATGAGAAAATAAGAGCTAAAAATCCCATTAGAATACTCATTTTTTGGAATTTCTGGTTTGCCAATGTTTGTAGTCTTCACAGTTTAGAATGGAATTGGCAAAGGAACCTCTCACTGATCCTGTTCTCAGCTCCTACTAGTTTTGTCCCTGTCATTTGGCCCAAACAAGCAACTGATAGATCACGTGGCAGCTTAGCACTGTTCTCCTGCAAGCCATCATACTCCCTGCTATGGGGAAATACTCATTTTCTTTCAAAAACTGCAAGGTGCCTTCTCTTCTTCCTACACTCAGAATGGCAATTTTAAGCTCTTCTTTTTTTTTTTTTTTTAAATCAAAGAAGCCTTGCATGGCAGACCACCATTCCATTGTTATTCTTTCTAGCCGTGAGGTCGTCAATGCCAGACTTCTACGAGAAGATGAAGAACTCCCTGCGCACAGAGGCCCAGGGAGCTGACACTGTGGTATGGTTGGCAGTATCAGCTGAGGCAACCAAGTTACCGAGCGGCTTGTTCTTCCAAGGTAAGGAGGCAGTGTCTTACATTGAATAGCAGTGGAGATCCCTCAGCTGCCTGAACTGTAGGATCCCTATCTGGCCTGGAAGGGGATGAAGGCTGGACCAGGCAACTTGATCAGAGGATAAAGCATTTCTCGAAATCGTTACAAGACCAAAGGTTTAAGTGAACGTTGTGTTAAGTTATGATTCTGCTTTTGTCCTCCAAAGTAGCTGATAGAGACTTCAAAGCATTTCTTTAGGGAGAGTTGGGGATTCTTTAAATCAAAATAGCTGTATGTAGGACTGTGCCAAGGGAATGTGAATCACAGCAGTGAAACAACATCTTTTATAATGCTAGGAAATGAGCATCCTTCTCAAAGAGCACTGGGAGGTGACTTTGCTTTGTCCTGTTCTTCCTACCGTTCCATGCTAGCTAAAACTGCCAGCTCCCCCTTTCTCTAATGCTGAGCAGAGACTTGAGCACGGTGGCATTTTTGGCACTGTGAGCATAGGGAGTGGAAAAGTGTGGTAGAGCCTTTCTTTTCTCTCAGGCAAATGACAGGCATCTTTGTAGGAGGAGCTGGAAGTATGGATGCCTCAGTGGTGAAGCAGGTCAGTCCAGAAAGAAAAAGGTCAGGGTAATTGCTTACAGAAGCTCAGTACTTTTGTTGGATGTGGCACTCAAATCCTGATTCACCAGATTTCTATATGAAGCATGCAGGAAGCTCAGACTTCCAGAGTTGGGTTGGCATTGTCCCTTCTGTCCCACAGACACTCACACAGGATTGGCTGACAGAAATTTAACCAGATCTTTTTCATGTCAGCATGTGGTGCATGTGGAAACCATACATCCCAGCTGGCCACCCTTCTTTGTAGAACTACGTTTTGCCTTTTTCTTTCTCTGATCACCTTCTTCTGGTCCTGATGCTTCTGTTCAGTTGTTGTTTCTCTAGATCATAATTCCACCAGGCTCTTGTCTTGGGCCTTTTTCTACTCCCAGCTTTAGGGAACACACCTTGGCTCTTTAGCTATAGCTGTTGACTTTTGAGAGCTGTTGTCCTGACATGACTGCTCTTAAGGCTGCAAGAGAGATCCTGTGTCTGTGTCCCATGCCTATCAAATAGTGAAGTAATTTATTTCTCTCTGCTGCTGCCCTTTGGAAGCCACAGCTTCTTATGGGCACTTTTCAGGCACTTTCAGTAAAGGGTTTGGTGTGCAGGAGCACTTTACCACAGACACCGTGCTTCTGGTCCTAGGCAGCCATTTTCCAACTCAGTCACAGCTTCCCTCCATTTTCTCTGTTCCCTTTTATTCTGTTCCCTCTGAGACCAAACTAAAGCCAGCATTTTTTTTTCCTGAGGAAAAAACTAAAAGGAAGTGAGAACATGACTAGTACTACCAGAATTATCTACATGTGCCAAAATAAATAAAAAATGTTTGACAGAGACTTGCTTTCCAAAGACTAGAAGCATCCTCTCTGTGATGCTGAACTTGGCTTTCACACATAGTTCCCAAACTTTAGCACAGTCTGCTTGAAGTGCTGTGGTTAGGTAGGAAGCAGTTCATATTCAGTGGAGAAGGGAATGTTCCTCTGCATGTTTCTCTCGCCTCAGTTTTCCATGAGAAGTTATGTTGTGTGTGCAGGCAGTTACAACATTTGCTCTTAAGAGAGCAAATGTCTCTGCTCTCCTGGGAAGCCTGATGGCAGCCTGATAGGTTTGCAGAGAAATCTTCAGCCCAGGGTTGCAACAGCTTCAGTTCATCTCAGCTGGCTGCTTTAGAAGTTGGACTTGCTAAATAGACTAACGGTGCTTCACTAGTGCTCTGACTGTTGTTCCATAGAGACCTGATAGCATTGTCATAAGGTTCCTGGGCTCTAGATACCATGTTTTTGGAGGGAAAAGTCCCTTAGAATGAGTGGTGATAGAGCTATATTTACACAGAGGGAGTGAGGAGTATGAGACTTGGAAAACTAAGTAAAACATCAAACTGAGCAAATTTGGTCAGACATCTTGGATACATGTTACTTATGGCAACTGATCAATCAGCTCAAGTTTCTGGGCATTTAGAATTTAACAATTATTTCTAAGGATGAAAGTAAGCATTTTAAACTTGAAAATAATCCTAACTACTGAGTCCCAGCTGGAGATTTGAGTAGCACTAGAAACATTAACCAGGAGGCAAGGAAACCCCATCTCAAGCTGCAGAAGTATCCTCTGTCTGCAACAAGTCTCCAGCTATTGCTCTTTGCCTACAGGTGTTGCACTAGTGACAGGGAACAGTTGCAAACCTACTATAAAGCCACCTTTTTCTTATACTGTTCCTAGCTGCAAATGGGATCTTGCTCCACTGTCTGTCACATTGTGTTAAAGAAAAATAGTTCCAGAATACAAATTGAATTAGTTTAATTTCTGGTTTAGGAGGTATGCTTAACATTATTTACAGGTTCCTAGAAGGTATGTTTCCTGGCTTCAAAACCGTGAGGTATGTTTGAGAAGTACAGAGTCTAGCAGAAAAATATCCTTTCTGCTAGAAGAGAAAGTTAAATGTACCCATCTGGATTTTTTTTTTTCCTTACAGACAGGCAGCCAGTCGCTACACACTTACCCCTGGCAAGCACCCACAGTCCACTGGAGGATGAGGAGAAGCTAATGGCAGTGCTGGAAGAGTTCTCCCAGAATTTTAGATCCAGTTCACCAGGAACTTAGTGTCACTCCTGACACAGTGTAATGATAAAGCTTCTAATTATACAGTAACACACCTGCTGTAGTACCCCTGCTGTTGAGGGGAAGTAGGATGCCATAGGCCTGTTAAAAATGAATTGGGTTCAGGTGTTCTCATAATGGGGGAGAATGGTTCCTGTGTCATTTTTTTCTGCTGCCGAGTCTGTCCTGCTGTGAATATGCACCTGCTGTCTCAAGACTCACTCAGGTTGTGTTCTTTGAATTGGAAGAAAAATTGGGAGGCATTAAAATAAAACCCAAGACTTTGTGAAGTTACCCAGAATAATTTAAAACATTCAGCACAGAGAAATGCAGAGGAGTGTTCTTTCAGTAGTCTTTGTGAAAGACTTCAGGAAAAAAGTGGGAAATGTTTTAAACAACATTTAACCGCTGTTTTTGATGGGTTGGTGGCGTCATTCACTGCATGAGGATTGACTGGGCTCAAACCTATAACTGGGAATGCAGAAACTCTCTTGCAGTCACTGCTTAATTTAAATAGAGGAATTCCTCACGGCCTTCAGTTTCTATAAATCAGTGCTGCTATGCAGAAATGATCTGCTTACTCATGTTTAAACAGCAAGAATTTAGGAACACTGCCAAACGCCTTCCACATTACTTTATGGAGCCAGGGCTGAACATTATCCCATTTATGTCAAGATACCATGAAGTAGGAGGTTTCAACACATAACATACCCAGACAGGGCTGGATCCAGCAGGGAAATGGCTGCATGACTGTCGTCATGAAAAGAAATAACACGCTAAGCTGTATATGCTTGCCATTTCTGCAAAAGATTAAAGGGAATTGCTGTATCATTATGGATGGATTAAGAGGGGGAAAGGAACACTGTGGGGCACAGGTTTTAGAGGTGAAGTCCACCTCCTGATGAGAGGGTTGTATTTTGTCTGCATCTGTTTACTTTCAGACCCAGAGGATGGGATTCATCTTACCTGATCTGTGGACCTTTGAATTACTCACTGGGATTCTCACTGTAAAGTGCAGGGAGAGAAAACAGGCTTTTTTAGAGGGATTTACTGAATCTAGTTTAAGAAACATCACCTACAGTCCAGCATCTTTCTACTAATGGTAAAGACAGCTCAGACTAAGACACTCAGGTGGGATTCATTTTGTCTTACTTATTTCAGATTTACTGCAAAGCAGTGGTTAACACATTTTCTCATGAACTGTGTTTATAAGCCAACTGCCTATAGAACTCAGCCAACTGGTCACACTGTTTCACACATGGCTCAGACCAGTGTGGTAGGACAAACAACTTAGACACAAATATAACAGGTGTTCTTGAGGTCTCTGCAGTGACTGGTAGCTAAGGTCCTGCACATGGGTGCGGGAGAGCTCCTTATAGCTGCTTTACATAATTTTATTTCCCCAAAGATACTAATTATTTACTAATTATTCAAAGACCTCCCATAAAGTATCAGTTTAGGAAAAAACTTCTCTTTTCAGCCTATTATCAGTCTCCTTGGAAATAAAGACTTTACTGTCAGAGAGGCCCTGAAATAACCTTTCCCATGATAAGCAGTGCTGAAACAAGTGAGGCTGTCACAACTCTTCCTGAAGAGGCTGGGTCAGCGTTCAAACTGTTGCTTCACTTATAACTTTGTTTGTAAAGTGAACTCCTTCTTACACTACAGTGAAAGAAAACAACAGCAAGGCTTGTACAGAGGTTTATTTACTACAGGTCTGGTATTAACATTTTCTATAGTTCCAGCTGTTAAATACAGTTACCCAAAACAAGAGTATAGCTGGAAGCATATATAATAACTACATTTCTTAATCCAGTAGCTGCAAGGCTAATAAAAACATTTGCATTATCAAGTAGTTAAGTTGCTTCTCAGCTCTGCAGTACAGAAGAAGTTTAATGACTGGTATTTAAATAGTTCATAAAAATAAAAAAAGTGTGCTATATATATCTATCTATATATATAACACATTTTAGTCCACGTTCTGCACTGATGTATTTGAATGGCCTATGTTTCTCATTTTAGCCACAGCTTAAAAATGAAGCCAGAGTTCAGAAAACTGCTTTAATCAAAGTTTGGTCACAGTGTAAAAGAATAACATGCTATGGTTTAAGAGCGCTTGTGATTTAAAAAGAACTAGAACACAGGAACAGCAATTAGAAACAAAATCCAGAGTCTTACACACTTTGGTATAATGGTCCTGATGATGCTTTATTTCAGCCTGATTCCACAAGAGCAAACGCAGCATGTGGCTTGTAAGCCAGCGAGAGGCTTTGTGTTAATGCAATTCAGAATGACTTGTACCTTCATGAAAGTAAATACATTTAGTGCCACTTATAAAGCTTTATGGGCAAAAGAAAAATGGCATCCAGTGACAGATGAACAGAAAGAGAAGGTGGCACAAATCCTTGCTAAGCAGTGCATGCTGGGGACTTCTGCACACACCTGGTTTATAGGAGCAGAACAAGCACAGCAGCTGCTCTTGCTGCCCTTCTTTGTCCACACTCAACCCAACACTTCTTGTGGCAGCTTTGAGGCTTGTATGATTCTGACCTCTGTTGTTAATTATTCCCCTTCTGAAGGCTTTCACATTTTTCTTCATTTGGTGAAGTCACGTATTTGGGAAGTTTTTGCTCTCCTGGATTTTGCACAGAGGAATGTATCGCCACAGACCACATGTGGAGCCAGTCATTTCCCTGTGTGTTGATGGAAAGGTACTGCCCATGGACAGCAGAACTGACTGCGGTAATGTGGGGCAACTGCAACTTCTGGTTTTTGTCTTGGATGAAAATTTTAGGAGGTCAGTTTATCGGGCAATTTTGTCAACTGCATTTCCTCTTAAGTTACATTTCTGGGGTGATGTTTATTCATTGTTTAAAAAACCCCAAACAAAACCAACCTGTGATTGATTAAAGGTATAAACAAATGTTTGTTGTTTGCCTTTGAATAGCAGGGCATTTCCACATATACCTCGCTATTTTGGAGTAAACTGCAAATACCAACTCTTTGCATTTGCACCAACACATGCACCAGCCTCTGTGTTCCTTTCACTGGGAACAAGATGTGAGCAGGGACACCGCTTGCCAATAAACACGACTCAGGTGGGATGTTGAACATGCAGTGCCTGGGCTCAAAGAAGGGAGTTCTGCTATAGACTTCAGTGCAGCTTGACTTAAATCAGTGCTGCAAACTTCAACGTAAATTTATGTGGTGGGGGACAGTCCCAGCCATTTCAATTGTCAGTCCAGTCACTGATTGTATTTTTATAATGACAGAGCCTTTCTAAAAGACATGACAGTTGGAGCAGTAGTAGTTTTCATTAACCAGTGTTTAACTTGGTGAGTGGATAGTGAACATGGAGTTATTCTAACAACCTCATGGTAATTGACTCCAGTGGAGGAGGGCAGCTATAAAGCAATTTAATCCATAAGTTCCTCTATGTGTTGCTCTCTCACCCTCCCTGCAAAAAATAAAGCACTCCATCTCATGACGCAAGATCCTACTTAGTAGAATTAATGCTGGTCAGCATCTACCCACTGTCTTTTTAAACTGGCTGTTATCACTCTGACTGGCAGAGCGAAGCTTCAGATCTTTCCTGGCTCAGCTCACAGTATTTTCCCTGTTTGTCTCAAGCTTACATCTCTTGCTTTGTTGGGAGAGGTTCTGGGCACACTGGGGCAGATGTATTGACTGATTACAGGTGATAATTTTGAAATGCAAATAAGACAACTTGAAAACTCCATATTCCTGCAGTCATCCAAAAAAGCACTTATCTAGACAATCAGAGAAAGAAAGCTTTGAAAAGGCACTGAGTCTGATGAGGAGCAAGTGCAACAAAAACACTTCTGGGACTAAATGTGACCAAATCCAAGAACTGCAATTTGTGAAGTAGGTCAGTATTTATGTTCTAGAGGGAGCCATCAGATAAACTTGAGGAAAAATGATGTATTCCTGTGAAGGAAGTTTGTTTTCTCTCAAAACAAAAGCTAATGCTCAGTTTTACAAAGATAAACAGTGTCAGCCTGGCCAAAGGTCTTCAGCAGGACAGGTTTCTACCCTGCTGCCATGAGAAACAACTCAAACCTTTGCTGTACCAGCAGTGCCAGTGCTATTTCACAGGTAAAAATATTGTCCAAACAGAGGAAGAGCAGTAAAACCTGTACTGATTCAAACTTCAGGGAGAGAGGCCCCCAGGAAGTGCCATTTTCCTTGATGGTTACAAATCTTGAGCATCTTCCCTTTACTTTCCAGTTCAGAATCCACAGGGAGCCTTGAAGTGATGCATAAACTGTGCAATTCCTCCACTGCCCAAGCACCCTACTTCCCTTGGGCTGCTCACCCCCTGCCAGGCGCTTGGGGGGAGAATTCATCATGGCAAAGGACACATCCGTAGAACAGTTGTCAGTTTTATGACTATTTACGGAAGAGGCAGGTGAATGAGTCCAATCAAAACTCAACAAACCAAATTCCCTATTACAGACATAGAGAAGGAAAAGTAATAGCCAGAAGCTGATAGAAATTAATTTAGTGGGGTTAAGATACCACAATTTATTCAGCTGCGAAGGAGACACACAATGGAACAGAACTGGAAAGTGTTACAATAAAATCAGTGGAAAAGATGGTCAAATTGCTGAGCATCACTCCTACAAAACAGTGACCTGAACAAAAGCCAGTAAGACTTTTTTTCATATAAAATCCCTCAAATGTGAAAGACAACAAAGCCCATGAGATATTGGTCAGTATGGTGAACTTAAGTTTCCAAGAAGAGTCAAAAGCAATGCTTGGCCCTTGGAAAAGTAAACCACACCTAAAACTAGTGCTAATGACAAGGATGTAGCAAGTAAGTTTGTGCACTTATTTATTTGTGAAAATTTCTTAATTACTTGGCCATGGCAACCCCACAGAATTTTCTTGAGATGGGACAAAATAGGGGTGACAGCAATGGGTCTTTCACATCTGAAAGAAGCCCTGATCTGTTATAAAATGTAAGTACCAAGGTGATAAACTCTTTGATAAATGCAAGTTATTTAATGTTTAGGAACTGGAGAGAGGCAAAACTATCTTCGTAAGGCCCAACACCTCTTCTGCACCATCTCAGTAGTGATGTGTCTCTTCCTCACCATTTTAATGTTGAAGTGCTTACGCATTTAATGCAGTTCTCACAACACTGCTTGAGGGAGATACTATTTGGCTATTAAACTGAAGAACAAGAAATTGAAGTCAGATCTTCATTGACTCAATCTACTAGAAGAACTCTATGTTCTTTGTGGCTTCTGGATCCTGACCAGGGCTGCTAGTCAGCTAACAGTGTTGGGATGGGGGATGGTTTGGCTTTGTACAGTTCTGATGAATATTCATTTCTATACTACTGGCTTTTTTTTTTTTCTTTGTATGCTGATAACATTTCTCTCCTGGTATCTGTTCTTTGCAAAGATTTTGCCAGGAGACTGCACTCTTTTGTTTTCATTTGGGTTTGAGTTTAATGTCCCCACTTGGCAGCAATTTCTATTGAACTCAATTTCTTTCTGTTCTGAACAGTACAATGTGTCCTTGCAGCAAACAAAATTTCAGAGATGGCCAAAGACAGGTCAAAAGGGAAAATCCCCAAACTGGGAAAATGCAATGAAAAGTCACATGTGACCACACAAAGTTAATCCAAAGAAGGGCAATGAAGATGGTGAAGGGTCTGGAGGGGAAGCCATATGAGGAGCAGCTGAGGTCACTTGTTCTGTTCAGCCTGGAGAGGAGGAGACTGAGGGGAGACCTCATTGCATCTATAACTTGCTCATGAGGGGAAGAGGAGGGGGAGACACTGATCACTTCTCTGTGGTGACCGGTGACAGGACCCACAGAAATGACCTGAAATTGTGTCAGGGGAGGTTTAGGTTGGCTGTTAGAAACAGGTTCTTCACCCAGAGGGTGGTTGGGCACTGGACCAGGCTCCCCAGGGAAGTGGTCACAGTACCAAGCCTGACAGAGTTCAAGAAGTGTTTGGATGATACTCTCAGGCACATGGTGTGACTCTTGGGGATGGTCCTGTGCAGGGCTAAGGGTTGGACTCGATGATCCTTCTGGGTCCCTTCCAACTCAGCACCAGTGATCTCAAGTTCCAGAACTTCAGGTTACTGTCAAACTAAGAACCACTTTTTTAATTGCAAAGAGTTCCTGCCAAAATTCACAGGATGCAGTTTTGAAGAGAAAAATCTGTCTTCCTCAATATTACACAAGAGGTCTTCACTGAAGGGACAATGCATCCTGAAAAAAGGATCAAGTTTGTTATTACTGTTACATACAATTGTCACACATAGAAACAAAGTCTTCTAAGTCCTAACTGAAAACATGCCAGGTGCTCCATGTGGTCTTCTGGAAAGGACATGGCCTGTAAAACCACACATAGGCCAAATACGCCTATTTCCTCTGTGCTACAGAACAGAATTTTGGTCGTTGTTACCCAAATCCTGTTAGGACCAGCTAGGACAGACATAGCTAATATTTGCTAATTTGTTAGTAGTTTAGATTTAAAAAAAGATACTTAATACTTTTTTCCCTAAGCCATAGAGTAGACAGAAATGTTAAGTGGACTTTGAATCACAGAATGACTGAGGTGGGAAAGAACCTGCAGAAGTCATCTGGTCCTTCTCAAGCAGGGTCAGCTAGCGCTAGTTGCCCAGGATCATGCCCAGTTGGCTTTTGAATATCTCCAAGGGTGGAGAACCCACAAACAACCTCCCTGGCCAGCTTTTGTCAGTGCTTGGTCCTCCTCACAGTAAAGTGTTTTCTGATGTTCAGAGGGAACCTCCTGTGTTTCAGTTTGTACACATTGCCTCTGTCCTGGCACTGGACACCAGTGAAAAGAGCCTGGTTCCATCCTCTTTGCACCCTGCCTTCAGGTATTTATACACATTGATGAGATCCTTCTGAGCCTTCTCTTCTCCAGGCTGAACAGTTCTATCTCTCCCAGAGATGCTCCAGTACCTTTGTCATCTCAGTGGCCCTTTATGAGACTCTGTCCAGTAGTTTCATCTCTCTCTTTTACTGAGGAGCACAGAACTGGACACAGATGGAAAAAAAAGTTGCATATTCCTTTCTAACAATGATTTCCTCAGCAGGCATAAAGCAAACTTTTTTTCCCTACACTTGCTTTGCATCATCTTTTTTGCACAACCAGCCATCCCCCTTCTTTTCAGCAACCAACCCCACTCAGAGGGAACACATCCATTCTATTCCCAGTACTGGAGATACTCATGCCACCCTCTCATGGAAAGTGCAGTTATCATTACTGATGTGCTAATAGTCAACATGCTGACATTCAGGTGATGGCCTCAAGTTCAGGAGGACAAAGTATGGAGGTCACCTGGGTTTCATTGTAAAAAGCAGCTATAGACAAGGGTGCCAATAGCTGAGCACGAGAATGTCACCATTCAGGATTATTCTCTGTTAGACTGGCTGACTTTTAGTCTTTTGCACCACCCTGTTTCAACCACATCTAATCATGATGTTAGTCTTCTTGTAGATGGGAGGACCGTCAGTGCTATCATTGCAAGCAGTTGCAAGCATTCTTTTCCCTTCATACAAATATTTTCAGCTTAAAAAGACTGAAGTTTGGGGCTCAGGTTGTCCCACCTGGATCAAGCCACCTGCTCAAGCACTCTGTATGTGACCAGTGCCTACCCCATCACCTGCCTAAGCACTACGGACACAGTTCATTGTAAAGCCAAGAATAGCAGGGAGATGCTCTAAAGAACACTACTTCCTCCCCCAAGGAAACACCAGCTAAGTGAGAAATGAAAATCACTTTTTCTGATGTGAAGAGCAAAGGGAGGACAGCATTGTTTGTACACCCCTTGTCATAGCAGGAGGTATCACTAAAAGCAGCTGCCCTTCAGGAACCCTGGAGAAAGGGCACTTGGATTCGAGTGTGTGTGGATGTGTGTATGCATGTGGTGCTGCACAGTTTACACCTGTATCAAAAGACACCCTCTTTCCAATAATGCACTTCATAAAAATAGCTCAGGTGAGTTATTCAGCAAGTAAAATTGAAAGAAAATGACCAGGCAACAGGGATCACTTTTCGGGTGGATCTAGTAGACAGAAGAAAGTAATAGAAGAGGAAGGCAGGTGTTTTAACTCTCCCAATGTCATATCCTCCTTACTTCATTTGGAAGGTAAAAGAATTACTGAATTACAGACATCTATTTTCAGTTCCTATCTCTACATTATAGCTTTTAAGGGCATAGCAAAGGGACAAACTTCCCTTCCCCCCTCAGCTTCACTTTCAGCTTATATAATTTTCTAAACCCAGATGAGTTTGTCCTGCAACTGCAAGATAAGGAGATATTTAGCTTAAATTCAGATAGCCCTGCAGGTAATTCAGTCAGAAAGAAGAGCCAGGAAAATTGTGCAAAATGGATTTATATACCCAACATCTACTCAACAAACAACACTGAAACCATGACTCCTTGGAAGACAATGGGGGAGTGGTCAAGAGTTTACTGCAGAACAGTCCAAACACATGTACTTCCCATATTTAGTCTCCTTCGGAGTCAGTTCCTCATCTTTGTTTGAACATTATGTATTCAGGACTAGGTGCTGACCCAGGAGCAGATCCTCAGCTTGCTGACTCCACCACTCCATCAGCGGAAGCACAATTCATGCTGGAGTACCAGATTTGTTGCAAATGCTGTCTCCTCAGAAACAGAGCACTAAACTGTCATTTAAATCCACTTTGGTGTGCCCATGTTTCCATCACCATGAGATACACTCCCTGCACAGCAAAGCAAGTCAGGTCTTTGGCCAGAAGGCCCTGAGTCCGAGGTAACACAGAACATCAAAGTGCAGCAAAGTTTTGTACATCTTTTCAAGCTGGAATGAAATATTGGCAGGCAACTTGCTCATCTTGCATAGCTTCAACAGCCAAGAACACTTCAGTCATCAGAAAACATGCACAAGTTGTAATGAAAACCCTTCTAAGAGGAAACAAGCTTCTAGTTTCCAGGAGAGAAAGTGGGAGGACTTAGAAAACAATTAGCACTCAAGCTGGAAAAATAATATTTTTAGTGCTGCGTGAATTATGTTTGAAAATAAGCTTTAAAATATGCTGCCTAGAGGGGAACTATCAACAGGCTGTATGACCAGGAAAGCCAAGGTGGCATTATTTCAGAGAATGTGACTGCAAAATGCTTCATCACAGTTTATAGGATGTTTAAAAAGAGAATTTTCCTTGAAAATACATAGCAGTCCAGTGATGCACACATGAAAGTCCACTCACTCTTTACTGCAGCAGCTCACTGGACCAGAATTAATGCCATGGATTGTGTTAACCTTTTTTTTTAACTCAAAAGTGAATTAGTGTTGGATAAACAAAGGAGAAGCTTTACTTTCTTTTGATGTTCTAACTGAAGAAAGAACACCAGGCTTCTCTAGGTGGCAATGAGCTCTGTAGTGGTAAACATCATGGCCTCCCCACTTTAGAAGGGAAAAGTAAAGTCCAAAACAGGGCATGACTGAGCACCACCAATGTCCTGTGTCACTGCAGATACAGACCACAAGGCCTGCTGAAACAGTGGATACAGGAAAGCCCTTGGTCTGGTTTGCAGTTCTACTCTCTACACCACTTTCTTTGAAGTGCGTCAGCAATACCATGCTAAAATTTGAAATGGATTAATGGAACAGAGAGTTGACTCTTCAGAGAAGATCTCTTTGGAAAAAGAGGGGTTTTTTTCAATCATTCATCTTGACAATGCCCTTCTAACAAGGTAATTTTGGTCAGTCCAGGTTTTTAAATACTGTTTATTTTTAAAAGAAACCATAAAATATGACAACAGGACAATGGGCGTCATTCAGCAATATCAGTTTTGGGTCTATAGAGGAAATTAATAAAAAACATCAGCATTTTAAAAAAAATATGACTAACCATATGGAAAACAGGAAAAACAAAATTCATCTTCAACAACACAGACAGATAGATATAAATGCTGAAATGTTGCTGTGCAAGGTAGAGGTAGAGGTAGAGGTTAACCAGACTTTTCCAACCTACACCAGTTTTAGATCTGCCCACCCTCCATGCACACACTCCCAAAAGTTCCTGTTGCCAATAATTTCATTTGAATCAGCCTGTCAGCTTCATCAAACTCAAACAAGTCTGTGTGTTCCTTGTAATGCTCTGAGCTGGAAAACTATTTCAGTTTTCTGTAGAAATTAGTTGCTGAGCAACCTGCCCCCTGGTTTTGCAACTTGTGCAGCAAAGGAAGAGGCAGGAAGATTACACAGACCAATAAAATGCTCTCTGGATGATGCCCACTAGGACAAGTAGATGGTAGAGCCCTTTTAGGAATTGCAGTAGTCCATCAGCTCCTTGGTGATGCACCCAGAGAACATGCAACACTGCACTTGGGGTTCCTCCACTGAAGAGAACATGGTCAGCAGAAATATCCCAAATCAATAGGTACTTGCTGTGGGAGAGCCGATTGCCTAATACAGTCTGTTGATACCAAAAACTCACATGGTAGGGCACAACCCAAGAACCCTCTGTACAAAGCAGTAAGTGTCTTGACATAGTTAAATATAAAAACTAAAAATTGCACTGCACACAGATTTTCCAAACGAATTCAAGACAGTTGAAGTCAGATCGTACAAACCGTTAGTTAAAAAAATACCTTCTTGAATATTTTGAGAAGTGGAAAGAGTCTTCGTGCAAATGTTCAGCCTTGATCAAGCAGAGGACATAAAATTGTAAACGCATTAGTTCCTTTCTCATCTGCTGTATGCACCCAACATTATCTATCTTCTGCAGTATGATTAGGGTTAGAAAATTGGTTTCTTCTGTAAATGTCACCTTTCCAGTTCCACTGATGTAACATCAAGACACTACTGGTGTCATATCCCACAACTGTCAATACAATAAAATATAACAGCATAGTGAATAATGGTTAAAGACAATAAAATACAGTGTAAATATAATCTTTAAATAATTTGCACTCATGTCAGAGTGGTGGAGGTTGACCAAACAACACTCTGTATGTCACTGTGTTTTATCCCTATGAGTCGGGTTCATAGTTGACCTTAAAAGAAACCAAAAAACTCCCATTACATTGCTAACTTGAATGATCAGCATATTCATAACACATTGTGAGGCTTTTTCTTTTTTAAATTAATTAAGCTGTTATAAACTTATTCATTATTTTAGCTATTTCTTTATCTAGCCACACTGAGATTTGCCATGTTGAAAGAAAGTTGGTCTTCCTGGAGGAAAAGCTACAGTTAGGACTTATCCCAGCCTCCTTCAGGCAATAACTTTATAGACCAAGACCTCCTTGGTACTTATTGGGCAGAAATCCACTAGTGAGAAGCCTCTTGTGTAGAAGGCGGCAGACAGGACATAGCTGCAGCCACATGGGAGAGTAAGGGGAAATGAAATACAGGAGCTAGAGAACATTCCTTGCTCCTACCTTAATAACCTTGTCTGTCCCCGAGGTCAACAGCCATCCCCTGGTGGCATCAAAGTGTACATGAACAATGTTGTGCTTACTGTCATGGAAAGTAGCTGTAGGCGCCCGCCTGAAGAAAGAAATCCAAAAATCAACAAGAACTGTAACTGCAGGATTTTCCCCAAAATTTTTCTCTATTGAGGGAATAACTATCTGTCTGCTGCCATTAATTCAGCAGCCACTCCATAAACTCTACCTTGAGACCTTTTCTGGCATGAAAGGAACAGGGTAGAGGAGGGCTCCTCTATCCCTCCTGGCTTGATAGTCACCCCAGAGGCTTATCTTGCTGAAAAAGCCCAGGGATCACCATGCCGGGTTGCTCCCTCCTGGAGCCTCGCATCTGCCCAGGTCCTTCCAGATGCAGATGCAGATGTTTTGCCCCATTCCAGTGCAAGCCGGCTCAGTGTCCACACTTACTCTTCATCTGTTATGGACTCGTGACAGCTGTCGCAGACCCTCACTTCAAACTCAAACCCCATCAGCGGGATGGAGGAGCGCTTGGAGCTGCATTTGCCGCACACGGCTTTTCCACACTTCCGGCAGTGATGCTGTAGGAGACAACAAGCAGAAAGACATCTTAAGCCACAAAACCAGATCAGGTCACTGCTCAGGTCCCACTGGTTCTACCATCTAATTACAGCAAGACCCAGCCAAAGCTGCAGCAAACAGGAAAGCTTCTCAAACTCCAGGAGAACATGGAGCACTTTTTCACCCCTTTCCCAAAAGTCTCTGTCTGCAGCCCTCTCCTGCTGAGCAGGAAAACACAGCAGCATGTTTCAAGCAGACCAATAAGCCTTTTCCAATACAGCCTGAGCAGTTACACACGTTTACCCAAACTGTTTGAAAACAGCTTTGGTTCCAGCACAATCTCTGAAAATCAGCCACAAATTTCTTTCTATAACATATTTGATTAAAATAAGCAAAATCCCATGTGGCTAAAGCCATGGAAGGCCCGAAAACAATCTATTCAGCCCAAGACATGCCTTTGCTATTGGGAGTGGTTGGAAAAACAAAAGTGTGTTCCTCACAACCCAAAACCCAGCCTCATCAGTGGGGCGTTCACTGTCCCACTACTGAGCATTGAGTGGAAGAACAAAGTGCAAGTTCTCAAAGCTTTAGGGAGAAAAAGGTTACCACAATCTGTTATGAGAGGAAAGCCTAATTGCAATATGTTAACCCATCAAAGGACACATACAAACCTGCCTGAGGCCTATTTTCTTACTGTCCCACATTTGCTTGAAGTTCCAGAAGAAAGGCTGGTCACATTTTTGACAGGAATCACTATCCAGCCACTCGGGGGTCTGCAACACACATGCACATAAACACAAAGTGGAATTGAGCAACAAACAGAAAAACTTCCAACTGCCTAAAGGCAGAACAAGAAAGATGTATTGTGATGTGGCAATATGGCCAGCTAAACTTGATTTAAAATCTCCATTTTCACAGGATGCCATTTTGACTGTTCCCTGAGATGTCTTTTTTGGTTTATCTCTGAGCTTTGAAGGACATGGGAGGAACACTTTGCACACAAATCATGAAGAAGTGTTTGATAATAGGACCACAGAAATAACCCGGGAACAAATCAGCCTCCCCCATATCTCCAGTTATGGAATTAAGCATGTAAGAATACTTTGTCCTGTCCTATCTGGACAGCATTTACCACCTGCTATTGCCTCTGATGGAAACTGGGGGCAATTAGTATTTCCAATAGCCAAGAAACTCATCTGAAAGGAAAGGGGAGTTATTGGAAATACTGATGTGGTTGGGGTTTTTCATATTCTTTCTTTCTTTAATACTGTAAGAGGTGTTCCTGCTGTCAGAGGTATCTGTGCTACAAATCACACATAGGGGTGAGAAAGATGAGATTCATCTGAACAACTCTAAGACCCAAACCAGCTCTTTTCTCTACTTTTACAAAAGACAAGGAAAGGCAGGTCTCCTATTTCCTAACATGGTGTGTAGCTTTGCATTCATGCTGTGGATAACACAGGTAAGAAGACTTAAAGAAAATAAAGACTATATTAAAGGTACTTCTCTCTCCTGCAGCCAGGTTTTGCTGTGCAGAGTAGCATGGATCAGATGCCCTGTAGGGAAGCAAGTCTTGCCAGATCCTGAAAGAGCTCAGGAAATGCCTGAAGTAGCAGGAGAGCACATGGAAGGGTCAGTTATTGTCCTCCACTACATATGGGTCCTCTGACACTTGTTTTGCACTGAGCTGCTGAGGGGCATGCACTGCATCTCCCCACAGTGTTTAGGAAACCCTCCAGGGGACATGAGACTCGGGAAGAGTCCTGGTTCTTGACCCCTCTCCAGATGGCAGCAGTTTTTCTGTCCTAATCTGGCCTAACGAGAACGACACTTCTTCCCTGACAGACAACTTCTGCTCCTTTTTCTGCCCCAACAGAGCAAGAGCTCCATCCAAAGCTGGTCCTGGTAAGTTGGTCCATCCTGTGTCTCCAGTGGAGCAGCCCCAGGCAGACCATGACAGCCCTGCCAGTGCTGCGCCTGCAACACTGCAACATGTTCCCACTAGTCCTATCAACACATGAGATTAAATAAACATTGACTAGTGTTTCATACATTATGAGGAAACAATCAGCAAATTTCAGTTGTCGTATCAGAGCCACTTATTTCTCACATGCTGCAAATTAAAATAGCAAGACATGCTGCTGAGATTAGGAACTAATACTCAAAGAAAAGCCAGACAGATATAAGTTAAGGGCAGATGGAGACCCTCAGCTCCAAGGATATCTTTTATCCCCAGCAATAAAACAATCACCTGCTTCATATTCTTCTGCCAGTTATTCTGAAGGCAGTTCATTCTGCTGGGGCAAATTTTTGTCTTTTCTACCCACAACAGTCTTTCTGTTTAATGCCTACAGATTTACATCTGTCTGTATAACTTTTCATCTCTTAAGCATTTGAATACTATAGAGGAAGAAGACATTTTGCTTGTGACAAGTAACCACTTTGTAGTCAAATAGAAACACAGCTTCTAGCATCTTTCAGATGTTGTCTTCTTACAGCTTTTTAAAAATAGAGTTGAAAATGAAGAAATGGTTTAATTCACTCTAATGCAATCTCGAAGGTGTGGGGAAAATCTGATACAATAAAGTGAGTACTGAGGACACATCACATGGAGAAAATCTTTAAATAAGGGCACAAATACCAAAGTCAAAATCCAGAAGAAGGTGCTCTAGGACCCCAAACCAAGATTTGGTATTAAAATCTCAAAGATTCATGTTTTGGGAGTGGTTTGGCACCAAGAACACGCTATTGTGCTACTGATAACAAGAACAAGCCCACATAGCCATAGGCTGAGAAAGCAGAGCACCCATTAGCACCTGCTGTTAGGCCTTCATTTAGCTAATTATATTTCTCCTCTATTTTTTAAAGCAGCCTTCTCATAGCATTGCTGCATGTTTTGTGACAAGCAAACCCTTACTGTAGCTTTTTGAAGGCAGCAAATAAATAAAGATTTTAATTTCTGGATGTTCAAGTTGCAGCAAAAAGGAAACATCTGTTGGGAAGGAGGAAACCACTCTGCATTCATTCCACTTTAGGGGCTGATGACATACTTGGCCATTGGACTAGCAATTAAAGAGAGCCAACTGGAATGCTAACTCACATTAAAAAGGGAGCTCAGTTCCTGCCTATGCCTACTTCAGTAGTTTTTTAAAATCAAGTTTTTCACTTAGATTTCCTCCTTCCTCAAGGGAGACCCACAAAATCCAGGGAGGCCAAAACTCTTAAGAACCAGCAAAGATGATGAAAGCTCACCCTGTGAAAAGCCTTGCTCAGACCTATCCACTGCAGGGACTCGGGGTGCCTTTGTACCCTCTGCAGGAAGAGGGCAGAGGTTTGACACATATCACCAGGATTTGCCAGGCTGTCGAGCAGGGCTGGCGCCTGACTCACTCAACACAGTGCTCGCTCCCCCTCTCTGAGTCAAGGCTCAGGAATTGCCAAGTGGAGGCTGCTCCCGCAGTGCCAAAGACATGGGCTACATTTTTGCACCCCCGTACATTCGCTGGCTGTGAAGCACAAAAGCAATTAGAAATGTGTGGGTGAAATCTTAGTCTGGATCAGCGTAGCCATCATTTACCCTGCTTCTACATTGTTACACCAGAGCAAGACCAAGTAGCAGGTGTGACTGAAGCCCTAGTTAAATGTCTTTTTATCAAAAACAGTGAAAAAATCACACTGGGTCGCAGTTTTCCAGAGATGACAAAGAGCTCTATTGTTTTGTTTTCTTAAAAACAACACTAATCCATCCATTTACATCTGAATTGATGATATTTCTCAGGATAAACAAAGCTGAGCAGGTCACAATATCCTCCTTACATGATGTTTTTCAGAGCAGTAATGTAAAGAGTAAGAGTCATTTAGCAGTCTTTTTAATACACATTTTCTGCCAGTCAATTTCCCCTGTACCATATTATCAAAGGCATGGCATAATTGCTGTATAACAACTGAGGCATATCCAAAAACATTTTTAGAGCTTGGAATGATCTTGGTTATGTTGAAAGTTGCCATTTTAGAAAGGCCCCTTCTTCCCAAGACTGTTTCAGATCAAACTGATGAGAATTAAGCATCTACCTCCTGCCTCTCAACATCCATGTTCCAGACGACGATTCCTCCATCTGCTCCGCAAGAGATGAGCTGCCGAGTGTGGTGAGCATAGGAGAGAGACTGAACTTTATCACTGAAAAGGAAACAAGACAGTTACTAATCAACCATCTATAGCTAGTGCACAAGTAAGCATAGAATATACAATAAAGCAGTACAAACTGCTTTGTTTGCCCATATATTTCCCTCCCCCATTCACTGTACATGGTATCCATCAGATGCAAATCAGTCTTTGCTGTCCAGCTGGGACCAGAAAGAGAGTATGGCTTATCTGGGCAGCATCCACAAAAGCAAAGACCTGTTCTGATAAATGGTTTTGCTGCCCTTAGGGTGGGAGGTTCCAGCTACACCGGGAAGCCTCAACAGAGCTGCAGCTCTGGGCCTCTCTGAAGGCACAACTGGATGCATGAAAGCTCCAGTAAGGTACCTTCTTGTCAAAGAGTCCGTAACAACTTTGTTTTTGTAAAGCCCTACATCATCTAGAAATGAAGCACTGAGGAACTACTGAAGACTTTCTTTTAGCACTAACAAGTACAGAGTTTCAAAAATAATACAGGAATCACTAAATTGTTCCTAAGCTTTCTCAGAGTAAGGTAGAAAATTTAGGTGCTTCTGTTTCTTCTTTTAAGGAAAAAAACAACATGGGAAAAATAATTCGCTCAAGCCTCCAAAGATGGGCTCGATCCTTCATAAAAGAAAGAAAACCAAGCTTCATCTCAAGCTGTTTACAACCTGGGGAACAAAGACCACATAACACTGTTACAGAAAAAAACAAGGTTATTAAGACACTGTAACTGAGAATACCACGACTGGAAATAATCCACAATATTTGGTTTTCTTTGCTACCACCACTGATCTTGTCTGCCCAAAGGACTTTCATGCTAACACATTTGCTTTTGCACATGGCTGCACCTGCAGAGGGAAATGCACTTATGGAAGAGTTTGGTACAACACAGCCACCTTTCACAGTGCCTGCTTGCTGACACCAGAGGCACCATCAGAATTCTTTTAGGACTTTATGTTGTACTATTCCAGCTGACAGCCATGCCACAGATTAAGATCCAGAGGCTAATTTTATATTAGGAGAACTAATTTCCACAGTAATAAATCTAGCAGCAATGCATTAGCAAGCACCACTGGAAGGGTATGAGAGTGATCTGGGAACTTCAGCAAGAGCTCTGCAGTGCTCTGAAATCCCAGAGGCATGCAAATCACTCAGCAAGTGCAGCATCACTGTATGAACATGTAAGAAACTCTTAGGCCAAAACCACCACGGGATTTTGCCTTTCCAGACTTAAGCCTGGACACAAGTCCCACATATATGCTGTCTCAATACTCTGAAACAAACTTGTTGCATTGCCAATGTTAAAAGATGGGGAGATCATTGCCACTAGAGCCATTCTGACCTCTAATCAACACCCAGTAGGGACTTAGTCTTCTTCAAAGACATCTACTATGGTGCACAAATGTACACGCAAAGATGATGCCTCTTGCATTGAGGAGATGTAAAGGGTCCTACAGGTGAAACGCATTAATTAGAATTCAGGCTGTAGGTAAAGTGGCTTGGAAAAAGTGTGGAGGAAAAAGGGACTAATTGTTCAAGCCCGATGCTCCCTCTAGGGGAAGGAAAGACCTTGACACCTAAAACTCGAGCATTTCTCTGCAGCTGTTCTCATTTGAGGACACTCCTCATTCCAACAGAGGTGCAGGCTCTGCCATAACACATTTGGGATTATAGATACTGTGCTTTCCTTCACCACCCTCTGCAGACTCTCAAATCATCCTGTGGGCTCAACACTGAGAAACTTACTATAAGCAAATTATTCCTGATGTACATGAACCATAGGGAGTCATACATACAAGTTTGAAGCTTGTGAAGACTGTAAGCTTTGGGCTGTTTGTTTCCAGATGTGGGTTCTGCCTTTAGCTTTTCTGTCATAAAAGCAGGAGGGAGGGCTTTAAACGTACTTATGTCCTTGCAGCTCGATGGCTGTTCCTTTTCTTCCTCCAATATCCCACATTATAATGGAATGATCAGAACTGCCTGAGAATAAAACTCGCTGTATTGGGTCCCAACAGAGAGCAGTGACACCACCTGCAATAAGAGTGCACACAACAGTCATTTTGTTACAGAAAGTGGAAGACCAGAATGTAACTAAATAAAAATGACAGAGAGAGTGATTAAAATGCAGGCCTCTTTAGCAAAGGCCATGCAGCCACGTGCCGTGTGCCAGCGGAAAACTAACAGGCTAGAAAACCTACTGAGATTCCTGAGAGCAGCCCAGCTGCTCTTCTGTGGGCAGAGGGCTCCACTGCCACTTGCACTGAACAGTAAAATGTAGTAGAAGGATGGTCACAGTGTGACTATACAGCTTTTCATCTCCACGATTTCTAAGAGATTAAAAGAGAAATAAGTGTGGAATATTATGGGTATCTTCTCAGTATCCTAGCACAAGGATTGTGCTACCTTGTGATTGAGCTATTAGCATTTAGTCAGACAGGAGGGATATGGAGAGAAAATGCTGAGGAATGACCACCATTTCTTCTGTTGGATGGCAGGATCCTATCCAGAATTGCTCTTTTTTAAAGGGTGATGGGGCTCAAGTTCCAGCAGTGAAACAAGCAATTAGTGCATCCAAGATGTGCCTATTCCCTTTGGGAAAAAGTGTCTACCAGCGTGGATCTCTCCTTTATGAGCACCCATTCTTCTCCAAAAGTACCACAACTTGTTCTAGTCTTCTCTGCTTTAACTGGTAGCTACTGATTATGGCATTTTCTGTCATACATGTTTTCTGCTCAGAGTTCTGATGACTCTTGTTTTTACCAATACAGCTTCCCTGAACTGCTGTGACAGTTTAAGGTCTATGTTCCTTTTATGCTATGCACTGGCACAAGCCATCCTAGTGTTTCACAGGAGAGTTAAACCACCATAATACTGAACATAGACGAAGAACCAGACTGGGTCTCCGCCTGAGGCCTTACCTGTGTGTCCCTTAAACGTTGTAACAAGGCTGCAGGACTCTTGCTCTAGTTTGAGTATGGTCACTTGCCCAGAATGATCACCAACAAACACATGCCGGGTTTCCACATCAAATCTGATGGATAAATGCTGAGGGAAATATATTGTTTACACAAGCTACGCATTCCTTTCATGACTTGCTAATTCTTTTAGCATGAGCATACTGCAACCTTGTCAATAGTGCTCCAGTCTCAAGGAGGTATTCAGAGTGTACTTTTAGGCACCTGTTCATACTAATAGTGCAGTATCCCTGAGTAAACCAAAGAGAAAAAATTAGACTATTCTAGAAGACACAATTTGTGTTTTTGTTATGAAACACCTTTGAAGCAGCCCTTCTCCACGAACATAGGAGTTGTCTCTCTGGGTTCTGTAACTTAGGTATTAGCGTTGAATGGTATCTACTCTCTCCTTCCCAAACTTCTTTAAAATAACTATTACTAGTTTTCTGTTTGTATTGGATTTGCATGTCAAAGTTTTGGAAGTGGGGGGTATACGGTGTGGCTTCTGTGAGAAGGTTTGCTGGCAGGACTTGTGACCTCGTGGGAACCCACGTTTGAGTAGTCTGTTCCCAAAGGGCTGCACCCCATGGAAGAAACCCATGCTGGAGCAGGGGAAGAGTGTGAGGAGTCCTCCCTTTGAGGAAGAAGGATCAGCAAAGACAACATGCAATGGACCAACTGCAACCCCCCAGGAGGCAGAACAAATCAGGACTGAAGTGGAGCCCAGGCAGGAAGAAAGAAGGAGTGGGGGGAAGGTGTTTTTAAGATTTGGTTTTATTTCTTATAACCCTACTCTGATTTGATTGGTAATAAATTAAACTAATTTCCCCAAGTTGAGTCTGTTTTGTCTGTGACAGTACCTGGTGAGTGATCTCTCCTTGTCCTTATCTTGGCCTTTCTTTATGTTTTCTCTCCCTCACCCAGTTGAGGAGGGGAGTGACACAGTGGCTTTGGTGGGCACCTGGCACCCAGTCAGGGTCAACCCACCACAATGCTTCTTCATTATAGTCAAGTTCATGAATATAGTGAAAAAGTATTGTTTCATGTCATATTTGAGGAAGTGTCGACTACATCAGACACCTCACACATCATATCCTAAACTGAATAAAATCTGGACCACTTAACCACCTACTGGAACCACCTAACTGGACAGGTTCTGACCTCTTCATCCAATTAATTCCACATTCAGAGTCCATACCAGATATTTAAGGAGCAACTGCTTTTAGCACTCCATAAGAGCAGTGCTATTTAAGAAACACTGATTTTAAGCACACAGGACATAGGAGAAAAAAAAGAAAAACCAAACATGTTCCTGGATGTGCCAAATATTTTTGCAGTACTTGTCAATGATTCTTCCTTCCACTGCCCTCACCCATCATGAGCAGATGACTCAAATTAAAGTGTCCTCCAAAAGTTCACTCAAAATGGTCTGTTCTCTAGAGAGATTTAGAGAATACAGGACAAATTCTTGCATCAAGCTTTCAAAAACATTTATAATTTAATTTAAAATTAAGTCCAGTCTTTATGCCATTTATATTGGCTGAATGACCAGATAATATAAAGCAAGTCCATATTGGAACAGTAATTTTGAGTAGGTCTCAATTCTCCTGAACTAGCAAAACACACATCTATACCATGTACACTCTGGGGCATTAAAAAGTCTGTTTATGCTAACCCCTGTTTTCAGCCTAAGAGTTCACACTTTTCCACTTTCCTTTTCATTTGCAGTAAACCTGAATTAATATTTCTTTTATTGTTGGGTGGCTGGGGCAGCTCTGCGTGAATAAGCCACTCGAGTGCCATTTCTGGAGTCATTTACTCTTCGGTTAACCCAAATTCCCAATACACAGTGAGCAGTTCCAGAGTGAAGGACAAGTGCTCATTATTTTATATTAAAGTCATTTAATTTTTACCATACATGCACACAGGCACTCTGACCTGATCACCAACCTACTTTGCTACCATTAATTCTCTGAAGAAAGCAGGCACTGCATGTTTAAATGAAGGTCCTATCCATATTTATTACAATAGCAGACCACAATAGGTTGCAGATCACTCATTGTGGTGGTTAAAAATGCTTAGACCTAAATATGCCATAATGCATTAAGGAGACAAAGCAAGGAGAATAGGCAGTTTTTTAAATTGGCTTTAAGTAACAGTTTCTCTCACAAAACACTGAATCTATACAGGGCACAAAATTTGGAGGACAGCTAGACAAATAAACTAAAAGGGCTGTTTGAGTGCCAAAGAGCAGAAATGAAACTGAGAGCTCAGCAAAGGATACTGCAGGCCACAGGCACCTGCGCTGGTGCGGTACCCTCCCAGCCGCTGGCCACTTTCCGAACAGTGCCACGTGAAGTGTTTATCTTGTCCAGTGCTTAACACCCACTCCATTTCCAGGACAAAGAGAATCATGATGACCCTGCTTTGATGAGCTGAAAATTAAGCAGACAGACACATAATCACATTGCAGAGAAAAACATGGGGGCAGAATAACACTGCAAATACCAACTGCACCCAACTCCTCCACTCACCCTTCCCTACAGAAGCAGCTGGTGTTTAATAATCCAGTTGACATCAGCTAGCATGCAAGGTTGTAAGGTCCCTGCTCTGCATATTCAGCGTTTGCATGAGAAAGAGTGGAAGCAAGACTTAACTCCTTCCATGCCTATTGCAGCCATTTGTCTTCCACAGTAGCACAAGTCTTCCCTCCATGATTGTTTCATCACTAACAAAACTGCCATTGTGGAATGGACTTGGGGCTTCGTTTAAACCTCTTTTGAGCCGGTTTTATGACAGCAGTACAGATGCCTACCCTGCCACTCCTCCTGCTGTGAAGTCTGGTGGATCTGGGTTGTGGTACCCCAGCAGAATGATGAGTTACAGGCGCAACGCTGCACCAAAGGAAAGTTTCAGCATTGCATGTAAACCAGATAGAAAAGTGATTGGAATAAAATAAAAGAAAAAGAAAAATATCACAGCTGTGTTAGATGAATAAAACGGCTGAAGGAATAAATCTCTACTGCTACCAAAATAAAGCCATCAAAAGCTTTTCATTAAAACAAGGGAATGCATGCTTGTACAGACAGTTTTTTGTATGAATGACCAGTGGGCTTGGTCATGAAGTGCTGATTGAGCTGACTTTTTAATAAAACAAGTGGCTGGAAAGACTTGCAGAACTATTCCCAGCTGTAACTTAGCAGTGAATGCCATACTCCTCAATCTACAGCCCTGCTGATTTATGACTGTTCTGAGACCCACCAACATGTATTGCACAAAACAGGCTGGTTGTATTGCTTGTATTTGTTTGCGCAAAAGCTGACACAAAAAAAAAAAAAATTAAATATGATTGGAAGCTTAAACACCAGCCCCAAGCCTCCACTTGAAATGCAGAGAAATTCTTCAGAACAGTATTGGAATATTGCTGTCTGCCCTGCACAAATATACAGCACAAATGAGAGCTGCGTTCAAATCCTATGAGAGGAATCAGTTGTAGCAAGGAAGTGGTGGCTTACACAAGCCAACACCTGCCCTAATCCACACTGCTTTTTTAGATGGAGATTCCCTGAGGAGGAAAGTCAAAAGATGCATTGACACAAGTTGCCACAACTGTGATTGGCAGCTAGACCAGTTTACAGTGTCAGACATGAACTTGTGCCCAGGTGCTTTCACCCTTGCCCATAGAAGAGGTCAGATTTTGGCTGTCATTTCCATACACTCTTACATTCCAGATAGAAGGATGGGGACCACCAAGGAGTCACTTGAGCTCTTTCAAATAGATCCTATCTCCTCTCAGCCCTTGTTTTCTTTGGGGGGAAATTCAGTGACCCCATAGGTGGTTCATGCTTGTCTTTACCTTTCTGCTGGTCTCTCCGGAAACATCCACACTAGCTGGTGGACTGGTGCACTGAGAGAGGGTCATGATGATCTGCATGCTGCTACAAGCACCTGATGGGCTTGTAAACATGTCCTAGGAGCTTGTGTGCACCAGCAAGGTCATAGACAAGGTCATGCACTTTCACAGGATGTCCAAAGCTGGCCGAGATCAGACTGTTCAAGGCCTGTCCAGAAATGTTACTGCTAGTGACAGCTTCCCGTGAATTGGTTGTAAGGATAGCTGGCACCACCCAACTCTCTTAAAATTCCTATCTCCTAAAACTTCTAAAAGGCAGGGCTTGTAACTTTTGCTAGAAGTACTGCCTGTGGATGCTGAGGCAGGTTCTTTCTGGTAAGTAAGGAGTAGACATTGAAGAACTTTACTTGCCAAGAGGTGGAAGGGGTGTACACAATAGCTTTGCTTATCCTCTCTCCTCAAAAGGAGATTTCAATTCAGCACTCTGTTGTATGCTTGCACATATTAGCTGGTGCCAACACACATGCTGATGGCAGAAATATCTGAACCAAGTGAAAGAGCATGATGGAGATCATCTCAGTAACAGAGGACAGAGAAGACAAATGTAAATCAAAGTCAAGGCTAAAAAAAAAGTTAAGGCTAAAAGAACTAAAATGTCAGAAGGTTGGAAGTTGACACCAGAGCAAGGAAGAAGTCTGGGCCCTAGGATTAATGTAGGTACAGGGTCTTGAAGCAGTAAACAAAAAAACTGATCCTTCATCCATGGAAGGTTCGATCACCATTTGTGATCAGAAAAAAATGTGGAGCAAACAATTCCAAAGCTGTTCATTTGCAGCAGGATGGAGATGGGGGGATGGAAGCTGAATGTGTTCACAGTACAGGAAAAGCCTCGGCAAGCACCAGGCAAGAGCAGATCTGTGTAAGCCAGCATCAGAAGGAAGCCATTTTTGGAGGAAGATTACGCTGTACAGAAGGTAGAGAAGCAGCAGAGAAGAGAAGGGAGCAGGTACATCTGCAGCTGGAGAGTGGGAGGCAGCAAGGGGGCTGCTCTACTTCTACGAGAAAGCAACAGCAAGCAGTGTGGAAAAAACAGGTTGGAGAAAGGTTGTAAAGTCTGTGCCTAGAGAATAGAAGCTACAACCAGGAGGTGAACGCCGAGATACCAGCATAGGGAAAAGGAGGGTGTGTGCTATGTGTAAAGGCAAAGGTCTGAGAAGTATAGCCAGTGCATGGTCATGCACAGTGCAGGGGCAAGAAGCTGTGCTGAGGGGTAAAAAGCATCACCAAAAGAGAGGTGGAAGTTAACAGCAAGAAAAAAAGCTTAGCATACGCAAGAAAAGCTCACATGAAGAGGCTGTGCATAGAGGAAAGCATAAGTAAGCATGAGTTGGCCTGAAAGCAAGGGGGCAGGGGGACACCCTCAAAATAGGCAGGCTGCACAAAGCATGGGGCAGAAGCAGGTCTACTAACCTGGCTAGACAGAAAAAGTGTGGATCATATAAACAAATCAGTAAAAAGTAAAAAAACACAAGAGCTGTTATCTCATCCAGAGGGGGACTGGAAACATGGCCCCTGGTAAGATGGTGCACTTTCAAGAAGCAGGGTAGAGAAGGTTGTGCAGAGTGGGAAGCTGCAACAGCCATGCAGTTGGACCAGCCTGTGAGGGGCTGGAAGCCAAGGCTGCTAAGGGGAGGGAAAGATTTCTTCAACACCCATAGTTTTGCAGGAATGTGAGTAGCTGCCCAGGGAAAGAGTGGAGGGTGTGAGCAGAGATTCTCCATGCCTTCAGCTGGTGCTGTGGCTGAAGAAGAGAGGATGGCGATAGTTATGAGAGATCAACACAGAATGAAAAGTTTAATTTCCCAGAGCATCCCAAATGGCACTGTTCAAATGCTTGCACTACCCTTTCTTACACAAGAGAAGGAGTCAGTGCCTACAGGAGGCCAATGCTCTGAGAGCCACTAGGTAGTCCTGTCTTAACACTGCATTACATCTCTGATTCCAGTGTTTCCCTTTCAAGAATCAAGATTTCACAACTCCAGATACAGTGCTGCAGCAAAACCTCCACAGAGCACATCCAGCCACATCCGCTGCCGGTGTCAGACTGCCATATGTCACTGGACCTGGTTGCACACCCCTACCAACACCAAAGCAAAGCCTATACACATGCTGTCATTCCCTGTCACTAGCATATCATTTGGCAGGCATATTCATGGCCTTTCAAGACAGGATTGATGTTATTTAATCCCTACAGCAGCCTCAGCTACCTTCTTGTGGGAGATGATCAATAGCCCACCAGTCACTAGGCAAGGTGTTACTTTTAAGAGCATTGTTGAACATTTACAAAGCTAGCACACATAAAACCAGCCAGCATGGCTAAGCTAAAGACCCTTGGTAGGCTAAATAAAATTATTTACTCCCCCTAAAATATTTTTAAATAATATAAAGGTCTTACTTGAAAACCTTTAGTAAAACCAAAACTTTTAAAAAGTAAGGCCTTTAACAAAAGAACCACTAGAAGGCTACCATACCAACAAAACTACCTGTTCCTTTTTAATTATGTTTTCCCTTGCCCCAGGGTTTTACCAAGTTGCTTATGCCAACCCCTACACTTCAGTACAGCCATATGAGGAAGGTGCACTATAGGGATGGGATTGCGGAGTGAAGTCCTCCTGGACCATGTGAGGAAAATCCATCTCTGCTGGATCATAATATGCCTACCCAAAGGACTACAATGCCCTTCCCTGCATATTCTCCCAGAGAGCATGGTGAAAACTGGGCTCTTTCCTCCAGAAGCACCACTGGACTTTGGCCCCAGGGAGGCCTCCAGTAAACCCAGTGTTCTGGATGGAGGCAAATGTAGCAAGAGAAGCATGAAAGTGCCTAATGTTGGGTGGACCAGTGAAACTGCAGGAACTTGTGAGTGACAGTAGCTCACAGAGCATCTCACTTATGCAATGTCTCCCCAGCACCCCAGACCTCCACTATGGGTCCAGCCAAGCCCAGGGACCAGGCAGAGGGGGTTCTATGCTCCTCCACCAACATCTGGTGTGAAGAGCATAGAATCTTTGAATGAGGGTGGCGGGAGGCACTGCGCTGTGAAGCAGCTGGTCAGCCTCAGGTCACTGGTGTCCTGCAAACAGTGGGGAATCTCTTAGTTGTTGGGTTTTTTTGTTTGTTTTCCTACCTTGCACTGTCAGAAACCTGTTCACTTCAATTGTTCAGGTATGTGTGGTGAGAGACTAGAATAGGTTGCCCAGAGAAGTTGTGGATGGCCCATTCCTGGAAGTATTCAAGGCCAGAACCTGGTCTAATGGAATGGACTGCCTATGGCAGAAGGGTTGGACCTAAATGATCTTTACAGTCCCTTCCAACCCAAACCATTCTATGATTCCATGAAAACTTTCCCATGCTGAGACAGACAGTCTAGGCAGGAGGCGACTCTAGCTATGACTGTGGTCAGTTGTGCTGCCTCTCCACTGATGTTAATGGATGCTCATTAGAATCCTTTGCTCTGCAATAGTTGGGGAATGCCATTTGAACTCTTGGGGTTCTCCTCCAGGACAACCCATAGAGGTTCTCCATAGTGCCTTCATACCCAAAGGCCTCCTGCAATGCTCTGCAGCACATCTGGCACACTGCAGCAGAAGGCTTTCAGAACAGTTTTCATTTTCCTTCTTTTCTTTTTCCTTCTTTTTTTTATTTTATGAGGGGTGCTCCCCAGACCTTCAGTGGGCTGTCACAACCAACTGGTTTTTCTGCATGCTGCCAAGATATCCATTCCCCTCTTCCAAAATTTTCAGCATTTTCCCTGAAGAGCTTATCAAGAAAATTTTTCTCATGCATATGTTGTTCTGCATATGCAGAAAAGAAGACTTCAGCTCATCCTCTTCAGTGCAACAACCCTTAAATATGAAAACTAGGTGCATCAAACTTTGGTGACTGCAGAGCAATCACAAATTTGGATGTTAAAGACCTGTACAGTCAGATTGCAGCAATTTTATTTAAGAGTCACATATATATTTTATCATCATTGGATATTTTTCTTCAGTTTTCACAAGCTAAGAAAAAATGCAGGTAATTCCCTCTTAATTTTACAACACACCAGACATTCATGAAACAGCTCAAGTGAAAAACTCACATGTCAGCTGGGCTCTGCACAAATCAAGATTCTCTTCATACCTTAAAACCTAACTGTTACAAAGTGATGCCCAGAGCCTCCATTTAGAGATTGAAATTATCCTCTCAGTCTTTAAAGTTACAAAATGCAAAATATGCATAAGTACCTATTTTAAAATATATGTGAGGAACCTAAAGCCAACATGTCAGAGGCTTCTATACGGAAAGATAACACTTAGCATATAATATGGTATGATACCATGTACTATCATACCATCCCTTAGTCTAACAGCAAAAAAGATATAAGAATAAATAGCCCGCTAGAGGTTTGACAAGGATAAATAGCTAGGTTTCTGAAAACATAACATTAGTGAACACCAGAATCTAATTAGAAAAGATATGGATTAACATTTCTTGACCTTTTACTATGAGAGGCATCCACTGATAATCTTGATATTATTGAAACCAACAGTTAGTGAAATATAACCAGATTAACACCAAAAGCTGCAGTTCTAAGCCCTAAAACACAGGTTTAGTTTCCTACGTTGTTTCAGTAGATACACTGGATTACTAAAGACTGAAAATTAAAACTCCTCTTCCCAAAACATGGTCTGGATTTTGGTCAGTTGGCTGTCTAGAGTGATATTCCAAAGGACAAAATTAAAAGGAAAAACAGAAAACGAAATAACTATTTTAAAAGATTTGTAATCTCAGAACAAAGTACATTATAGACCTATTGATAAAACGACCACTCACATTAGTGAGTTAAAAAAAATAAAATCACTGTTAAGGAGACTTCTTTCCATTCACACTCGTTAAGAGAATATTAACAAAAATTAACAACAATATAAACCAATTAACATGGTTCTTACCCTGGTAACTTTTCACTAGTGTCATCTTGTTGTAATCTTCAGATAAAATAAATTCCTGAAGGAGTGGAAAGAAAAAAAGAAACAGTGCTTAGAGATGTAAAATGTTTGAGACTGTTTTCATTTTAATTCTTTACTTAGGTAAGCTCTCCCTTCTTCACAACCACCGCCCTGTTTATACTTCTGTTAATTTTGAGTACCTCCATCTAAAAATCTACATTATGTTTCTTTTTAAAGTTGCCTAAGAAAAAACATCATGAGTTCTGCTGAACAGAATGGTGGAGATAAAAGAAATGGTATTAAAAAGAAGTCAAAATGCTGACAGAGATGACTGCTTATGAGCCGAGGTGCCACAAAATGAAGGACATGAGATCTGGCAAACAAACAGTTATTGTTCAGGACAGCCTGGGCAGAAATCTGTGTGTGTGCACAGCTACGTGTGCACGCATGTGCATTTCTGTATACACATGTATCCATGTTTGTGCATACACTACATTCCACCCCGAACACTCAGGAAATGCTATATTAATATGTAAGAGACCCTTGAAGTTGCTCAGTCCAGACTAGGTACCAATAAACCATTATGGGAATGGAACATATTTCAGGTTTCTGTTAAAAAGCCTGTCGGTGCTTCAGACAAATAGAACCCAGGCTTCTTCCCGCCTTGATTTCATTACACTGTTAGTTAATATTTATTCTGGCACCTCAGAAGCAGACTTTTTTCTTTGCTACTGCTTTGTTGAAGCTAACAAGCAGCTGTGTGTGGGGTGGAGAGTGGCTTAGCACAGGCTGTGACTGCCTGCGGAGAGAGGAATGGTGTGAGTCCAGCCAGGCTCGTCCCTGTGGCCAGGGAATAGCACAGTTATGGGGACAGGCTCTTTGGTCCTGCTGCCTTGGTGCTGCTATTTAATTGCCAATATGTCTTTTGCACAGGGAAGCGATGAAAACAGCAGCTATGAGTTTGCACGGTGGCCTCGGCTCCTGAATAAACCCCATGTGGTTAAACTGACTGAGCACCTGGGTGCTCCTGCTGATTGTTTTGAAAAGGAGAGTTGCACAAAATTGGGGAAACAGAATGACCACAACAAAACTCCTGCAACATCTCTCTGGAGGAAACACCCAAGCAAAGGGTAGGCTCTGTGGCACCACCGCAGAAATTAGCTTTCAGATTGCTGTCAAGGATCTACATGCATGTGAGAAGTAAATAAGGTGGTTTTATTACAAGCAAGAATTTCCATGGTTACCTCATGTTGAGATACCTGGAGGTCATTTTTATTTAGGGAGATTGAGGAGCCATTTTATGGTCAGGAGCTGGTGAGTTGCATGTTGTTGTGGTCACTGTTACTTACTGCTGCTTAGTGCTTTACTTACTGTTCTTGCTGTTCTGATCACTGTTAGGCAAATCGGAAGGAAGGTAAAGGCAATAAGACCAATATGGTCTTGCTGCCAAGGGACCATGCGGCCGGGGGCAGGAAAACAACCTGACAGGTGGACGGGAACAACTAATGAACTGTACCAAAAGGCAAAGATTATCTTTTAAGGAAGAAAAGAGCGAGGCCTGGTGTGGGAAGTGTGAGGGAGTGGTTAGGTAAATCAAGAGACCTTAAAAAGGCTTGTCCCCTCCCAGTCAGGTGTGCTCGGACCTGGTCACGAGGTCGAGACACCCAGTGCGCTGAAATTAAACTTCTTTGTTTCATGTTATTTGGCCGTCTTTGAAAGTTAAATTAGAGATATTTCTCACAATGCATATATCACATACTTAGAAAAACACAAAGAAAAAAAAGGAGTGTAAAAAGACATCATATTAATAATTTATAGCAAACTACACAGAAACTCCCTAAGCTAATCTATCTAGAGGACAGAAGAAGTAAAACTTAACTCATTTAACCTGAAATAGGGTGAAAAAATGAAATAAACATTACAAACACAAGATAAGCTACATTTAAAAACATACAGTTGTGAAATGTTTATGTGCACATGCCAAAAGTACTGTGCAACAGTAGAGAAGACTGGACTTCAGGACCCTATAGACTACACTGAAGGCAAACCAAATGTTTAATGCAAAAAAGCATAAGCCATTCAAACCACCAAGAAGCCAGTATTTACCCCCAGTTTGCAAACCAGAATTAAAAAAAAAAAAGTTCGGTGTATTTTCTGTAGGGTCACTGCAGGTAATCTGCACAGCTTTCGAGCACCAGAACTACCCTAATACATCACTTCTACTGCTTGGCATCAAGGTGGAGAGGTTATAATACTTATCTGTGGAACATCTACAGATTCCAGATCTAGGAAAACAACTGTGAGTGATTTGAGGCAGCTATGTATTCTGCTCTCTCTAGGTTTCTGTTCAAAAAATTGTCATAAATATATTCCCTTGAATTGCTTCACTTCATCTTCCTTTCCTTAATCTGCTCCACCTCCCATTAACTTTCCCCTGGCAGTTGAGGACTACAGTGGGGAGTGTTATTTAAACAGCAGTAACAAATCAATTAAGTCAGCTGGATTTCTATACAGGGTCACCTTAACTCTACAAACCACAGAAAGTCAAAAATCTGCTACACTTCTCCAGCTACCTACTGGGGAAAGTGTTTATAAACTACTATCTCAAGAATACTAACCCACACACAAAGTGCTTTGCTACAAAGCCTATCTGAAGCAGAACCCTTTGCTATTAATGCTAACTTTGTGCTATTGTTACCTAAAGAGAAATGGCTTTAATTGCTGCAACACATGGTGGGAAAATATATCTGCCTTTCCCACCAATGTGGATGTCCCTGACTTTGACTGTGGTGGCACACAGATGCTGTGACTTAAGGTGGGATGTAGAGCATGGTTTGCATTCTCACTTTTCTTTGCATTTTTTCTTTTAATAAATTTGGTGTGGCCATTTTATTCTGTGATCCAAAAAATCCCACAGTTTCAGTAGGCTTTTGAATCTCTCCATTATAATACAGTGAATCCAACACAAGTGCAGTTCGTAAGGTTTATCCAAGTACTGCTTAGCACTGTATGCTTTAATACAAACCACAGCTATGTACTATTAGTACACTGCTGCATCCAAAACATAAACAAATGCAGTACAAGATATACACAGTTTCAATTAACCTGAAAACTGGATATAATTTCTTCTTTTTCTTTTTTTTCCCGTTGAAGACTTCTTGCTTATCATTTTCTTCTTTGAAAGCATATGATAATTTGTGATGCATTTTCTTATTTTCATTCTTCTAATCTTTCTGTAGGTCTTTTACACCCTGCTCCCCTGTGCACTCTCATGTGTTCTTCCATAGCACTTATTGCCCTCTCCCTCTTGAGGCCAAGTATTAATTGCGTCACTAGACACTCACTTTAGCACAGGGCACCTTGCTCAAGAAATTCATGCCCTGTTGCACATACATTATATCATCTGCACGACAAAAACACTGATTACATCTCTTTAACATTGTACCAGCAGAAACTGGTTTTTTTAATCATTGCGTACATAGGTGTTTTGCTCCTCTCAGAGCTGCTGACGCTCACTTCTCATTAGGCAGGTTTTTGGCTCTTCTTAATGAGCCACAGAAGCCGGGGTCACCCACGTAGCTCAGTCAGTGCTTATCAGCAGAACAGAGAAAGATTTCTGAGGCCCCTTTTGTACAGGAGGGGCTGGGATATATCAGAGCACTCAGGATGGTAAAACCAAACACCCTCATTGCAGGGATTAAAAATAACTTTTCTGACAAGATCACTCTTTGCCCTTCAAAGGTAGTTGTGGAGCTACTTTAATACTTTTTTTTTACCATACTTTAAATGTTAGTGCTCAGTCTTGCCTGTTTCAGGTAAACTTATTATTACAACAGTGACTTAGTACCATGAAAGCCTTCACAAAGCAGTCTCAAAAACACTGTCAAAATCTAGTCGTCCACTGATGTAAAAAGACTCTCAAATATTGCTTCATGTAGCACACCTTCCTCACACTAAAACACATACTCCCCCCCAAACTTCCCTTGACCATAAGACCTCTTTAAATCCTCACCCTGGAAATAGTATCAGCATCTAGTTTCAAATTATTCAGAATCCTTGACCGTGGGATCTAAGGAAGACTCATACCTTTCCAGAGCTTCAGGTGGATGCCAACTGATGTATCCCAAAACAGAGAACTCTGCTTAAGCAACTGAATCCATTTCTGAGAGTTATGGGAGAGGACAGAAAACATCATGTTGTTTTCTTGGGGGAAAAATACTAAACTTCCCATAGTGGCAGAGGGGAAAGGTGTAGATCAGCAGGTAGAGCCCAACTCAGTCCCTGGTATTCAAAGTGCTGTTTATGGCCTAACCTGTAGACAGCTACAAGATCAGATGGGGTGGAAGATGAATTTATCTTACTAAGTGTCATACCCAAGGAAGAATTCTGAAGAGGTTTTTCTGGTGCCTTGCTGTCCCTGTGACTCTGATCAAAGTAACAGTTTCATACAGATACAAACACGGTCAGCAAAAAGACCAATTTAATTCAGCTTCAGCTACCTAAAAAAATCCTCATTTCAATCTCCCCAGAAATGAGAAGAAAAAGTTATGCCATTTTATAACACTTTCTAGGGCAAGCAACATGGGTGTATCCAAAGACAATTCACCTTTCCTCCAGTGGCTGCAGAACCTAATGATTAACTTTATCTAGGAAATTAGCTTTCAGATAGATGAAATGATGTGAGGAGTCGCATCTTGGCAGTGGAAGTCTCCTGTCTATTGAAAGTAAAAGACCTTTCCTATGTTTCTTCTTGTTGTGGTATCTTGAGAGTCCTATGTCCATTACAGCATGTTTTCCTCCACTTCAGAGCAGGGAATTGATGTTCATGATAAAATCTTTTAACTTCCAAAAGCATTCCCTATGACATAATTTCTTCTCAAAAAAAGGTTTGCGAAGTGTAAAAAAAAAAATCACAGAAACTTTTTTTTTACATTAGGTTCCACCACTCTTTAAGTAAGAAGACAATCTTTCATGCGAGAGAATGGTGTGTTGTGCCGCAAAAATGTCTGTGCAGCCTTCATGTCGAGAAGTTACAAAAGATTAAAAACAATCTCTGTAGAAGCAAAAACTGTCACCCTGTTTCATAAAGAAAGGTGGCTATACAAGCTCACCTCATGGTGGCTTTGCTGGAACTTCTTTCTGTGATAATAGCATTGCTGGCTGTCCTTCTCAAAATGCACTATATGCATTTCTGAGGTGCCAGGCTCATAACCAAAATCCATACAGTTTACAAAAATTTCACAGAATAAAAAATGCAGTTCCACTTTCTTATCTCTATTCACATCTGAAAGTACTTCCTTGGACTTCAAAAAAAATTCATTTGAGATTATGTGGCACTCTAATGAGTGCCACAGTCCTTGCCAGGAATCCTTTCTTCCTACCCAAAGTGAAGATGCAGAATTATTTTCAGCTTTTATTTTTTTTTTTTTTTTGGCCCTGCACCCAGCATACACAAGAGTGCTGGGTATTACAGAAGTGCTAACATGGAGCAGCTGACCAATTCCCAAATATTTTAAGCTGCTCCAGTAAATTGCCTGTACTTTCCCTTTGGGGGCCACACAATTAAAAGCAAGGATACTAAGGTCACCTTGTTGCTGTGAGTTCTGTTCTTTTGTGACCAATGTGCCCTGATGGTATATTCCTGGACTAAACTAATCATCACAGCTGTGTCCAGGAAAGAAAACTTGTCCTTTCCTCCAGAGGGTGGTTGTAACCATTTCCAAGTACCCAAGGATTTTCTCTACACCCTGAGACTTGAAAATGAGGCTCCTCTTGCTCCTCATCCATTCTCAGCTCCACCACTTCTTGTAGCACATTACAGTTGTGGTTTCTCTTACAAGCCTTAGGTTTGCTACAGAGGGAAACATTTCATCGCTTGTGGAAGTTTGAGGAGTGCATTTTCTGCACAGTCCCCGGCCACACAACTGCCTGCAGCTACAGGGGACTAAATCAATCGACACAGATAAGCCCTTCCCCCTTCCTAGGTGCTTGTATCCAGAGAACTGGGAAAAGAAAAGCCCAGCTTAGCAACAAATAGAATCTGCTTTAGACAGGGCAATATATACCTGTAAGTACCTGAAGTCACGTGTTGGTTTATCACCTGCATATCTCATTTACCTTCTTTAGCTTTGGAATGGAAAATATTTGATCCCATTCAGACTGAAGGATCCTCTGACTCTTCAAGGCAAAACGCCCCCAAGACAAAGGACACATCTCCCATCATGCCAGAGTATTTAAATACCTTATTTACAGTTGCCTTCAGATTCCTCAAAGGCCTGGTGAAAACAAAAGTGCCTCATAGGACTGGCAAATTACAGCTATTTCAGGGAGTGGGAAGAAGAGAATTTCAGAGGTGCAGGGAATTCTCTGGCAGCTGTTCCATCTCTTAGATACAAAAGGAGAAATTTCCCACAGGCACACAAAAAAACCTCTGCTACTAGCCATTAATAGCTTTATAGGTCAAAACCTTTATTTCTTTGATAGAGCTTACAGGCAACAGCTAAAAGGGTCACACACCCATTCCCAAATGCCGTACTGGCTTTAGTGCAGACATCTGCCCTTATGTCAACCTGAAAACACTCATTCAGTTAAGAAGCCCGTAAGGCAGAGACAACAGCAGTAAAAATTTGAAATGATGGTAAAATGACCTTAAACTGGAAGAGGAATCTATTGACGAAGCATAGGTGAAAAATACCTCTGACCCATAACTCTTTCACAAAGTGATATAGCTTTTTACTCATCATCCCACAAGAAAAATCCAATTAATAAGGTCAAGTGCTACCCTCTGTCACAGACCTAACAGACACATTCTTCTTTTAATACTCTGCTTCTTTCCACACATATATATCTCAGATGTTAATGAACCAAATCTCTCAGCAACAGCACTACCAGTTAGGAGCAACTCCTCCCAAGGGACAGGAAAACAAAATCTGAACTCTGAAGTTTGGAAAAGCAGCTAGATATGGAGCAGAAATTAATCTTCTGCCTCTCAGAAAATGATTTTCCCCCCTCTTAATTGCTGCTTTCAGAAAACTTTGGTATGGTGTGATTAACAAGGCACTTAAATTTAATAAAATAACAGCTGTTTTGTGTTATTTTTTAAGAGATATGTAAATTAGAACAATTTGTTGAGTTGCCTAATAAATATTGTGAAGCCTACTCAATATCCTTGTGGCAGTAGGAATAAAATTTTTAATAATTGCCATTTTCTACATTACAGATTCAGTTCTACTAGCAGTAAAAAGTCTGTTTCCCAAACACTAGCAAAAATATCCTCATCACAACATCACACACATACTTCTCAAAAGGGAAGCATTTCAACTAGAAATCTTTGGATGTACTTACTGAGATTGTACCATTGTCTAGACCTATGGACAGCCTTCTGGTTTCCGGGTTAAAAGACATGCATGAACATGGAGCTGAAAAAAATGAACATGTTGATGAAGTTAACAAAACTGTGATTCTCATTTTCTTGAAGTTCTGGAAAGCCTTAAACTAGCTAACATGCTTTATAATCCTGTTCAGCATTTTGCCCCTTGCAATAGACAAGCATTAAAATAAATGTGTTCTTGCAATTCATTCAACCCTATCCTATTAGGACACGGAACAATAGCTATTTCTTGCTCCAGTTCCTTTATTTTTCCTTACTAGTTATCTAAAACCAGGCATTTCATACAAGAGCAGTGGTGGTGTTTTGATACAAGCACCTGACATTGCGAGATAAATCTGAGAGATTAATTAGCTGAATAATTTAGTTTTTTATATTTGCGTGAACTTTACTGACAATAAAACAAAACACTGTATTAGTAAGAGGCCTGCATCCTACAGCTGCTGTAAGAAAGTTCTCCTGTAGGAGTCAACATATCACCTGATACTAAGTGATAAGTCCAACTGTCCCCTAGTGCAGTTGCATCACAGACAGCACTATGACAGTATCACATACTGTGGCCAAAATAAGTTTGTTTCTTAAACTACCCATTACTGGATTACATTGATGTTACTCAAATAAACATCATGATATACTCCTAAATTGCACACAAGTCAATCACAGTATGCTCCTTCAAGGATTGGCAGGGTTTGCATCAAGATTAAAACCAGAATTTTCTTGCAAGAATTCAAGAGTTATGCTTGGTTTAAAGTTGCATTCAGAAAGCAGGAATTGCTTTTACTGCTCAACACAGCAGCATGAAGCTAGGAGTCCTCCTGTCCCAACAGAAACCTTTGGGAATTATTTTTCAGGAGCTATTGCCAACTGCAGGTAGGAACAGGCATTCTTGCTCCTTTGGTAATGGTAAGAGTGTTTTTAAAACCATATTTTTGTGATAAAGTACAATCAGATGCACTTTTAGTTCTGCTTTTCCCCCTCTCTTGGTTTCTACTCTCCCTTGAGATTACTTGTGTGGTTTTGTTATTAACAAGCTTGGAGTCCTCTCTTTTAGTATTGTAATCTAGTAGATTCTCAATTTGTGTGATGTCACACTTGGGACTAAATAGTCCATATCTTAGCAAATCTTCCTTGATAGTTTAGTTGGCAGCAAAGCTATATGAAGAACAGGAGAGTCAATGTCGACTGTTTAATAAAACTGTTTCTACCTTCAGTATTGAATCCCCCTTGAAACATTTCCTGAAGGAGAACTAACCGTAAGCAGAAAGCCTACCAGATCCACATCCAGGCAGGCACTTTGGCTTATATCTTTCCTGGAAGGGTTGACAATTAAATCAAAGAAAAGGCTTCAGTTCAAGGAAACTGACATAAAGAAAACAGGAAAATTAAATCAGGCCTAGTGACAGTGACAAAATTTCTCCTTCCTGTACCTCTCCCTCAGGAAAGGCAAACTTTAATCATCCCTTCAGATGGTGATGCATCACTATTAAATTGAGGCTTCTAGGGTTGTAGCAGAACAAGACAGTTGTAGAAAAAATGAACAGGAAAAAAAGCAATTCTAAGCAGAATAAACATCAAGTAATTTTAAAGGACTTAAATCCAGAACAGACATATTCTACATATCAGCTTTTAATGCTTGACACTGTGCATACATTGAAAGAGATACTAGTAAGTCTGAAGGCAACTAATAACTCACAGATAAAAAGTCTCAGGTAAATTACCTATTTGAAGTGCGCTTTTCCAAACACTTCAGATGCAAAGGGTTCAAGCAATTGCTTGACACAAATTGATTACAAAAGAAGTAACTTCTTAATTCCAGACCTGCGTGTATACTACTACAGTCATAGTAGTATAAAGATGCTTATTTTGGTATAATCATTTTCATAAGGGAATCCTTCAGTAACATGTACTCTTACAAAAATCATTATGTCATCACTAAAATTATGTCCACGCTAGCTACACTAATGTTGTTAAAGTGATGCCAATTGTAACAAGACTGAAGCATGTTATATATTAGCAAAAATAAGATGACATTCAGATACTTAAGTACTTAGGCTCATTAAAAAGAGGGAAAGAAAAGAAGAAAAAAAGAAGAAAAAAAAAGAAAAATAAAACAAAAATTTGAAACCTTAAGCTTCTGAGATATTTAGGATCCTTTTAAAATAATAGCCAGGAAAAATAACAGCACTCTGAAGGCTCTACTTGAGTACCTAGCTATGATTTGGATTTCAAACTGACAAAAGGTTGATCTGAACTATTATAGAGGACAAACAGGATATTTCTGATGCAGAACTCTGGCTGTAGTCTTGTCTTAAATATAGGGCAAATACACACTGATTTTTGCCCTTGAAAGGTGAATTTTGGAGGAAAAACCCTATTACATACTTCATATGCTCAACAGTGTGACCTCTATTAGAGGCTGACAGAAGTAAAAGAGAAATACAAAATTTGTAGCAGTTTCAGGGTCTTTAGGCAACTTTCAAGTGCCTATATATGACACAGTTTAAGACCAAAGGAGTATGTTTTGCCTTGCAGTTTTTTTAGCCTCCTGTTTAAAGCAAAGCGTTAGCTATGAAAATTATCGTAAGACAGGCAGTGTATTATCTGCCTCAAAGACTTGATACTCCATTGTTCCTCACTACAATATATCCTTTACTCCATTCCACATCTGCAAGAGGTTTTTTGGTTCTTTTTGGGTGTTTTAGAGTTTTTTTTATTGGCAAAGTTTACTTGACTCTTGACTACAATTCCCTTGCCTTTCATGAATTTGTGTCTGCAGAGTTGTTTTTTTTTCCTCCTGTACAGACAATGCTCAAGTCACAAATCGAACCACGAGCAACCAAGAGTACACATCTATCCATGAGGAGGGTTAACATGCTTATCAGAGATCTGTTGTTAATGAGCTGTTGGGACAACAGTGGTGTGAAAGAGGTGTGTCAGTGAGGTTTCCAGCTTACCCAGGTTACCATACTAACAGTATAAGTGTGAATGACACCCAGAGCTCTCTTCTTTCTCATGGGCTAGAGATGATCAAAAATGTGGCCACTGTGCTGTACAGAATTTTCTGACTATAGAAGCACTCATAAAAAGGGCATAAAACTTTGCAATTGGGGAAATCCCACCTCTAAAGAGCAGCAAGTGTCCCTACTCAGAAGAGATCTATGATCTTGATATTTTTTTTCCAGATATTTAATGGTTTTCACATTCAGAAAGCACTGATGACCTTATTTGGGTGCAGAACCAAAGCACATAGCTGACTCAGCCCAACTCCTCATCCTCCTCATGTCCCAGAGGATCTAGGGCACAGACTCAGTTATTAAGGCTACCTGATATCAAAACATAAAATAGTTTAGGTCATGCACCACCATAGTCAAATCACAAGTTATATTGATGAGGTATCTATAAGGTAGGACTGCCAGTCACATCTTGCTAAGCAGCACAAAGGCACTAATGTCTCTCCTACAATTTTACACAGAGAACCTCTGAGCAGTCGTTCTTTAAACAATAAAATCCAGTATGGACTTAAAGCAGAGCACCCTCAAAAAGGTGATTCACACAGAAACAGACAAAATGATCATTTGCAGTCAAGTGCAGACTCATGGAGATGCTGACTCAGAGTTTTCCTATGATTTCCAAGCTAAAAGGCATGGCTGATAATGTAATTGGCATTGCTCCAATCATTAATTATACCTGATCATTCTTGAAATCGGTGAATAACACAGCATAATTTTAACATCTTGTGTCTCAAAAGCTTACCAGCCTTCAAAATGAAGGAGCTCTAAAATAGTCCCCCTTCAGTGGATCTGGATCTACTCCGTCATTTCCACTGACATTGTTATTACTGGCAATAGCACAGCTTTGCTAAGACCAGAAGAGAACCTAAAGAGATTTTAAAATGCAAATGTATGAAAAAAAACCACATGGAAAACCAGAAGTATCAATGCCAAACTGCTAGAACAGCCATTTCAAAACAGTTTAACTGCGGAAAGCAAACCTCTCAGGACAGGTCAAGGGAACTCAGGCCAGTGTTAGTGATCATGACGGAGCTCCATAGACTGCCACATCATTAGCTAGTTTCCAATAACTTCTTGTGCAAACTTGAGCAGAAAGTACCTTTGAGGATTGACATATTCTTATGAGCTAGTCCATTACCAAAGGAAGATGAGAGATCTTCCTGTTTTCTTAAAGCAGGCAAACACCATGGCTGCTCTAAGGTCCCAAGTTGATGTTGTTGTAATACTGAAACTTGTATCTATTAAATATTTTACGTATCACAGAGACAGATGTCTCTTCCAAATCTACCTATCTTAGCTTAAGATAAGTCTTTCCCCAGACAGTAAGAATACCTCAATGAGACTTGATATGTGCTCCCCAATCTGGATTTAAGGTCAGCTTTACAAGCTTTCCAAAGACAGGCTAACCCAGCACATCTGAAGCTGATTGAGGAGCATTAGCACATGCCTGCCTCTGGTGACCTGCAAAGTTATATTCCTGCAATCAACACAGAGTTTAAGGCAAACAGTGAGGGCTGTGATTTCTTCAACTGTCTCTTGGAAAAGTTGATTTGCAGTTTCTCTTAAAGCATGTACACTCTCTCTGACAGAGAAGGCATGCAGCACACAATAATGGAAGGATCCATTAGAGACATTTGGTTTTCCACATTTAATTGCAGAGGTAAAATGATTCTGCTTCTACACTGGAAGAGTTGCCTTCCCTGTCTGGTATCCTCTCTATCATATTAGCTGCAACAGGATATTAAGTTCTTACTAAATAAAATCATTTACCATTGCACTCTAATGGACTGAGCACATGCAGTAGGAAGGGCAGAGTGATTTATACTGGAGACTTACAAAGCTTTGTGGACTCCATTGGGGCAGAATGAGAGACTACATTTTGAGCTCCCACATTTTAAAATCTATATTTGCATTAAATGCTCACCCCTTGCTAACATGTCTGTGTCCTTTTGCTGCTGTAACCTCTGATGCCCCTCAGAAGCATTAGCGTGTAACTTGGTAAAGCTTCACCAAAACCATGAGAATTGTTCAAGAATAACATTTAATACAGAGAGGTAAGCTTGCAAATGGTCATAAGCATAAAGCTTCATCAAAATCAGAAAAGCCAGATTGCAAATACACAGTTGATATCGAACCTCTCCTTGTACTTACATGGCATTGCATGGTATATACTGGGCCAGTACTGCCCACTGTCTCTCTTCAGCCAAACACGAACTGTTCTACAAAAGAAAAGACACAACATATATGTGAGGAAGAATGGAAAAGCAACCATGAATGAAAACAAAGTGGTGACGATGAATGTACAAGACCTTCTTCAAAATTAAAGTATTTTGCTGAGAGGAAAAATAAACGTGTAAAATCCTACAGCAGCCTGATACAACAAACTCAGATTAACCCCTGTAAGGTAATGAGGGTAGACCACTCTTTGGTTCCATGTAGTATTCAACATCTTGTCTGAACATACCACAACAGTATTTGGAAACTGCTATGCTTTTTTGTTCTTTGTCTTTACAAGGACTTGAACATGACTGTTCATTCAATGCTTCACATGAGGACTTGGGACACCATATGTAGACAAGGAAAGCATTCCTGTATCAGTACTTCCAGTGCTCTGTAGAAGCCTTCCCCACTGGCACTCAGGGTAGGCCTTGGTCCATCTGCTGCCTGTTGTTTCATTGTTCTGCTTCAGGAAAACCTCTAAGAAAAGGAATGAGGTTCTGAGATTTTCAGCTTCTAATTACTAAGATTACATCTATCTGTGTCAACAATGAGCTCTTCAGCTTCAGGACCTTCCTCTCTCCTCAGTGCACTCAGGATGCTATGAAACGCTGATTGAGCATGAAGAAGCCAAACTCTTATCCTTCTCTCAAGAGGACGACTAAGGTGACAGGCAGCCTTGCAGTTCTCTGCCCCATCAGTTTGCAGCTGCTGTCCTTGAACAGGGGCACTTAGAACCAAACATTGCTACACACAAACACATTGGCATTTTCCTTTCTGCTAGAAGATCTTCCCAGTCTATCTCAGGATTACGTTTGCTTTCTCATAATCATATTATAGTGTCAGCTCCCTGACACTAAATCCATGCCCTTCAGACACTTGAGATATTTGTTTCTTGTTTCCTTAGTAGAGGATCTGGACTGATGCTGTACCACCTGGGTCATTAAATATTTATTATTTCAGTCCTCATTGTCATTTGCTTGCTTTGGTCCAATCTCTGAAGCTTCTTTCTAATTGAAGCTCTCAAATTCAGTTCATCAGTTAATTTCATCAAAACATGTCTAGTAACAGTGTCAACAGTTAAAGAAGCAGGCAGCCAGTAATCTCCTGCCTGTTCCTGCATAGCCCATGGTCATCTCAATTATAGCCACCTGTTACCTGCTTTACTGTTCCTCTAATCTTTATTATATCCAATGTTAACTAGTAAACCCTACATATAATACTGTATTCCATGCTTTACTGATTTACACCAAATGTATCAACCTTCTCTAGAAAATGTAGTTATCCAAGAGAGCATTATGTTAGCATAGGACAGTAGATTCTGACCCATCACCCACTTCTAATTAGTTTTCTCCACCAAAATTAGTGTGCAACAGCAGATACAAGAGTGATTTAAAAAAAATTATTGTTTCTATAACTTCCATTTGATACTATTACGGAAAAACAAACAGTATATGAAATATGGAAATACAGCTTCTTGAGGAGACTACATGGTCATTTGTACTGTTACCTCATTTTCATGGAAAAGCAGGTTGCAGACCTTTTTGGTCAGAAAAAAAGTTCAGAACTATAACATTATAAAATAATATAAATTGATCTAAGACATTACAGTCTGAACAGAGATGCCATGCAACATAATAAAGTAGTTCGAGAATTAATAATCTATCCTTCAAACTTCAAGCCAAAGGCTGCACAACCATATGTTCTAAAAGCAGGTTTCTGCTCATCTTACCCTTAATTCAAATCCTTTTTACAGCAAATAATTCAGAGACCTTGTTTATTTAGGCACTACACAAGCTAAATCATTTTAGAAATATCTCGTGCATACACTTCGACACAGTATGTTGCTCCAAAACCTAAAATTTCACTGGGTCAACAAGTCCCATGGTTAGAAAGCTCTCACAACTTACTCAGAACATACAACGCTCCATATCATTATCTCCTAAGTCTAATGGCCTTTTTGTGTCAGACATATCAGCAGATCTTCAGCAGCTATGAAATAAAACCACCAATACTTTTTATAAGAGACAATTCACCAGCCTATAACAACACCGCCACATTTTTAATTGTGACAGGGGCAAATCCTCCTGTCATTTCTCCCTGTAGCTAACCATAGCTGTTGTCAGAGTGGCACTCTGCATCCAGATCTCAGCACGCATATCTGGGAAGACATCCATAGCCACAGGACCGTATTCAAGGTTTGGGTGCAAAACCTTTGGGTCCACCTTTGCTAAGAAGCTGGTCATTGTAAGTATGGAAGTATGTCAACTTCTCTGTTTCCCAAAACAGAGGAGATCTTAGTCATGTGTTTATCCTCGACAAGTGAGGATATCCTCAAGTGAGGTGACTGTGGGAATAAATGAATACGCACAAAAAAATAACAGGATGAATCACAAGGAGCTGAAATAACTCAATACAAGACAGCCCTGAGGAGGTGCACTAATATCCTGTGAGAGACCTGTATTTCTTGATCATCCCAATCTATATATTCGAGTGCTATCAGTTTCAAAATCCCTAGGCTTTGACAAGGTTGCCTCTCCTCTCTGCTTTAAGGCTCTGTCAAATAACAAACCCAGCTCAACATCTTACAGATAATTCAACTTGCTTGAAAAGGACTATGTAGAAGAACAGATATTTCAAAAACTGGAAGAAATAAAAATGACCTTTATTTGCAAGAATGGCCATCATTTGGACACTATGTGTTGGTTTTATTGTTGTTTTTTTAAACTGCAGTATACAATTATGTCAATGTTAAGACTTCTAGATAAATTATATTGAAACAAAAACTATTTTCTATTTAAATCTAAAAAAATCCAAACAAAAAACTGGTGGAGGTTCCTAGTTAAGAGTGAAACTACTTCAACTAGTACAGGCCTCTTCTGTAGGTACACAGTATGCTCATTTCTTTATGTAGTCAAATATATTTCCATTCAATGACTAATTCATGCAAAATGAGAAACAAAGCATTCTAAGAATAAAAATACCATGAAAAGACATCATCTAACTGTAAGGTGTGTGAAAAGGCACATAACCAGCAAGCCAAATTCATGTAACTCATTACAGAAACACCACCTCCTCAGTAAATAATTCTAAATAAAGAAAACCAAAAATACCTTATAAACAACGTATTTTAAAATTAAGGACAATTACTATGCATATCTTTAAAACAAACATTTAAAAGTTATGTTAAGCATTATAATGGAATTCCAATATCTATGTATAAGATGATGTAAAAGACTAAAAATTCTTCCTTATATACTGGTGACCCACAAGTTTCTTCTCTTAAGATCAATGGAATAGATAAAACATTTTATTGAAGGAAGAAAAACTGATCTGAGTTCATTAACCTTTTCTAGGTAACTTTTTCTCAAAGTAGATTCAAGCTAAAGAGCAAACAGCACCAACTACTGAATTTGGGAGAAGCCACATTTTCTTGGAAGAGCACATCTTTTTTCCGCTGCAGTTGTGTACATTTCTGTATACTTCTTTAAAGAACACTACCCACTAGATGAGAAACCCAAAGCACTTGAAGCTTCTAAAGAATGCAAGGAAAAACCCCAAACATGAACAAAACCAAGCTTTTTTTATAGATATATGGCATGAAGAGTACTTGCTGCTTGCATGGTTACTGGACTTAAACACAGCACCTATCCAGCTCAGGATCCATTCTTCAGCTGCACTAGAGTGGTGCAGTCATCATGAAAATGAGCTGTCCATTCACTTTGTTATCAGTAAATTGACTTGGAGAGATTTTTAGAACCTGTCAAATCAATGGATATTCTTCTAGTCTTTTCATAACAGAGATGATTTATTTTTAAAGGAGATGGGCTATACAGAAATAATTCTGCCATATAAAAGACAGACTATGTCTTCAAATATTAAGGGAATGTGAAAAATGTATAGCTTAAAAGAAGAATTGCTTCTCTCTGGTACACCCAAGAGATGTGTCTCAAGTCCAAGTGGCTGTCGACGTACCAGCAGGTCTCAAGCACACTGCCAGGCTGTGTACATGTGCAGGAGGCAAGCTTCATCTGAATGCCTGCTGCTCACAGAGGTGCCTATGTCAACAGTGGCACATCCACCTTGGCATGGCAGCTCTGTGCTTCATCATCCACAGAAACTTACTCAGTCACTGGTCATTTCTGATAAAGATGTTTTGCTCATACAAACCATAGTTTATGCATTTAGGCTGTACTGTGCTCCATGAAAGTCCACACAGTTCTGCCAGGCTGCATGCAAGATTCTCTACTCCATCCCTACTCTGGCCTGAGCAATCACCTTACTGCTGCACAAGTCAGTGTCACTTGGAGTGGTGGAGTTAAGTTTCTGTGAATCTGCCTGACTCATAGGCAGGGCTCGTCTTTTCTCCTTGGTGTCTTCCATGAAATTAATGCAAAAGACAAACACTGGTGTTGCATACAGTACAGATAGATTGACGTGTGTAAGCACTGTCTCAAGATGTTTGTATGTTACAATACCGTGAACTCTGTTGTAGGGAGATCCATTATGTCGAGAAACAAGTTACCCCTATAACACTCCACTTCTCCAGAATATCCATAAACCCACTAGTTCTGGTTGTACAGTGTGAGTGAAGAAATCTGATATATCAGTTTCCCATAACAGATTCCCTCCTTTCCAGTTTGTGAATTTTTTCCTTTCTTACTTCTGTCTTTATAAATATTTCTCTTTGATGAGATGCACTTCTGTAACATAATATCACCTTCACACCCCAGGCATACACCAACCATATACCAAAGCAGAGGTAGCCCTAAAAACATACAATGTACTACATTATTTTGCAGGTAATATTGGACTCCAGGAAAACATTTTAAATGGCATTTTAACACAGTCTTTATTGTTTATACCTTGGATTGTATATCGCAGGATTATTTTATCTCGTCTTGCTGAGTGACCAAGAAGGGTAAGCATCAAATCCAGCACAAGATCTGAAATGAGTTTTATTCCTATTTGTAGTAAGCACAGAAATTACAGATGTACAGAA